TCTCCTTGTTGCATTATGATACACATCTCATTGTTGCATTATGATACACATCTCATTGTTGTCTCATTGTTGTCTCATTGTTGCATTATGATACACATCTCATTGGTTGTCTCATTGTTGCATTATGATACACATCTCATTGTTGTCTCATTGTTGTCTCATTGTTGCATTATGGTACACATCTCATTGTTGTCTCATTGTTGCGTTATGATACACATCTCATTGATTGTGTCGCTGTTGCATTATGATACACATCTCATTGTTGTATCATTGTTGCATTATGATACAGATCTCATTGGTTGTCTCATTGTTGCATTATGATACAGATCTCATTGGTTGTCTCATTGTTGCATTATGATACACATCTCATTGTTGTCTCATTGTTGCATTATGGTACACATCTCATTGGTTGTCTCGTTGTTGCATTATGATACACATCTCATTGATTGTGTCGCTGTTGCATTATGATACACGTCTCATTGTTGTCTCATTGTTGCATTATGATACAGATCTCATCGGTTGTCTCATTGTTGCATTATGATATACATCTCATTGTTGTCTCATTGTTGCATTATGATACACATCTCATTGTTGTCTCATTGTTGCATCATGATACACATCTCATTGGTTGTCTCATTGTTGCATTATGATACACATCTCATTGTCTCATTGGTGCATTATGATACACATCTCATTGTTGTCTCGTTGTTGCATTATGATACACATCTCATTGTTGTCTCATTGTTGCATTATGAAACACATCTCTTTGGTTGTCTCATCGTTGCATTATGATACACATCTCATTGGTTGTCTCGTTGTTGCATTATGATACAGATCTCATTGGTTGTCTCCTTGTTGCATTATGATACACATCTCATTGTTGTCTCATTGTTGCATTATGATACACATCTCAGTGGTAGTCTCCTTGTTGCATTATGATACACATCTCATTGGTTGTGTCGCTGTTGCATTATGATACACATCTCATTGCTGTCTCATTGTTGCATTATGATACACATCTCATTGTTGTCTCATTGTTGTCTCATTGTTGCATTATGATACACATCTCATTGGTTGTGTCGTTGTTGCATTATGATACACATCTCATTGGTTGTGTCGCTGTTGCATTATGATACACATCTCATTGCTGTCTCATTGTTGCATCATGATACACATCTCATTGCTGTCTCATTGTTGCATCATGATACACATCTCATTGTTGCATCATGATACACATCTCATTGGTTGTGTCGCTGTTGCATTATGATACACATCTCATTGCTGTCTCATTGTTGCATCATGATACACATCTCATTGTTGCATCATGATACACATCTCATTGGTTGTCTCGTTGTTGCATTGTGATACACATCTCATTGTTGTCTTGCTGTTGCAATATGATAAACATCTCATTATTGTCTCGTTGTTGCATTATGATACACATCTCATTATTGTCTCGCTGTTGACAGATACTTTATATTCGGTTAAAATACAAGATTTTCAAGTCTCATGGTGATGTTTTATTGTGCTCCGCGAGATGCCGAGAGCTTATCGATTTGGTCTTAAGTGACAACCTTGCATTCATTCTCTCATTAACAGGATCAGGAGGTCAGTCTCGGCTGATGCATGTCATTGCATCCCAATTGCGTGGATCGATGCCCATGATGTCAATGACTAGATTGTCTTGTCACACTAGATTCTTTAGAGACCGCCGCCATATAGCTGGAATATTGTGCGGCGTTAAAAACAAACAAACAACAAACAAACAGAAAAGACAATGTGGGTCGCAATGAGTGAGAGGGAGGGCGAGCGAAATCTAACACAGTGAAATTTATTTATCACCTAACCCACAATTTTGTTTCCGATGATCGAAATTAATGCGAAAAGAAAATGTTTTGGAAAGTTACATTTGAACAATGCCTATCTGTTGATTATAACGTGTATGGAGGAAGTGATTATAACACACAAAAATTGCGACAACGAAGAATAATGCACTTGGGTTTGAAACATGAGTTCACTGAGACCCTCTGCTGTTTGAGACAAGTATTCTCTGAGACCCTTTACGATTTGAAACAAGGATTCAATAAGACCCTCTACTGTTTGAAACAAGGGTTCTCTGAGACCCTCTACTGTTTGAAACAAGGATTCTCTGAGACCTCTACTGTTTGAAACAAGGATTCTCTGAGACCTCTACTGTTTGGAACAAGGAGCCGCTGAGACCCTCTACCATTTGAAACAATGATTCAATGAGACCCTCTACTGTTTGAAACAAAGATTCTCTGAGACCTCTACTGTTTGAAACAAGGATCCACTGAAACCATCTGCTATTTGAAACAAGGATTCTCTGAGACCCTCTACTGTTTGAAACAAGGATTCTCTGAGACCTCTACTGTTTGAAACGAGGATCCACTGAGACCATCTGCTATTTGAAACAAGGATTCTCTGAGACCCTCTACGATTTGAAACAAGGATTCAATGAGACCCTCTACGATTTGAAACAAAGATTCTCTGAGACCTCTACTGTTTGAAACAAGGATCCACTGAGACCATCTGCTATTTGAAACAAGGATTCTCTGAGACCCTCTACTGTTTGAAACAAGGATTCTCTGAGACCTCTACTGTTTGAAACAAGGATCCACTGAGACCATCTGCTATTTGAAACAAGGATTCTCTGAGACCCTCTACGATTTGAAACAAGGATTCAATGAGACCCTCTACGATTTGAAACAAGGATTCTCTGAGACCTCTTCGATTTGAAACAAGGATCCACTGAGACCATCTGCTATTTGAAACAAGGATTCAATGAGACCATCTACTGTTTGAAACAAGGATTCAATGATACCCTCTACTGTTTGAAACAAGGATTCTCGGAGACCCTCTCTCTGACACCTCTACTGTTTGAAACAAGGATCCTATGAGACCCCCTTCGATTTGAAACAAGGATTCTCCGAGACCCCTTTTGATTTGAAACAAGGATTCTCTGAGACCTTCAATTTGAAACAAGGATTCTCTGAGACCTCTTCGATTTGAAACAAGGATTCTCTGAGACCTCTTCGATTTGAAACAAGGATTCTCTGAGACCCTCGATTTAAAACAAGGGTTCTCTGAGACCTCTTCGATTTGAAACAAGGATTTTCTGGGACCCTCTACGATTTTCAAATTTATATTCATACATATCTTAAAATCAAATTTCACATTCACCTTTCGATTGAGATAATAATATATACATCCGTCGAACAACCCATACATAAACATTGTAAGATGAAAACACTTTCTTTTTTTTCTAGTCTATTCAGAAATCACGTTCCTTCACCCGTTCGTTGATTTGACAGCTGACTATCAAATCATTTGATAGCATTGACAACAGTCACGAACAAAACTAGCATTGTTGCCGTTGCTGTTTTTTTTCACACATATAATTAGTCGGGCTCAGTTATATATAACAGTAACAGTAACTCAAATCATCAGCAAAGACGGAATGTAACGTACGCACTCACACGTAAGCTGATATAGCGTCGGACGTGATTACATTTGTACACGCACCAAGTACTCGTATGTTGCATGTGATCGCCATAACAACAGGGATAATACAACCTTAATAATATTGACATAATCCATATCAATACCGTTGGATAAGCCGGTGAACTCCCTCCACACAGTATTGTGTTGGTGAAGGGTGTTTGGGTAAGGCGCCTGTGTTATGGTTGTAGATAATCCGGATCTAGCTCGGTACGGGGGATCTGTAAATACTCGATATCCGTTAGAGTGTAGCCGGTGTTAAGTGTATTAGATGTTCTGAGGTTGTGATGTACGTCAATTTGTCGTGATGACATTGAGTGTTAACGCGACATATTTGTACAACTGCTTGACAATGAGTGGCTTTTTACATTCATTTTATTGACTTCATACTGACATTATCGTCACCATATGGCGTTCTTATCACCATCGTACTACACAATACATCATCATCGTCGTCGTCGTCGTCATTATCTGCATCATCAATACAGATGGAACGGTCGTCACCATACTAATGCTATCTTTTCCATTGTCATCTTCATGAGTGTCATAATCATCAGTGCCGTTGTGTCAGGGCGTCGTAGCAATATTTCCGGGTTGGAATAGGCCCCCACACAGCACCCTATGCTTGTCGAACAAGGCAGCTAAATAGATTGGGTGGTCAGGCTCGTTCACTTGGTGGATTTCGTGTCATCGTACCCAGACCGCCATCGATCGTTACTCATAGCATCAATCACTGGTTTGTCTGTGTCAGTCTCGATTATTTACAGGCCGCATTTATATAACCGGAAATAAACAACCTGCTTCAACCATATTATGATCCCCAGCTGTGTCATACCAAAGATGGTACTTGTTGTTACCCTGCCTGACGCTCGGCATTAAGGGGCTCAAACAAGCACTGGTCGGCCCGGAGTCAGTGTATTGTGTCTGAGTGAGGTATGCATGTTAAACTGCGGCATGGTATCTCAGTGGACATTAGTCCGGACTAGTACAAGCAGCCACACACACACACACACACACACACGCATGCACGCACGCACGCACGCACGCACGCACGCACACACACACACACACACACACACCTACATACACAGATAATAATTTAGGTGACAAATGAAAAACACCTTAACCCAGCCACAGCAGCACTAAATTTCTTCCTTAGCATCCATAAAGAAACTGGACATCGGTGATGCGCTCCACGTGACAATCTGATAATGCATGACCAAATTATTGACTATATTGCACGCTTCAGTTAACGGCCATTCGACAGTTTATCAACATGCTGAATATAGAACACTTATAACCAACGTCACGTCCATGTTCGAGAGTCAAACACAAATGAAGTACCGTTGTGTTGTTAGGTTTTAAGTATTGCCCTAATTGAAGAAGAGCGAGATATATTTGTCGGTCGATTTTATGCTGCACTCGTCGCGCTCACAACAAACCTTCCAGCCGTTGCTAAGGAGGGAAATCTAAACACGGAGTCAACGCTTGCTTAGCAACGACACAGTGGTGTCCCTCAATGGATCATTTGCCGCAGTGCTCGGACCGGCGATGTGTTGAACAGGCTTGTTACATAAGTGGGATTTAAGAAAGGGTCAAAATGGCGAGAAGGTAAGCCACTATTAGCATTGGTACATTTCTTTGGGGTAGGGAGAGGTTCTTCTCTATTGGGAATTGTACATGTCGTCTGCCACACAAAGGAAAATAGGGCCGTGCGCAAGTGCCTTCTGCTCTTCAATGCAGAAATATGTTATCGTCAGTGTGTACTGACAATGCCCCTTTGACAACCCATTCATTGGATTATAGTTGTCAAAGAGCCCATTAGAACGCTACATAGACACTCACAAATACTCCTAGTGAGACGTATGTGACACATGACATGCACCGTGAGGTTATATCTTGCTTGAAAGCTTCACAAACACGTATTTCGTTTGCTGTCACAAGTGGAGACATTTCTGACGTTCCATCTATCTGTTTCTATACGCATTAGGACCCGTGAAAATCCAGGGTAGAATAGGTCTTCAGCAACCCATGCTTGCCGTAAAAGGCGACTATGCTTGTCGTAAAAGGCGACTAACGGGATCGGGGGGTCAGGCTCGCTTATTTGTTTGATGCATGTCATTGTATCCCAATTGCGTGGATCGATGCTCAAGATGTCAATCACTGGATTGTCTGGTCCAGACTCGATTATTTACAGACCGCCGTCATATAGCTGGAATATTGCTGAGTGCGGCCTTAAACAACAAACAAACAAACTATATGCATTAGCGTCTCCATGTTCATACGTGTTATATTTCATACAGCATATCATATTTCACATTTATATTGCACACATATATACATTTCATATTTCTATTTCTTGATTAAAATATTTGGTTCATGGAACACACTCTAATTAACTCTTTATAAATATTTACAACCGCTATACAACCGCGAGAATGGCTTTCATTTCCTTTTTGAGTCGGCTGTTGGAGAATATTTATTACATTAAGATTAGGCGGAATTTAATATCAGATCATTGAATTCTGTGACAATGTCAGACAAACTTAAAATTGCAAAGCGCCCGAATATTTAGCGTACGTTGTCTGTTCTTCATTGCAGAATTTAGGTCGAGGTTCATCCTCCGTCAAGTTGAAAAAAAATATTTACGAATTATGACGAATAAGGAGTTGAAATATCCTTTACATCGAAACAAACCCTATATTATACTGAGATATACCTAAAATATATTCTTTTTTTATATATAGAAAAAGTCTATTTAATATACGAACATAAGAATAGACATATATATTAATTAGAATATGCTTTCAAGAAATAATGGAATTGTTTACGACTGATCTGACAGATACTCATAGGAGATCAAATACATATGTAGTTCAAATTGATGAATAAAAAAAAATGATTGAGTAATAATTGAACATAAATCGTCAACACTTTAATTAGACGAAGGAAACAAAAGGCCTCTACGCTAAGGTCGTCATCACACATTTCTTCTAATTAATGACGTCACAAATATCGCGTTCCTTTGTTTATGACGTCACATCATCGCCCATGTTGTCGTAATGGGTGTCGCAACGAGGGAGTAGCGTTGCTCGGTAGCCTGTTCCTCACTGTCTGTCTACGTGGCGTAAATATCAACATTGGTGAGTTTGAGAAAACAACGTTTTTATACATGCGTACTTTACACTATGGGTATATAAACAATACTGCTGTTTAACCTGATGTCCACGAGGCTCCCCCGTCAGAATTATTACCAGGGCCCATGTGCACAAAGCGATCTTAGCACTACGGCTATTGTAAGCCTACGTTAAGGTATGGGAGTTCCGATCATCTGAGCGCTAAGATCGCTTTATGCAAGTTGGCCCTGGAATCCGACTCTTGTCGCCAGACCCGACACAAGAGGAATGGGTGTGTTTACAGAGTGTGACTTCGCTCATTGTGTCACCGTGCCCCGAAGTCGTGGATTTATGCTCGTGCTAATAATCACTGGTTTCCGTGGCCAGGATTCGATTTTTTCCAGGGTGTCGAGACATAGTTGCAATATTACTGACTGCGGTGTAATGCAACAATTACTCACTGTTGACTTGAATACGTCATATACCCAAGTGCATGGTTGAATTAACATTTGTTTTGTGGAATGACGCTTGTCTATTAGGCAGAGTAGGTCGCATATTTCCATCGATACTTTGCCTGACGTTGTTAAAGTCTGCCAAGAACGTCTGAGTGTGAGGCGGGTTGTATCTTCATATACATGTACAGCTGAGGCGGGGTGTATCTCTAATACATGTACACGTGAGGCGGGTTGTATCTCCACATACATGTACGCGTAAGGCGGGTGTATCTCCATATACATGTACACGTAAGGCGGGGTGTATCTCCATATACATGTACACGTAAGGCGGGGTGTATCTCCATATACATGTACAGCTGAGGCGGGTGTATCTCCACATACATGTACACGTAAGGCGGGGTGTATCTCCACATACATGTACACGTGAAGCGGGTGTATCTCCATATACATGTACAGCTGAGCCGGGTGTATCTCCACATACATGTACACGTGAAGCGGGTGTATCTCCATATACATGTACAGCTGAGGCGGGTGTATCTCCATATACATGTACAGCTGAGGCGGGGTGTATCTCCATATACATGTACACGTGAAACGGGTGTATCTCCATATACATGTACACGTGAAGCGGGTGTATCTCCATATACATGTACACGTGAGGCGGGGTGTATCTCCATATACATGTACACGTAAGGCGGGGTGTATCTCCATATACATGTACAGCTGAGGCGGAATGTATCTCCATATACATGTACGCGTAAGGCGGGTGTATCTTCATATACATGTACACGTGAGGCGGGGTGTATCTCCACATACATGTACAGCTGAGGCGGGGTGTATCTCCATATACATGTACAGCTGAGGCGGGTGTATCTCCATATACATGTACAGCTGAGGCGGGTGTATCTTCATATACATGTACACGTGAGGCGGGGTGTATCTCCACATACATGTACAGCTGAGGCGGGTGTATCTTCATATACATGTACACGTAAGGCGGGTTGTATTTCCATATACATGTACACGTGAGGCGGGTGTATATCCATATACATGTACACGTCAGGCGGGATGTATCTTCAAATTCATGTACACGTGAGGCGGGGTGTATCTTCATATACATGTACACGTAAGGCGGGTTGTATTTCCATATACATGTACACGTGAAGCGGGTGTATCTCCATATACATTTACAGGTGAAACGGGTGTATCTCCACATACATGTAGACGTGAGGCGGGTGTATCTTCATATACATGTACAGGTAAGGGGGGTTATATTTCCATATACATGTACACGTGAGGCGGGGATGTATCGATCTCCATATACATGTACACGTGAGGCGGGGTGTATCTCCATATACATGTACACGTGAGGCGGGGATGTATCTCCATATACATGTACACGTGAGGCGGGGTGTATCTCCATATACATGTACACGTGAAGCGGGTGTATCTCCATATACATTTACAGGTGAAACGGGTGTATCTCCATATACTGTACATGTAGACGTGAGCCGGGTGTATCTCCATATACATGTACACGTGAAGCGGATGTATCTCCATATACATGTACACGAGAGGCGGGATGTATCTCCATATACATGTACACGTGAGGCGGGGTGTATCTCCATATACATGTACACGTGAAGCGGGTGTATCTCCATATACATGTACACGTGAGGCGGATTGTATTTTCATATACATGTACACGTGAGGCTGAATGTATCTCCATATACATGTACATGTAAGGCGGGGTGTATCTCCATATACATTTACACGTGAGGCGGGTGTATCTCCATATACATGTACACGTGAGGCGGAATGTATCTCCATATACATGTACACGTAAGGCGGGGTGTATCTCCATATTCATGTACACGTGAAGTCAGCGTATCAGTGTATACATGTACACGTGCGGCGGAATGTATCTCCATATACATGTACACGTGAGGCGGGATGTATCTCCATATACATGTACACGTTAGGCGGGATGTATCTTCATATACATGTACACGTGAGGCGGGGTGTATCTCCATATACATGTACACGTGAGGCGGGGTGTATATCCATATACATGTACACGTGAGGCGGGTTGTATCTTCATATACATGTACACGTGAGGCGGGGTGTATATCCATATACATGTACACGTGAGGCGGGTGTATATCCATATACATGTACACGTGAAGTGAGCTGATCAGTGTATACGTGTACACATGTACACGTGAGGCGGGATGCATCTAACACACCCAGTGATGAATTCTGTAACTCATAAACATAGATATTATTAATGGACCCATATGTCAAATGGTCGGGTATCATTAAGAAATACGCAGACAAATGCAATTAAAACATCGTGAATTTCATCCAGCTAAACGTATCTCGGTCTATTTTCACGCGGAGAATACTCTTGATCGTGTTACCAGGAGCACCGCTAATAACATGTACCGCACTTGTCTGGTATCTATGGACGCTACTTTAGCGGTGACATGCGCCGTGTAACTAGGTTTAAGTGTGATATACTAGTCTTCACAGATGGCACATAATGACAGGGGGTTGTAAATAATTTAAGGCCAGGTGTTGGCTCTTCGTTCCCAAGTACGTTGTTAACGTGAAATACGCAACCTAACGGCTAATAGTGATCGTAATAGCGAGTGGTAACAACGAGCAAAGTCAATAATAATGAAACATATATTAACAATAACGATGACAAAGAACCCAAACAGCGACGACTACAACGATGATGCATAATGTTGTTGTTGTTGTTGTTGATGATGATGATGGTGATGAGGACAATAGTAACACCAACTTTTCCACTTCCAAACCAGCAAAAAGCACTTGGCTTGGCTGGCGACATACATCTTCAGCGTCAGTTGTGGAAATCATGATTAATCATCAACTAAGTACAATGAATGCAAGTGCCCTGGTTTGTTGAAGAGAATGTTATCTGTATATAGTATCAAGTCGTGGATCATTGAGCCTAGGTAATTACTTATCCACGGACATGCCACGACATGCACCTGCACTTGTGTATTTCACACAATGGTTGACAGGTGGTTGGTTGTACGTACAGTTCAGTCCTATGCGACAACTATTGGTTAATTTTAAGTAGGTTTCGTCCATTCATTGCCATTGACAACTATCCCTGTGACAAAAATGAATATCTTATATCGCGGATAGGAAAAATTAATTCCATGGCATGACCTCGTGTATCAATGAAATCGAAACGCTTTGCAATTCAAACTCTTGTACGGCGAGTCGGTTTCACGTTTCACCCGGTCGGTTGTACATGTATGCCTTAATAAGCTGCAACCTACACAATGTAATGCGCTTGACAGCTGTGATATATAGCTATTTATGCCGACGACAGGTTGCTTATATACTACTGTTGCTGTAAACACAGACCTGAATAGTGAACCAGTTTAGAGTTTAGCTCATTGAAATATGGAAGTATTTATAATTCTCTTTGTGAATCTACCATTGTAATCAACAACTGTTAAGTGCAAAATAAAAAAAAGTCAATTTAATCTGAGTCGTACGAAAGCTTTATGGTGCTACTTTGGTAGCACACATATAGTTTTTAATCCAAATTTCTCGTTGTTTCAATTATTTTTTTCTCTTATTACTTCGATTATATTTTTGTAATTTCAATAATGTTTTCGTTACTTTGATCTCTCTCTCGTTATTTCGGGTATTTTCTCGTTATTTCAATTATTTCTCGTTGCTTCGAGTTTTGTCTCGTTACTTCTATTATTTTCTCGTAATCTCGATTATTTTCTCGTTATTTCGATTATGTTCTCGTTATTTCAAGTTTCAAACTCGAAATTTCGAGAAAATAACTGAAATAAAAAAATAATGTTTGAAGTAATGCGAAAGACCTCGAAATTTCGAGAAAATAATTGAAATAACGAGAAATTTCGATTTAAAGGAATTAATAAATGCTTCCAAAGTGGCACCATTGTGCTGACGTAAAATCGAGTGTTTTGGTATAATTGTGCAAGGGACATGGACGAATGAAGACGCTCCACATATCAACACACGTGATGTATTCATCAACACATGCTCATGTTGTAGTGATTACGGTACAACGTCGTGTCAGCGGTTTGTACAGCCTTTAGAATTCCAACGGCAATGTTTGCTCAGCACGGTTTCCATATACTGTAATAGCAAACGTGAGTCTGTCTTTCCGATCACCACCAACCGTCTCAGCGATATTGTCTTAAAAAGTATTATTTAATATTTCAGACAAAATGGTGTGATCGATGTTGACGACAACGCACCCTTTCTGTCCGAGTACTCGAAGCGGTACCCCTCCCACCCGATCCCCCCGCGGGAGAGCTACAAACCCAACTACGAGCCTGTGAGGGCGGACGCGGACATGGAGAACAAGACCACGACCAGGTGAGAGGGGGTAGCGCGGTCACGCCCTAAGGGTGGGGTGGTGGTGCGGTGGGGTGGGGTTGGGGGTTGGGGGTTGGGGTGGGGTGGGGGGGGGGGGGGGGGGGGAGGGAGGTAGGGGTAGGATTTGGGGATTGAAGGTATGTCGGGTGGATGCAGGGACATTGCACTGCTGTGTGACGTACGGGTGGCTAGTTGGAAGGGTTTGAGTTGAGTGGATTAGGCGGTGGGTAGTGAATTATAACACTTGTTACACGGTTTAGCAGTGAGTGAGAGAGCGATGTTTATCGCGGCTTTCAGCAATAATCAAGGTATTTCACAGCCGTGATTAGACTCACTCACGGGCAAATAACGGTAGCTGTATGAGTAGACGAACATCAGGTTTGCTGTAATACGGTCATGGAAAATTGTCATGTGTGTGTTGTCAACTTGTCACATAATGTAAGTGATCCTCATATGTGAGTGTGTGTTGTCATGTGATGTTGGTGATTGTTATATGTGAGTGTGTGTTGTCATGTGATGTGGGTGATCCTTATGTGAGTGTGTGTTGTCATGTGATGTGGGTGATCCTTATGTGTGAGTGCATGTTGTCATGTGGGTGATCCTTATATGTGAATGCATGTTGTCATGTGATATGGGTGATCCTTATATGTGAGTGTGTGTTGTCATGAGATGCGGGTGATCCTTATATGTGAATGCATGTTGTCATGTGATGTGGGTGATCCTTATGTGTGAATGCATGTTGTCATATGATGTGGGTGATCCTTATATGTGAATGCATGTTGTCATGGGATGTGGGTTATCCTTATGTGTGTGAATGCATGTTGTCATATGATGTGATGTAGGTTATCCTTATGTGTGTGAATGCATGTTGTCATATGATGTGGGTGATCCTTATGTGTGAGTGTGTGTTGTCATGAGATGTGCGTGATTGTAATATGTGAATGCATGTTGTCATGTGATGTGGGTGATTGTTATATGTGAATGCATGTCTTCATGTGATGTGGGTGATCCTGATATGTGAATGCATGTTGTCATGTGATGTGGGTGATCCTGATATGTGAATGCATGTTGTCATGTGATGTGGGTGATCCTTATATGTGAATGCATGTTGTGATGTGGGTGATCCTAATATGTGAATGCATGTTGTGATGTGATAAGGGTGATCCTGTTGTGTGAGTGCATGTTGTCATGTGATGTTGGTGATCCTGATATGTGAATGCATGTTGTGATGTGGGTGATCCTAATATGTGAATGCATGTTGTCATATGATGTGGGTGATCCTGATATGTGAATGCATGTTGTCATGTGATAAGGGTGATCCTTATGTGAGTGTGTGTTGTCATGTGATGTGGGTGATCCTTATGTGTGAATGCATGTTGTGATGTGGGTGATCCTTATATGTGAATGCATGTTGTCATATGATGTGGGTGATCCTTATATGTGAATGCATGTTGTCATGTGATATTGGTGATCCTTATATGTGAATGCATGTTGTCATGTGATGTGGGTGATCCTTATGTGTGAATGCATGTTGTCATGTGATGTGGGTGATCCTGATATGTGAATGCATGTTGTCATGTGATATGGTTGATCCTTATGTGTGAGTGTGTGTTGTAATGTGATATGGGTAAGTCCTTATATATGTGTGTTGTCATGTGATGTGGGTGATCCTTATATGTGTGTGTTGTAATGAGATGTGGGTGATCCTTTTGTGTTAGTATGTGTTGTCATGTGATGTGGGTGATCCTTATGTGTTTTGTCATGTGATGCGGGTGATCCTTATATGTGTGTGTTGTCATGTGATGCGGGTGATCCTTATGTGTGTGTGTGTTGTCATGTGATAAGGGTGATCCTTATGTGAGTGTGTGTTGTCATGTGATGTGGGTGATCCTTATGTGTGAATGCATGTTGTGATGTGGGTGATCCTTATATGTGAATGCATGTTGTCATATGATGTGGGTGATCCTTATATGTGAATGCATGTTGTCATGTGATATTGGTGATCCTTATATGTGAATGCATGTTGTCATGTGATGTGGGCGATCCTTATGTGTGAATGCATGTTGTCATGTGATGTGGGTGATCCTGATATGTGAATGCATGTTGTCATGTGATATGGTTGATCCTTATGTGTGAGTGTGTGTTGTAATGTGATATGGGTAAGTCCTTATATATGTGTGTTGTCATGTGATGTGGGTGATCCTTATATGTGTGTGTTGTAATGAGATGTGGGTGATCCTTTTGTGTTAGTATGTGTTGTCATGTGATGCGGGTGATCCTTATATGTGTGTGTTGTCATGTGATGCGGGTGATCCTTATGTGTGTGTGTGTGTTGTCATGTGATGTGGGTGATCCTTATATGTGAGTGGGTGTTGTAATGTGATGTGGGTGATCCTTATGTGTGAGTGGGTGTTGTAATGTGATGTGGGTGATCCTTATATGTGTGTGTGTGATGTCATGTAATGTGGGTGATCCTTTTATATGTGAGTGGGTGTTGTAATGTGATGTGGGTGATCCTTATGTGTGAGAGGGTGTTGTAATGTGATGTGGGTGATCCTTATGTGTGTGTGTGTTGTCATGTGATGCGGGTGATCCTTATGTGTGTGTGTGACGTCATGTAATGTGGGTGATCCTTATGTGTGTGTGGGTTGTCATGTGATGCGGGTGATCCTTATGTGTGTGTGTGTTGTCATGTGATGCGGGTGATCCTTATATGTGTGTGTTGTCATGTGATGTGGGTGATCCTCATGTGTGTGTTGGCGACACACATGTGATGAGGGCGACACTGACGAAACAAAACAGTTCTACCTGATGAGTATGCCCGTGGCATGACGCGTCCATTGTACGCCACTGGAAGTTGTGTTTCTGCACGTTTTAGACATGATCTAGAATTGTTAAGAGACATCGCGGAAGCACAAAGAACTCAACACGTTAACCAATATGGCTAAAATAGCATTCTAACATAAGACAGAATGAAAACAGTCCTTGACTTGTACTATTTATTTTGATCAGGCCAAGAAAATATTACTTCCGAATTCAGCCTTGAGATGGAACAGATTGTTGCGATAGTTTTCGCGGACTAACAAATTAGTATGTCTGCTTCCTAAACACAGTACTAAGTATAGAGTGTTACTTATTCATGAGAACGGCCCATAGTCAAGGCATGAGATTAAGACGAGGTATTGACCTACTGCCGGTAGTGGACAGGCAAGCGAAGCCGCACGCAATCACGCACTACAATCTGTCTTGACACCAGGGCATTTGTGACTGGCGTCATGTGACATACTGCACGTCACTTAGAAGCTTCACTGACTTTGAATATACGATGGTGAAATTTAACTACTCACTGCTTATATTATTCACCGAATGGTAGTTTTATCCATTGATTGAATGCCCCGGTGAGGATTCTTGGTTCATAGGATATATAGACCGACTTCAACCTATGCTAGGCGCAAAAGGCGGCCAAGTGAATCGGGTGGTCAGGCTCGGTGACTTGGTTGATGGAGCGTCATCGTATACATACAGTGTAGATCGTTGTCACAATATCAATCACTTGATTGTCTGGTCGAGATTCGATTATGTACAGGCTGCTGTTATATAGCTGTTATATTGCTGAGCGCGGCGTTAAACAACCAAACATTAATTGAATGGAATATGTTCAGCGTATTAAGATGAAACCGTGTTGTGCATTCGAGGTTCATAGTATTAAGTATTTTAGTTCATTTATCAATGCCCAAATGACGAATCTGATTTTATAAATTATTCTTAACTTGCCATCAATGTTTTATGTTTGACAAAACAGAAGTGTGTGTCGACACAGACACATTTCTCCGAACTTAAATAACCACTTAAAGACGGGCTTTACATACCGTATTGCCTATAAAACTAACTAGATCCAGTGTCTACTTGCCTCAATATTCACGTATGGTCACATATATGGAACTCACTATGTGGAACGCTTCATTAACATACATATGCAACTGGACAAAGTCACGCACCATTTACTTGATATTTCCGCTTATCGTTATATTTACAAAGAGGCATATTGAAGTACATAAACCGAAATCGATTATCCAATGACATGTTTTGTGACTGTTCCATGGAAAAGAGTTATTTGGTTGCCCCTTCCATTTCTTCCCCTGTTACCCGTGAAGATCATGCTTAGAATAGGCCTTCAGTAACCATGCTTATCTTAAGAGGCGACTAACGGGACCAGGACCCACTTGCATAAAGCAATCTTAGTGCTAAGATTATTGTAAGTCTATGTTAAAGTATGGGCGTTACGATCATCTTAGCGCTAAGATCGCTTTGTGCAAGTGGGCCCTGGTGGTCAGGCTCGCTGACTTGGTTGATGCATGTCATCGTATCACACTTTCGTAGACCGTAGCTCATGATGTCCAGACTCGATTATTTACAGACCGCCGTCATATAGCTGGAATACTTCTGAGTGCGGCGTTAAATAACAAGCAAACAAAACCTTCGCCAAGCAGTGATTCGTATGTGTCACTCTCCCTCTCTGTGGGAGACATTGCCAGCAATGATTTCATGCTAAATGAATTTTTTTTCTGTGAACGTTGTTTGAATGCAACACACTGAAAATCGTGTTACAGTATAGTCATGGCGTCAGTGTTTTTCAATATTTAATACGGGGGTTGTCATCGTTACACGCCTCAGTGTTGCATGATGCACCGCTTCACACACGCTGTGGTGACGCAGGAAGCCGGCCTCTTAGACATTCATTGCTATGCTGCCATCAGGTATTGAACCCATTTATAAATCATGGGTGTGTTTTTGCTGGTATAAACGATCATTCGTTTGGTGCTTATGCTTGTCAGAGATAACTTGTATGGGGACTCGTGACCGCAGTGACAATGTGAATATCACATGGGTGGGTAACCGTATAAAAATACCTACCTCAGATGTATCACACCGTCAACTCGTAGATGTTTGCTTAGACCCTCCACCACTGGTTTGCTGGTCAAGACCCATATGTTCTGAATGCGTTGCTCATGGTTTTATATAATTCTGAAGAATGTATTTACTTTTATTAGTTAACTTTTCAAGTCGGGAAAACAGATATTTATTATTAAATCAGCAGTATTTATAATTATTTGTGACCCTCCAAAATGTAATCAGCTGGATATAGCAACAAGTAAATGATGATCAGAACATATATTTCTTGTTTGCTTTGATATTAATAATTAAGATAACTTTGTTATAGAAATGAATTCTGGGTTAATGTAAACGCATCTGCTATGACAATTTAGATAAGTTCTAAATATCGTGTGTTTTATTTCCAATCACAGACAAGACTATCCCGAATGGGAGCTGCCTGAACGGAAACCCAGAGAACGAGCTTTGTGGAACCCTCCGAAAGATCCCTTCTTAGGTTCATCAACAGCTAAAGATGATTTTAAGGGAAGCTATTTACCGAAACAAAAGAGCTATAAACCCAATTCTGACCCATACAGATCTGATGCACCGATTGAAAGTAAGACTACCTCGCGATCTGATTATCCTGAACACAAGATAGAACCCCGTCAAAAGCGACAAATTCAGGCATACCAGAAACCAGAAGTTCGCATGGAAGGAGATACGATCAATCGTTTGAACTATCCTGAACACGAACTGACTCCAAGGCAAAGTTTTAAACCTGCAAATACTGTTCTGAGTTCCAAAGACCCTTTCGATAACAAGACCATCACTCGTTCAGAGTATCCTGAGCACCCAATAGAACCAAGAAAAAGGCGGGATCCTCACCAGTATGTGAAACCAGATGGGAAAATGGATGGAACTTCTACTTCCAAATCTGAATTTCCAGAGCATTCTATACAGCCACGGCAGAGTTACAAACCAGCAAACGCTGCACTAAAGTCTGAGGATCCTTTTGATGGGAGCACAACAAGCCGAAAAGAATACCCTGAGCATCATATTGAGCCAAGGAGAAGACGAGAGGTCCAGCAGTATGTCAGACCAGAAGGTACAATGGAGGGTAATACATCTAACCGTCTTGATTTTCCTGAACATTCAATATCTCCCAGGAAGAGTTATAAACCAACCAGTACTTTTGAGAAATCTGGGGACCCCTTTGATGATAAAACTACAGCAAGACGTGACTTTCCAGAGCATGCAATAGAACCCCGGAAACGACGGGAGGCTCAACTGTATGTTAAACCTCTTGATAAAATGGAAGGTGTATCCACAAGTAAAGCTGAGTTTCCTGAGCATCAGATAACCCCGAGGCAAAGCTACAAACCTTCTCACAGTGTTCAGAGATCTGAGGATCAATTTGAGAAGCAAACGACCACTAAGTTTGATTATCCTGAGCATACAGTCGCACCACGCCAGAAGAGACAGCCAAGGCAATATGTGCAACCTGAAGGTAAGATGGATGGTACTACTACAACTCAGTCTGCCTTTCCCCAGTACGAACTTTCACCTAGGAAGAGCTACAAGCCTGCAAACAGCGTTTTGAAGTCAGAGGATCCATTCGACAATACAACAACTGCGAGGCAGGACTATCCAGAACATGCCATTGAACCAAGACAAAGAAGAGAACAGCAGAAATATGTCAAACCAGAAGGAACGATGGAGGGTCTTTCTACCACCAGATCAGAATTTCCTTTACATGAATTGCAAAAGAGACAGAGTTTCAAACCTGCTAATACTGTCCAACCTGCTACGGATCGATTTGAAGATAAGACCACCTCAAGGCAAGACTTCCCAGAACATACTGTGGAACCCAGGAAGCGCAGAGAATACCAGCAGTATGCCAAGCCTGAAGGTGTCATGGACGGTGTATCAACAAGCCGATCAGAGTTCCCTGAACATCAACTCACCCAAAGGCAAAGCTTCAAGCCTGCTAATAATGTTCAGAAGTCAGATGATCCGTTCAATGATAACACTACCTCTAGGTTAGTATTATCAATCTTCCCACGGGAATATGGACACAAAATATTTTAGTGAAGTGTTTAAATAGTAGTAGTAGTAGTTATTTGCGTGTGTTTGCTGTAACATGTTGTTTTATTTATATAATTGGTAAGGGTTTCATATTTAGTTATAGTTTTGGTTATTCATTTTGCATGACCTCTTGTTTTCCTATAGAACTGTTTTGTCATTCCCTTAACAGGCAAGATTTTCCTGAGCACAGAATTGAACCTAGACAGAGACGCCAACCTCAACAGTACATGAAACCAGATGGAGTAATGGAGAAGAACACGTCCAATCATTTGGATTATCCTGAACATGAACTGTCACCACGAAAGAGTTATAAGCCTTCAAATTCTGTACAACGATCCGAGGACCCATTGGAAGATATAACAACAGCTAGACAGGATTATCCTGAACATAAGGTTGAACCTCGACAGAGAAGAGCGATGCATCAATATGTAAAGCCTGAAGGCAAGATGGAGGGTGTGTCTACAAACCGATTGGAGTATCCTGAGCACCAACTTACTCCAAGACAGACTTTCAAACCTGCAAATGCTGTTGTCAAATCTGATGATCCATTTGAAGATAAAACTACAGCCAGGTTAGTACTGTCTGAAAATAGGCGAGACAATGAGCTGGAGTGCCGCTACTTTCAGCAGTTTATGTCATAATTGTATCATGCTCATGATATTCATGATTGAAGTATTGTATTTGTGTTTTTGTCACAACTAACATTATTAACCAAACTTGTCGTTATATGTTCATATGATTGTTTTGTTGCTGTTTTTATTCTGAAAGAAGTAAGCATCGCTGCATACCATTTCCAAGTTGTGAAGACATGCAACAGGTAGAATCAGTGAGTTCATTGTTAATTTGATGAACTGTTCCCCCTTCAGATCAGACTACCCTGAACATCAAATCGAGCCAAGGGAGAGGCGACAGCCTCAGCAATACCTTAAACCAGAGGGGAAAATGGAGGGGGGCACCACCAATCGCTCAGACTTTCCTGAACATGAAATCACACCCAGGCAAAGTTATAAGCCAGTGAACTCTGTGCAGAGATCTGAAGATCCTTTTGATGATAAGACTACAGCAAAGCAGGATTATCCTGAACACATGATTGAGCCTCGAATGAGGAAACAGCCACAACCTTATGTGAAACCAGATGGTGTGATGGATAGTAACACATCCAACCGTATTGACTTTCCTGAACATGTCCTTTCACCTCGCCAGAGTTATAAACCCAGTAATTCAGTACAGCAGTCAACTGATCCCTTTGAAGATAAAACAACTGCCAGACAGGATTTCCCTGAACACATTATTGAACCTCGGCAGAGAAGAGCACCCGAAACATATGTGAAGCCTGAAGGAAAGATGGAAGGTTTGTCCACAAACCGATTGGAATATCCTGAACACCAACTCACACCAAGACAGAGTTTCAAACCTACAAATGCTGTTCTGAAGTCAGATGATCCATTTGAAGATAAGACAACAGCCAGGTCAGTAAGGAAGGAAAATGATTGGGATATCAAACACAAGGCCCGCTAAGTTTGGAAGTCGAAAAAGCCATTTTAGAAATTTAATGCTTTCTGTGTTTGACAACAATATATTATAAAAAGTAATGTTATGACTTACATAAAGTATCGTATTTGTCATGGTATACAGTTATTTTTAAAGTGTCAAGTAGATTCAATTATTGTGCATGTTTCTGCTCACAGTGTTATGTGCCACACTGATGTTTGCAGTGAATAAATATTCTATTTTGAATGCATTTTCTGAAGAAACCAGCAGATTTGGTGTTTGAGAATCAGGTGTAGATTGTAAATACATCAGTGTACGTTTAACAGAAACGTTGATATCATTGATAATTCGACTAATCATTCACATTCAGATCCGACTACCCTGAACATCAAATCGAGCCAAGGCAGAGGCGACAGCCTCAGCAATACCTCAAACCAGAGGGGAAAATGGAAGGGGCTACAACCAATCATTCAGACTTTCCTGAATATGAAATCACACCCAGGCAAAGTTATAAACCAGTGAACTCTGTGCAGAGATCTGGAGATCCTTTTGATGATAAGACTACAGCAAAGCAGGATTATCCTGAACACATGATTGAGCCTCGAATGAGGAAACAGCCACAACCTTATGTGAAGCCAGATGGTGTGATGGATAGTAACACATCCAACCGTATTGACTTTCCTGAACATGTCCTTTCACCTCGCCAGAGTTATAAACCCAATAATTCAGTACAGCAGTCAACTGATCCCTTTGAAGATAAAACAACTGCCGGACAGGATTTCCCTGAACACATTATTGAACCTCGGCAGAGAAGAGCACCCGAAACATATGTGAAGCCTGAAGGAAAGATGGAAGGTTTGTCCACAAACCGATTGGAATATCCTGAACACCAACTCACACCAAGACAGAGTTTCAAACCTACAAATGCTGTTCTGAAGTCAGATGATCCATTTGAAGATAAGACAACAGCCAGGTTAGTAAGGATCGGACCTGGTCAAGATTTTAGAAAGCAGTATAGATATTAGCATATTTGATGATCTCTTTTTTCATGCTTTCTGTATGATGACACCAGATGTTCTCAGGAAAATGCGGATGATATCAAATCAAGGATTTGAAAGCAACTACATAATGTATATAACAAAGGTACATTTCCATTTCGAATTTGTTAAACACACATATAAGCATATGGTTTGTATACTAACGATACTAATGATAAATATAAGGCCACCATAAAATTCGATGAGTGTTTCATCGATAACTTGATTAATCATTCACCTTCAGATCAGACTTCCCTGAACATCACATTGAGCCAAGGCAGGTACCACAACCCCAGCCATACCTCAAACCAGAGGGGAAAATGGAAGTGGCTACAACCAATCGTTCAGACTTTCCTGAATATGAAATCACACCCAGGCAAAACTTTAAGCCAGTAAACTCTGTGCAGAGATCTGAAGATCCTCTAGAGGATAAAACTACAACGAGGCAGGATTATCCTGAACACATGATTGAGCCCCGAAAGAGGAAGGCGCAACAGCAGTATGTGAAACCGGATGGTGTGATGGAAAGTAACACATCTAACCGTATGGACTATCCTGAACATGCCCTCGCACCTCGAGAAAGTTTTAGACCTTCAGACGCTGTTCAAAAATCAGATGTCCCCTTCGAGGATCAAACAACTGCGAGAATGGACTACCCAGAGCATCAGATTGAGCCTAGACAGAGGAGAGAGCATTTGAAGTATGTGAAACCAGATGGAAAAATGGAGGGGCTCACCACCAACCGATCAGACTTTCCAGAACATGAGCTCACTCCACGTGAAAGTTTCAAACCTGCAGGCACAGCTCTACATTCTGATGTACCATTTGATGGCAACACCACAAATCGGTCTGAATATCCAGAACATGAAATTCAGCGACGGGCCAAACGACTTCCACAGGAGTATGTAAAACCAGACGGGAAGATGGAAGGTGATACAACGAACAGGGCTGATTATCCTGAACATGCCATCTCTCAAAGAGTTAGTTATAAGCCTGTTAATTCTGTCCAGAAGTCTGATGATCCTTTTGATGATAAGACCACCACTCGTGAAGATTACCCTGAACACATTATAGAGCCAAGATTAAGAAGGGAGGCCCAGCAGTACACCAAGCCCGAAGGTGCCATGGAAAGTAACACATCCAATCGACTAGACTACCCTGAACATGCATTATCTCAACGGGAGAGTTTCAAACCCAATGATGCAGTTCAGAGATCAAATGTCCCCTTTGATGATCAAACAACGGCGAGAACGGACTACCCAGAGCATCAGATTGAGCCTAGACAGAGGAGAGAGCATTTGAAGTATGTGAAACCAGATGGAAAAATGGAGGGGCTCACCACCAACCGATCAGACTTTCCAGAACATGAGCTCACTCCACGTGAAAGTTTCAAACCTGCAGGCACAGCTCTACATTCTGATGTACCATTTGATGGCAACACCACAAATCGGTCTGAATATCCAGAACATGAAATTCAGCAACGGGCCAAACGACTTCCACAGGAGTATGTAAAACCAGACGGGAAGATGGAAGGTGATACAACGAACAGGGCTGATTATCCTGAACATGCCATCTCTCAAAGAGTTAGTTATAAGCCTGTTAATTCTGTCCAGAAGTCTGATGATCCTTTTGATGATAAGACCACCACTCGTAAAGATTACCCTGAACACAATATAGAGCCAAGATTAAGAAGGGAGGCCCAGCAGTACACCAAGCCTGAAGGTGCCATGGAAAGTAACACATCCAATCGACTAGACTACCCTGAACATGCATTATCTCAACGGGAGAGTTTCAAACCTAATGATGCAGTTCAGAGGTCAAATGTCCCCTTTGATGACCAAACAACGGCGAGAACGGACTACCCAGAGCATCAGATTGAGCCCAGACGAATAAGAGAACCTGTTCAGTATGTGAGACCAGAAGGCAAGTTTGAAGCCATGTCCACAAACAGATCTGAATTCATCGAACATGAAATTACCCCAAGGGAAAGTTATAAGCCACACAATGCACCTCTTCAAACAGGAGTTCCTTTAGATGATCAAACTACGAACAGGGTGGATTATGGTGAACATAAGGTGGAACCTAGAATAGCTATTCAAAAAGAACCTTACAGGAAGCCAGAAGGTGACATGAATTTCAGCACAACAAACAGAGACAACTACACAGAAAAGGCAGCAGCCAGGGAGCCAGTCAAACGTCCCGAGTCAGCACATATCATAGAAATGAATGGACATTTTGATTCAGGAACAAGCTATGGGTCTGATTTTAAGGGTTATGACATTACCCCTCGTGAACTATTCAATGCGAAGGATAATTACCAGCGACCAACAGTACCCATGGAAACAGCTACTAGTCAACATCTTGACTATCCCCAGCACCAGCTACCATCGAAAGTTCCTCACAAAGTGGTGACCTACACTGCTCCTACTGTGCAGTTTGAGGGGAGTACAACAACCTCTGACAGCTATAAGGGGAATTTTGTACCTAAGCAGAAGAGTTATAAGCCTAGTGGGGAGCCCTATCGATCAAATGTTCCATTAGATGGCACAACCACAGCCAAAAGTGATTACCAAGAACACAAGATTGAACCACGCCAAGTCGTCGTTCCTGAACCCTATAGAAAGCCTGATGGCAAAATGGACTTCAGCACAATAAATCAACAGCAGTTCACTTCCAAAGCATCACCAAGAGAAACTATCAAGAGACCAGAGTCATCCCATGTCATGGAAATGAATGGTAAATTTGAAGGCTCCACTCGGTATAATGCTGACTTTGTATCCCATGGTGTACATGCAAGAGAGGTTGTCAAGAAAAGCCAGAACTATGTACCTCCAGCTGTGAAAATGGAAGGCAATACCACCAATAGAATGGCCTTCACTGAGAAGAACCTTGAACCGAGGCAAAGTTTCAAGCCTCCCTCAGATGTGCAAAAGCATGATATACCTTTTGATGGTAGAACTGGTTACAGTGACACCTTTGTTGGTCACGAAATACAACCCAAACAGGTGAAGGCAAAATCTGAGTATGTTGCTCCAGCCACTAAGTTCTCTGGTTCAACGACAACTGGTGACAGCTACAAAGGAACGTTCGCCCCAAAACAGCAGAGCTACAGACCTAGTGGGGAACCTTACACATCTGGTATTCCATTGGAGGGTACAACTACAGCCAGACAGGATTTCAAGGAACATAAAGTGGAGCCAAGGTGGGTCAAAGAGAGACAGGTTTATACAAAGCCAGAGGGGGGATTTGATTTCAACACAACGAACAAATTAAACTTCACAGCGAAGGACACGCCGAGGCAAACTGTGAGCAAACCTTTGTCATCTGGAGTCATGAAGAGTGGTGGTCAATTTGAGGGATCAACCAGCTATGGTGCTGACTTTAAGACTCATCACATCAATTCCCGAGCTGTGAAGAAGAATCAAGAATATGTGTCTCCAGCAGTACCTATGGCCAGTGATACGACAAGCAGAAGGGACTTCACACAGCATACTCTGACCCAGAGACAGAACTTCAAACCAACACATACTGTTCAGATGTCACAGGAACCATTCATTGGTAGCACGGGTTATAGGGACACATTTAAAGAACATCAGTTATCTCAGAAGACAGTCAAACAGAAGGAAGAATATAATCACCCCAAAGTACCATTCCATGGCGTCACAACAAATATGCAAGACTTCACAGACAAGACGGCCCCCAAGAGGGGAGCATTTAAGCCAGTAGAAAATACAGTCAGGTCAAGTGCTCCTGTGGAGAGTACCACTACAGCAAAGCGTGATTATGGTAGTTACAAAGTTGGGAGTCGACCTGTGAAGAGACAGGAGGCTTATGTCCGACCTGAGGGACAGATGGATCTTAGAACGACAAACAATGAGTACTTTAAACAGCCTGAAGCGACGGGGAGACAGGCTTCTACAAGACCCGCTTCATCAGGGGTACTCAAGTTCGGGGGAAACATTGACTTCAGCACGAACTACAGCAATAGTTTCCAGAAGTCTGAAGCTACAAACCGTCCCGAGCGGAAGGTAAAAGAAGCCTTTGTCCCGAATCCCATACCCTTTCAGGGTATGACGACTCATCAGTCTGAGTTCATTAACCGCCATGGCTCCAAAGCCCTTAGTTTCAAACCTGATCCAGTTCCCTTCTCTAGTAATGCCAAGTTCGATAACTCTACTACATACAGCGCTGATTTCCACAAAGGAACTCCTCCTTGGATGCAGAACGTTCCTGGTCCGGTCACTGTTGGTGCACAAGCATGAAGAAATGAACTGAACTGATCCATAAACTGAACAATTTCGGTGTTTAGCTCAGACTCTTTAACTCACAATGTGTGATGGCCATAACAAACTCACAACATGCTCGCGCTGCTTTTTTTGGTACACTTTGCTTAACAACCGCTTATCAAAAGCAACATGTCTCACTATTAAAATTCTCACCTTACTTCGCAACACACGTTTTATCACCCCAGTTGATAGTAACACTGGTATTAATAACCATAAATTTTTGAGAAATTAATTTTTGCTTTGTTTGCAGTTTTGTTCTTAGTGGTTTAATTCTTCTTTCATTGTTATATTATTTATTTGTTTCTGCTTTTTTAAGATGTTAACGCTCTGACCAACGAAAAAAAGTTTTCATTTTCTCTCCGTAAATAACCGAGAGGTTATTTCAAATATTGCATCATTATATTACTTTATGCATTTTCGTTAGTGTATTGTTTTTATTTTTTATGTGCAGCTGCTTGATATAATATATATGGTGTTGTGAATATTAAGTTACGCAGACTTTTAGTCGTTGTTTTATTGTGCAGTAGGGTTGTTCTCTTCTGTCACCTGTTATTTCAAGGCACATTCTACTTCACTACCATGTGAATGTCTGACCTAAGGGAAGTAACTCTGTATGACATTGCGTTGAACAGTTTCACGATTACCTACTTCATTTCAATTATGTTGCACTAAAGAACTGTTGGGCTCTTATTTTAGAAAAGAATAAATCTTGGTCTCTTTTTAAACAAATATTTTTATAAATGTGACTTTCATATGGGTTATTGGTTTAGTTTTTTGTATTACTGTATGTTTTAACTGACTCTTTATTTTCAAAACGAATGCTTGATGTTCTGCTCTATGTAGCTTTATATTATATATATATGATGGAAATGTGATACGACTCCTTTTGTAAAGTAATATATGAATCATTAAATGGTGTAGATTCTTATACACGTATTTAAAAAAGTGATTTCTATCCAACAGTGCGTGTAAGTACAGACAGGTCTTCCTTTCAGGGGCACGTGCAGCTCTTTAGTCATTACTCACAACCTAGTCTATGTATTGTTCACACTAGGGCTTTGTGGTGCTCAGCACATCGCCATTTAGTTACTGTAGTACTTAGCAGAGTCTGTCAATCTCAGATGATTGTTCGAACTTTTCGTTTTCGATTTCGAACTTTTTGACTGAGAAATCATTGCGCACACTTACTCATTCGGAAATCTTCGGAAATTTCAATATTTGCGGAAATTGACGAACATTACCGAACATTCACGATGGTGCTTTTCCGTCTGAATATGAAATCATGTACATGATATATGTTCATACTGGGTATATTATCATTATATTCCATCGAAACTATCAAATTTTGGGTATACTCATAAAAATGATAAAACATACTCATTAACGACTTTAGAGTTTTTACGGTATATTTTCATACCATGTCATATTTTTTTCTCACGTTTAATGTTATTTTCGAGACTAACATCTTTAATCATCATAAGCTTTTTAATCTCTTTTTGTGCCAAAAGCTTTGTTTTTGATGGAATATTTCTTAATATATTCTCTGAAATCTGTGATAGATATCGATAATAAATGCATTACTGGTTGTTGGTATAATAAATATTAATCCTTGTAGACTTTTTCTTACTTTTTGTTTTCATTGAAAAATAACTAACGCGTAGTAGGTTAGCAAAAGCGAAATTAGAAATTCTAAAGTTACCTATATCAAAGTGACGTAGCAATCACATTGCATAATCTGTATTCCATAATGTGTAGTGAGACTAGAGCCTTCATGCACTGCTTCACAACTCTCTATAGTGCTAGATTAGGCTACACACAGGTAGAACGCCGTACACTGACATGATGGCGGACACACACACACACACACACACACACACACACACACACACACACACACACACACGTTAACACTGGCTCCATAATGTACTTTAAAACAATGTATACAACATTTTTGTCGCAATGTCACAGTCGAGATTAGAAACATGTATATTCAAAATACATCAACAGTATTCTCCAAATTGAGGCCTGTTGGTGTGTAAGAAAAAAGAAAAAACCCTATTAGTAAACATGTCTCATGGTAGAACTCAAAGTAAACGTGTATGCCGCGTATAGTAGTGCTTCTGTTTATCGTAAATGCTTTGTGATAAGCTTTACTAGAATAAATGCTTATTTCAAACAAACCCTGCAATGGAAGGTTGATTTGTCGATCATAATCCTTTTCGGCAGTAAATGTTTTAGAATATAGTCTTCCGTAAACTACCAGATATACGCCGACCATGTTCTGCAGGGTTTGCAAACACAGTCAACTTTCGAAATCAGATGACGGTAATGGCAGACTATATATCTCCCAACACTGTGATTTTAAAGAAAAACAGAAATAACAACTATGGTCTGCTCCAGCTCCATAAAGGATATAAGATTGAGAGAGATTGGCCTCGGAGCTACTGAACCAGATTTCAACGACAGAACAAGTGCAGTCATTTGTATCGGCTTATTTCCCCTACAGTCGTATACAGTCGTATACAGTATATGAAGCACATCCCCGAATCTACAGCCCTAAGAACCGGGTCTACAACACTGGGGACATATGTGGTGTAGTGTATTCCAGGGTCTACAACACTGGGTACATATGTGGTGTAGTGTATTCCAGGGTCTACAACACTGGGTACATGCGTGGTGTAGTGTATTCCAGGGTCTACAACACTGGGGACATATGTGGTGTAGTGTATTCCAGGGTCTACAACACTGGGGACATATGTGGTGTAGTGTATTCCAGGGTCTACAACACTGGGGACATATGTGGTGTAGTGTATTCCAGGTTCTACAACACTGGGGACATATGTGGTGTAGTGTATTCCAGGGTCTACAACACTGGGGACATATGTGGTGTAGTGTATTCCAGGGTCTACAACACTGGGTACATATGTGGTGTAGTGTATTCCTGGGTCTTCAACACTCGGTACATATGTGGTGTAGTGTATTCCTGGGTCTACAACACTGGGTACATATGTGGTGTAGTGTATTCCCAGATCAACAACACTGGGTACATATGTGGTGTAGTGTATTCCCGGGTCTACAACACTGGGTACAAATGTGGTGTAGTGTATTTCCAGATCAACAACATTGGGTACATATGTGGTGTAGTGTATTCCCAGATCAACAACACTGGATACATATGTGGTGCAGTGTATTTCCAGATCAACAACATTGGGTACCTATGTGGTGTAGTGTATTTCCAGATCAACAACACTTGGTACATATGTGGTGTAGTGTATTCCCGGTTCTACAACACTGGGTACATATGTGGTGTAGTGTATTCCCGGTTCTACAACACTGGGTACATATGTGGTGTAGTGTATTCCTTGGTCTACAACACTGGGTACATATGTGGTGTAGTGTATTCCCGGGTCTACAACACTGGGTACATATGTGGTGTAGTGTATTCCTTGGTCTACAACACTGGGTACATATGTGGTGTAGTGTATTCCTTGGTCTACAACACTGGGTACATATGTGGTTTAGTGTATGCCCGGGTCTTCAACACTGGGTACATATGTGGTGTAGTGTATTCCTGGGTCTACAACACTGGGTACATGCGTGGTGTAGTGTATTCCCAGATCAACAACACTGGGTACATATGTGGTGTAGTGTATTCCCGGGTCTACAACACTGGGTACATATGTGGTGTAGTGTATTCCCGGGTCTTCAACACTGGGTACATATGTGGTGTAGTGTATTCCCAGATCAACAACACTGGGTACATATATGATGCAGTGTATTCCCAGATCAACAACACTGGGTACATATGTGGTGTCGTGTATTCCCAGATCAACAACACTGGGTACATATGTGGTGTAGTGTATTCCCAGATCAACAACACTGGGTACATATGTGGTGTAGTGTATTCCCAGATCAACAAAACTGGGTACATATGTGGTGTAGTGTATTCCCAGATCAACAACACTGGGTACATATGTGGTGTAGTGTATTCCCAGATCAACAACACTGGGTACATATGTGGTGTAGTGTATACCCGGGTCTTTAACACTGGGTACATTTGTGGTGTAGTGTATTCCCAGATCAACAACACTGGGTACAAATGTGGTGTAGTGTATTCCTGGGTCTACAACACTGGGTACATGCGTGGTGTAGTGTATTCCCAGATCAAAAACACTGGGTACATGCGTGGTGTAGTGTATTCCTGGGTCTACAACACTGGGTACATGCGTGGTGTAGTGTATTCCCAGATCAAAAACACTGGGTACATATGTGGTGTAGTGTATTCCCAGATCAACAACACTGGGTACATATGTGGTGTAGTGTATTCCTGGGTCTACAACACTGGGTACATGCGTGGTGTAGTGTATTCCCAGATCAACAACACTGGGTACATATGTGGTGTATTGTATTCCCAGATCAACAACACTGGGTACATATGTGGTGTAGTGTATTCCTGGGTCTACAACACTGGGTACATGCGTGGTGTAGTGTATTCCCAGATCAAAAACACTGGGTACATATGTGGTGTAGTGTATTCCCAGATCAACAACACTGGGTACATATGTGGTGTAGTGTATTCCCAGATCAACAACACTGGCTACATATGTGGTGTATTGTATTCCCAGATCAACAACACTGGGTACATATGTGGTGTAGTGTATACCCGGGTCTTCAAAACTGGGTACATTTGAGGTGTAGTGTATTCCCAGATCAACAACACTGGGTACATATGTGGTGTAGTGTATTCCCAGATCAACAACACTGGGTACATATGTGGTGTAGTGTATTCCCAGATCAACAACACTGGGTACATGCGTGGTGTAGTGTATTCCCAGATCAACAACACTGGGTACATATGTGGTGTAGTGTATTCCCAGATCTACAACACTGGGTACATATGTGGTGTAGTGTATTCCCAGATCAACAACACTGGGTACATATGTGGTGTAGTGTATTCCCAGATCAACAACACTGGATACATATGTGGTGTAGTGTATTCCTGGGTCTACAACACTGGGTACATATGTGGTGTAGTGTATTCCCAGATCTACAACACTGGGTACATATGTGGTGTAGTGTATTCCCAGATCTACAACACTGGGTACATATGTGGTGTAGTGTATTCCCAGATCAACAACACTGGATACATATGTGTTGTAGTGTATTCCTGGGTCTACAACACTGGGTACATATGTGGTGTAGTGTATTCCCAGATGAACAACACTGGGTACAAATGTGGTGTAGTGTATTCCCAGATCAACAACACTGGGTACAAATGTGGTGTAGTGTATTCCCAGATCAACAACACTGGGTACATATGTGGTGTAGTGTATTCCCAGATCAACAACACTGGGTACATATGTGGTGTAGTGTATTCCCAGATCAACAACACTGGGTACATGCGTGGTGTAGTGTATTCCCAGATCAACAACACTGGGTACATATGTGGTGTAGTGTATTCCCAGATCTACAACACTGGGTACATATGTGGTGTAGTGTATTCCCAGATCAACAACACTGGGTACATATGTGGTGTAGTGTATTCCCAGATCAACAACACTGGATACATATGTGGTGTAGTGTATTCCTGGGTCTACAACACTGGGTACATATGTGGTGTAGTGTATTCCCAGATCTACAACACTGGGTACATATGTGGTGTAGTGTATTCCCAGATCTACAACACTGGGTACATATGTGGTGTAGTGTATTCCCGGTTCTACAACACTGGGTACATATGTGGTGTAGTGTATTCCTTGGTCTACAACACTGGGTACATATGTGGTGTAGTGTATTCCCGGGTCTACAACACTGGGTACATATGTGGTGTAGTGTATTCCTTGGTCTACAACACTGGGTACATATGTGGTGTAGTGTATTCCTTGGTCTACAACACTGGGTACATATGTGGTTTAGTGTATGCCCGGGTCTTCAACACTGGGTACATATGTGGTGTAGTGTATTCCTGGGTCTACAACACTGGGTACATGCGTGGTGTAGTGTATTCCCAGATCAACAACACTGGGTACATATGTGGTGTAGTGTATTCCCGGGTCTACAACACTGGGTACATATGTGGTGTAGTGTATTCCCGGGTCTTCAACACTGGGTACATATGTGGTGTAGTGTATTCCCAGATCAACAACACTGGGTACATATATGATGCAGTGTATTCCCAGATCAACAACACTGGGTACATATGTGGTGTCGTGTATTCCCAGATCAACAACACTGGGTACATATGTGGTGTAGTGTATTCCCAGATCAACAACACTGGGTACATATGTGGTGTAGTGTATTCCCAGATCAACAAAACTGGGTACATATGTGGTGTAGTGTATTCCCAGATCAACAACACTGGGTACATATGTGGTGTAGTGTATTCCCAGATCAACAACACTGGGTACATATGTGGTGTAGTGTATACCCGGGTCTTTAACACTGGGTACATTTGTGGTGTAGTGTATTCCCAGATCAACAACACTGGGTACAAATGTGGTGTAGTGTATTCCTGGGTCTACAACACTGGGTACATGCGTGGTGTAGTGTATTCCCAGATCAAAAACACTGGGTACATGCGTGGTGTAGTGTATTCCTGGGTCTACAACACTGGGTACATGCGTGGTGTAGTGTATTCCCAGATCAAAAACACTGGGTACATATGTGGTGTAGTGTATTCCCAGATCAACAACACTGGGTACATATGTGGTGTAGTGTATTCCTGGGTCTACAACACTGGGTACATGCGTGGTGTAGTGTATTCCCAGATCAACAACACTGGGTACATATGTGGTGTATTGTATTCCCAGATCAACAACACTGGGTACATATGTGGTGTAGTGTATTCCTGGGTCTACAACACTGGGTACATGCGTGGTGTAGTGTATTCCCAGATCAAAAACACTGGGTACATATGTGGTGTAGTGTATTCCCAGATCAACAACACTGGGTACATATGTGGTGTAGTGTATTCCCAGATCAACAACACTGGCTACATATGTGGTGTATTGTATTCCCAGATCAACAACACTGGGTACATATGTGGTGTAGTGTATACCCGGGTCTTCAAAACTGGGTACATTTGTGGTGTAGTGTATTCCCAGATCAACAACACTGGGTACATATGTGGTGTAGTGTATTCCCAGATCAACAACACTGGGTACATATGTGGTATAGTGTATTCCCAGATCAACAACACTGGGTACATGCGTGGTGTAGTGTATTCCCAGATCAACAACACTGGGTACATATGTGGTGTAGTGTATTCCCAGATCTACAACACTGGGTACATATGTGGTGTAGTGTATTCCCAGATCAACAACACTGGGTACATATGTGGTGTAGTGTATTCCCAGATCAACAACACTGGATACATATGTGGTGTAGTGTATTCCTGGGTCTACAACACTGGGTACATATGTGGTGTAGTGTATTCCCAGATCTACAACACTGGGTACATATGTGGTGTAGTGTATTCCCAGATCTACAACACTGGGTACATATGTGGTGTAGTGTATTCCCAGATCAACAACACTGGATACATATGTGTTGTAGTGTATTCCTGGGTCTACAACACTGGGTACATATGTGGTGTAGTGTATTCCCAGATCAACAACACTGGGTACATATGTGGTGTAGTGTATTCCCAGATCAACAACACTGGGTACATATGTGGTGTAGTGTATTCCCAGATCAACAACACTGGGTACATGCGTGGTGTAGTGTATTCCCAGATCAACAACACTGGGTACATATGTGGTGTAGTGTATTCCCAGATCTACAACACTGGGTACATATGTGGTGTAGTGTATTCCCAGATCAACAACACTGGGTACATATGTGGTGTAGTGTATTCCCAGATCAACAACACTGGATACATATGTGGTGTAGTGTATTCCTGGGTCTACAACACTGGGTACATATGTGGTGTAGTGTATTCCCAGATCTACAACACTGGGTACATATGTGGTGTAGTGTATTCCCAGATCTACAACACTGGGTACATATGTGGTGTAGTGTATTCCCAGATCAACAACACTGGATACATATGTGGTGTAGTGTATTCCTGGGTCTACAACACTTGGTACATATGTGGTGTAGTGTATTCCCAGATCAACAACACTGGGTACATATGTGGTGTAGTGTATTCCAAGATCAACAACACTGGGTACAAATGTGGTGTAGTGTATTCTAAGATCAACAACACTGGGTACATATGTGGTGTAGTGTATTCCCAGATCAACAACACTGGGTACATATGTGGTGTAGTGTATTCCAGGGTCTTCAACACTGGGTACAAATGTGGTGTAGTGTATTCCCAGATCAACAACACTGGGTACAAATGTGGTGTAGTGTATTCCCAGATCAACAACACTGGGTACATATGTGGTGTAGTGTATTCCCAGATCAACAACACTGGGTACAAATGTGGTGTAGTGTATTCCCAGATCAACAACACTGGGTACATATGTGGTGTAGTGTATTCCCAGATCAACCACACTGGGTACATATGTGGTGTAGTGTATTCCCAGATCAACAACACTGGGTACATATGTGGTGTAGTGTATTCCCGGATCAACAACACTTGGTACATATGTGGTTTAGTGTATTCCCAGATCAACAACACTGGGTACATATGTGGTGTAGTGTATTCCCGTGCATTGGGATGAAGATAACGCAATCATACATCATTTATGAACATCTATATATGAAAAATTAACATGCATCGGCATTCCCTATTTCGTTGCAAATGTTCATCTCATTACCAGCTTATCCGTTTGCCACTTCCAACCAGGTATATTGTACAAAACATTGTAATCTGTTCCACTATCGCCCTTTAACAATGAAAACCAGCTACCAGATTCACGTATGGCTTGGGACAGCAGCTGGGACAAACTCGGAACGTTGTGAGAGCGGGACGCCTGCCTGGCCTTCCTATCAGTCACACTGGCTTTGTTTGGGTAGAGCAGACAGGTCAGTTCTTACAGATTCTTATATTCCGTATATTCTCATACAAGTGTTTAGTAACCGTGTATTTATAACGTGACATTGGATATACTTGTCGTGTAGTATTTGGTTTATCACCTTTCAGTCTTTTATATATACTAAGGTAACTGGGCCATGAAACAGTGGGTTAAAATGACATGTTAGGTACGATTCTACGGATTAATATGCTTTCCATAATTACGTTTTTTTCATAGCTGTAAAACAGGTATTTATTTACTTTTCCAAGTAACTGTTTACATAGGGATGCCATCAGAATTTTAAATTGATGATATCGTGAATAGGAAAAAACTCGAACAGACCATATGGTCATGAAATACCTCAATGCGCATGCCTGTCAACATATATCCGATTACTGGTATTATTTCAAGATTATTGTTGACAATGATGCATATAACTTTTCGCGGGATTCAAACCAAGCGTGGAGACTGAATTTGATGGAAGCACGTCATAGTGTTGTCTGTTGCAGGTTGTTATGATGTGGATCTACGTCGCGGTGCTCGCCCTGATCTCGGAGGCCGTTGCAGGTGAGACAGATCTTCATATAGATGTTGTCACACAAAAAGGTCGGTATTCACCTAGCATGCACGAATTTACTCAACTTATTTAGGAAATTCGCGAATCATTTGTGTTAATTTCAAACGCAACATCAAAACATTAAACGGGATTATCAAATCGACTTCAAATAAACATCACATTAACATTATAACAGCAATATTATCACAACATCACATGAACAGCACGCCAACACCACAACATTTCAATAACACTACATCAATATCACATCACGAAACATGAAAGAAATTACATGGTAGCAGACAACATCAAAGCTATTCGCTGTGCAGAGTTGCGTCCCTTGGGCATGCCAGAAACCTATGATTGTGAGTTGGAATCCCGGTTCGCCCCGATTATGTTTCTCGGTTTATCAGCACCATACCCGTGCTCGTGGGTTTCACCGAAGTAGTAAACGTCCGAGACCTGCATCACTTCGGGCTTTCAATAAGCTGACACGCCGCGATATAACTGGAATACTGTTAAAAGCGGCGTTAAACCTAACTCACTCACTCCCTATTGCTTAAAGATTGCATGCCAATCAGAAACAAACTAAGTGACCATCACGGGGGAGGTTAAATACGTCCTACGAGAGGATTTTGTGACGCATCTCTCAGAAGCTTTAATCTGAATCCTGACATAGTGTAACGCTTCCCCAAGGCCAGTTCTCTACAGCCTGACTTGACATTGACACTGTCGCCTGACTCTCCCTCAGGTGACGCGGCCACTTCTCTACAGCCTGACTTGCCATTGACACTGTCTGACTCTCACCTAGGTGACGCGGCCACTTCTCTACAGCCTGACTTGACATTGACACTGTCTGACTCTCACCTAGGTGACGCGGCCACTTCTCTACAGCCTGACTTGACATTGACACTGTCTGACTCTCACCTAGGTGACGCGGCCACTTCTCTACAGCCTGACTTGACATTGACACTGTCTGACTCTCACCTAGGTGACGCAGCCACTTCTCTACAGCCTGACTTGACATTGACACTGTCGTCTGACTCTCCCGCAGGTGACGCGGCCACTTCTCTACAGCCTGACTTGCCATTGACACTGTCTGACTCTCCCCTAGGTGACGCGGCCACTTCTCTTCAGTCACTGTTTGACCAGTTTTACCAGTGGCGACTAAGGGAATCCCCCGAGATGGCCACTGTCCTCAACGTGCACGACTACGACGATGTGTTGGATAAATTTGGATTTGGGGAAATGGACTTCCAAAAGGTTAGCTGTTTAATCATAAAGGGTTCTTCCATCATCAAACCACGACAGCCACTACCTCTACAAATACCACTACCATAGCCACTACCACTACCACTACCACAACCACTACCCCAACCACTACCATAGCAACTACCAAAGACAATACTACTACCACAACTACTACCATAGCAACCACCAAAGAAAAATACTACTGCCACTACCACTACCATAGCCATAAAGACAATACTACCACCATAACTACTACCATAGCAACCACCAAAGAAAAATACTACTACCACTACCACTACCATAGCCACCCAAAAGACAATACTACTACCATTACCACTACCATAGCAACCCAAAGACCACTCTACTACTACTACTACTACTACTACTACTACTACCACAGCCACCCCAAAAGACAATACTACTTCTACTACTACTGCTACTACTACTACTACTACTACTACTACCTCTACCATAGCCACCCCCAAAGACAATACTACTTCTACTTCTACTATAACTACTTCTACTACTACTACAACTACTACTACCACTACTACCACAGCCACCCCAAAAGACAATACTACTTCTACTTCTACTTCTACTATTACTACTACTACTACTACTACTACTACTACTACTACCACTACTACCACAGCCACCCCAAAAGACAATACTACTTCTACTACTACTGCTACTACTACTACTACTACCTCTACCATAGCCACCCCCAAAGACAATACTACTTCTACTTCTACTATTACTGCTACTACTACTACTACTACTACTACTACTACTACTACTACTACTAGTACTACTACTACTACTACCTCTACCATAGCCACCCCCAAAGACAATACTACTACTACTACTACTACTACTACTACTACTACTACTACCCCAAAGACAATACTACCACCACTACCATAGCCACCCCAAAGACAATACTACTTCTACTACTAATGCTACTATTACTACTACTACTACTACTACTACTACTACTACTACTACTACTACTACCTCTACCATAGCCAACCCCAAAGACAATACTACTACCACTACCACTACCATAGCAACCCCCAAAGACAATACTACTTCTACTACTACTACTACTACTACTACTACTACTACTACAACTACCACAGCCACCCCGAAAGACAATACCACTTCTACTACTTCAGTAACTGCTACCCTTACTACTACTACTACTACTTCTATTACTACTACTACTACTTCTACCTCTACCATAGCCATCCCCAAGAGACAATACTACTATCACTACCATGGTCACTTCCAAAGACACTACAACTTCCTACTCTACCACAACGACGAAGGCAATATTTTTATATATACTACCATATCCATTGGCACGACAACATGTTTAAAAACCATCTTCTCGTACAATCTCCACCTCATCCAAATCTACTACCACAAATCATATTACCACTTCCAATCTTCTGTCTTCGGAAAACACGTCCATGCAATTACTGTACAAATAATTAGCTTTGACCTATAGAAACCTTTGTTATCCGCACGCCACCGGCCCCAGTTAAATCATCCGGATGTCCGGCAGAACCAACCATGTAGCAATGTAGATACACATAGTGTGATTTTCTCGGCAGTCACCGTCCGATCTACCTTATTTGTAACTTAAACTATTTTCCTCTTTCCAAGGCAAAGGTTGATGAGTTTCTAGTGAGTCTCGGTAAGATCGACTACAACTCTCTGCCCAGACAACAACGGTACAACTACGCCGTCCTGAACGACACACTCACCACCGTGTCGCAGGGATACCAGTGGAGACTGTGAGCTATTCATTATTACCTAGACCGAAAACAAAGATGCCTATGTTAATTATCTATGGTTACCTTTTTCGCGAAAACCTTGTGTCATCAAGGATTTCAGCGATCCATTCATATACATTTCACCACTATTTTGCCTTTTACGCCAAAAGGCATTTGTTTGGGCGGATAATCGAAACTGGTTTTTCTTTGTGGTTGACGTTTTATATAAACACCCCATACATCAGAATAGCTACAGAAAAAAACACTGTGTGAAGGTTTCAATGCTTTCTTTAGCATTAAACTGTTACTATGCGATATAAACTAAATTCAGTTCAAAGCTGTGTAAACCAACTCACTCACTCACTGCACGTTGTTTTTGCACGGTCTGCTAAAATCCGTCTTGTGATGATTTTTTTAAGTCCCACCAAATCTGCTTACACTTTTGTCATTTAGGACATTTAGTCTCCATCAACAAAACCAAACGCAGAAATATGCTTATATGTAGTTGTATCCAGTTCATCTCTTCTGATTTCTTTCAAGTCAAATTCAAGTTCGAATACAAAGCAAAAGAAAAGTAAATTACATCGAGATCCGTAAAACTGTTGTACGGAAACATATGTCAGTCTCCAGTCCGCGGTAACGCCCCCTCATCTCTCCACTTTAAACGCTTGGTTGAACCATTTTGAAAAACGTGGCCATAAACGTTTCCCGTGCTGCATCCAACGTACACCTACCTACATCGTAGTGTGTGTCCGTCTGGGGACAAGGTGCAGACTAGAAGCTGAATTACACCGTAAATATAATATCTCTCTAGCCACATGAAATATGCATGTTGGTTAACCAACTGTAAGAACGCCTCTCTAAGATCGGTATATTCCCGGCAGAGTCCTGCCAACGGAAGTAAATGACGTTGATTTTCCATGGAATGGCTTGTCGAGATATATGTCTCGTTAAGTGTCTTGAATGTTCGGTAACATGGACCGTCGATCGTTGCGTTGTGACGTGAGTACGCTGCGTTGTATTTTGGTTTGGTATAATTGACACCGCATCAACGACAGAAAAAAAACCAAGTCTTGATTAGATTATTCGAGGCTCTGAAATGGCTCTAGAATAATAAACGACATCTCTTATGGACATCGGCAATGGAGTGCTAGATCAGAATATCAATCCCGGATTGCCCAGTTGTCTAAGGCGCCGCTATTCGCAGACGTGCAAGAAACTGATGATCATGGGTTCGAAGCCCAGACTCGCCCTGGTTGTTTCCAGGTTTGTTAGCACCAGGTCCGTGCTCATGTGTTTCACAAAAGTGTTTAATGTCTAAGACATGCACAGTTTGGGCTTTCAACCCACATCAAGCTGACTCATCCACTCACAAAATACAACTATGTCCACACACACGCTTCATGAACACCCAATCCTTTGTATTATAATGGGATGCTTAGGACTTTATCCTTCCCGGAATCCCATCGCGGACCCTGTAAGATACATATGTCACAAGAATCAAACCAAATACGAGATTGAGTAGGTTGTACGTCGCCTTTGGAAATAGTTCAATGATATTACTTCGTGGCAGACCAAGGAAAGCCGTCGCACATTGTATACTTGTGGGGAATCGAACCAGGGTCTGATGAGCAGGTGCTCATAACCACTAGGCTACTCCATCACGCTGATAATTGTGAGCAGACATTACGCGAGGAATCTTCGCCACAATAGTTGACAGAGTTTCGCCTTCTTCCTTTCTGAAGGAATGCCACGTGAGTTGTGTTTATGCTTTGTTGACACTGCTCGACACCTCAATGATGACCTGTTGTCAGACATGGTAATACTTTGTTGACCCAACTCGACACCTCAATGATGACATATTGTCAGATATGGTAATGCTCTGTTGACCAAACTCGACACCCCAATGATGACCTGTTGTCAGATATGGTAATACTTTGTTGACCCAACCAGACACCTCAATGATGACCTGTTGTCAGATATGGTAATACTTTGTTGACCCAACTAGACACCTCAATGATGACATGTTGTCAGATATGGTAATGCTCTGTTGACCCAACTCGACACCTCAATGATGACCTGTTGTCAGATATGGTAATACTTTGTTGACCCAACTCGACACCTCAATGATGACCGGTTGTCAGAGATGGTTATGCTCTGTTGACCGAACTCGACACCTAAATGATGACCTGTTGTCAGATATGGTAATACTTTGATGACCTAACTAGACACCTCAATGATGACCTGTTGCCTGATATGGTAATACTTTGATGACCTAACTAGACACCTAAATGATGACCTGTTGTCAGATATGGTAATACGTTGATGACCTTACTAGCCACCTTAATGATGACCTGTTGCCAGATATGGTAGTACTTCGTTGACCCAACTCGACACCTAAATGATGACCTGTTGTCAGATATGGTAATACTTTGATGACCTAACTAGACATCTCAATGATGACCTGTTGCCAGATATGGTAATACCTTGATGACCTAACTAGACACCTCAATGATGACCTGTTGTCAGATATGGTAATACTTTGTTGACCCAACTCGACACCTCAATGATGACCTGTTGTCAGATATGGTAATACTTTGATGACCTAACTAGACATCTCAATGATGACCTGTTGCCAGATATGGTAATACTTTGATGACCTAACTAGACACCTCAATGATGACCTGTTGTGAGATAGGGTCATACTTTGTTGACCCAACTCGACACCTCAATGATGACATGTTGTCAGATATGGTAATACTTTGTTGACCCAACTCGACATCTCAATGATGACATGTTGTCAGATATGGTAATACTTTGTTGACCCAACTCGACACCCCAATGAAGACATGTTGTCTGATATGCTTATGTTTTGTTGACACCCTAGCGATGGCCTGTTTTCAGGTATGGCGCTCTAACCCCGATCAACTTCCTGCAGGGCAACCAGGTCAATCCCGGCTTTCTTCTCAAGGTCACACCATTCTCCACACAGAAGGACTACGAGAGCTTCATCTCCCGACTTGCAGCTGAACCCACACAGGTAGTGCTACACACTAGAACTGTAGCAAACACGATGTTTCTGTCGGATTCCATATATGTGCATGTTTGTGCTGATTAAACCCAATGATGTTCCTCTCTACAAACGTCGTTACGTTTTTGGGGGCACGGATCACCAAGTCGTCCAAAGCGATACAATTCGTTGTGCTGAGTTGCACATCTTAGCCAGGATCCGACGATCATGGGTTCGAATCCCATATTCGCCCTGATGATCTTTGGGTTATCAGCACCATGTCCGTGCTGGTGAAGTTCACATTTTCGGAAACTGCTACTCTTGGCTTTGCTCACATATTAAACTGTTACTTTTGAGCAGTGTTAATCCATCTTCTCTCACTCACTGTTACATTCTAACTGTTCGGTGGGTTAAATAATTTGATAGACACCTGTTACAGCGTGTTACTGATTTGTTTCAAGGTGTCGGACAAAATCAGTCTGATGAGAGAGGCTATACGGTTGGGAAGAACCAGCAATGCGGTGTCGATGGTAGGTATATTGAAATTGTTCATGGCGCCTCTGAGCTGGTCGTTTCTGAGGGACCAGGTAGATTGACCCGCACTTAATTTTCCTTCCCTCAAAAATTTGAAAATGTTTTGCGTCATCCTTTATTTTCAAACATCCACTGCTGTTTGTGGAGATTATATTTATGCATTGATAAGACACAGCGTATACTTTCTTAGACGTATTTTACTGCCAAATTGAGTCTCACTTCACCAAGAACGTTGCGCGAACGATGTGCAACTTCAGCCACCCTGAAGAATACTCAGCACGATCACTCTTCTTAATTCATATAGTGAATCTTTGCATACGTTTCCTAGGGAGGAATTTAGTGTCCCTATGTCGAAATTAAGTGTTCTGTCCACCCGTTATTCCGAAGGTAAGTGTAGTGACCACCCGTTATGTCGAAGTTCAGTGAAGTGACCACCCGCTATGCAGAAGTTAAGTGAAGTGACAACCCGTTATGCCGAACTTAAGTGTAGTGACCACCCCTTATGCAGAAGTTAAGTGTAGTGACCACCTGTTATGTCGAAGTTAAGTGAAGTGACGACCCGTTATGCAGAAGTTAAGTGTAGTGACCACCCCTTATGCAGAAGTTAAGTGTTGTGACAACCTGTTATGTCGAAGTTCAGTGAAGTGACCACCCGCTATGCAGAAGTTAAGTGAAGTGACAACCCGTTATGCCGAACTTAAGTGTAGTGACCACCCCTTATGCAGAAGTTAAGTGAAGTGACCACCTGTTATGTCGAAGTTAAGTGAAGTGACGACCCGTTATGCAGAAGTTAAGTGTAGTGACCACCCCTTATGCAGAAGTTAAGTGTTGTGACAACCTGTTATGTCGAAGTTAAGTGAAGTGACCACCCGTTATGCCGAACTAAGTGTAGTGACCACCCCTTATGCAGAAGTTAAGTGTAGTGACCATCTGTTATGTCGAAGTTAAGTGAAGTGACCACCCATTATGCCGAAGTTAAGTGTGGTGGCTACCCGTTATGCCGAAGTTAAGTGTAGTGACCACCTGTTATGTCGAAGTTAAGTGAAGTGACGACCCGTTATGCAGAAGTTAAGTGTAGTGACCACCCGTTATGCGGAAGTTAAGTGTAGTGACCACCCGTTATGCTGAAGTTAAGTGTAGTGGCCACCCGTTATGCCGAAGTTAAGTGTAGTGGCTACCCGTTATGCCGAAGTTAAACCTTTAAGTTGTGGCCAGTGACTAAAGGGGCCATGAGCATTGTTCGCGACGTATGAGATGGAGCCTTACAGCCTAGACCTAGTTTATAAGTTGCAGTTCGACCAATAGATCTATTTTGACATAGATGTATTTGATATGACATGAGTCGCATGTAAGCATACATGGTGTCACCGATATAACGCATGAATAAGTGTAATATAAATTTATTTGAGAAAGTTTAGGAATTTGAATCTCAGTGATAAGATTTCCGAAATCACAAAGTATCTAGCCTTTGTTTTAGGTGGATTGTACTACTCGTTTCAGGACCGGATTCCTGGGCAAATAGATGACTTGGTCAAGGACGATCCGAGCGAGTTTATCTTCTACAGACCATTTAAAACCGATCTCAACAAACTCAATCTGACCGGCATTGAGAAGTAGGCATATCCTAAACTGAATGTGATCGGCATTGAGAAGTAGGCATATCCTAAACTGAATCTGGCCGGCATTGAGAAGTAGGCATATTCTAAACTGAATGTGACCGGCATTGAGCAGTAGGCATATTCTAAACTGAATGTGACCGGCATTTAGCAGTAGGATATCCTACACTGAATGTGACCGGCATTGAGAAGAAGGCATATCCTAAACTGAATGTGACCGGCATTGAGAAGTAGGCATATCCAAAACTGAATGTGACCGGCATTGAGAAGTAGGCATATCCAAAACTGAATGTGACCGGCATTGAGCAGTAGGCATATCCTAAACTGAATCTGACCGGCATTGAGAAGTAGGCATATTCTAAACTGAATGTGACAGGCATTGAGAAGTAGGCATATCCTAAACTGAATGTGACCGGCATTGAGAAGTAGGCATATTCTAAACTGAATGTGACCGGCATTGAGAAGTAGGCATATCCTAAACTGAATGTGACCGGCATGGAGAAGTAGGCATATCCTAAACTGAATGTGACCGGCATTGAGAAGTAGGCATATCCTAAACTGAATGTGACCGGCATTGAGAAGTAGGCATATTCTAAACTGAATGTGACCGGCATTGAGAAGTAGGCATATCCTAAACTGAATGTGACCGGCATTGAGAAGTAGGCATATCCTAAACTAAATGTGACCGGCATTGAGAAGTAGGCATATCCTAAACTGAATGTGACCGGCATTGAGAAGTAGGCATATCCTAAACTGAATGTGACAGATATTCAGGAGTAGGACCATTCATATTTTGAATCGGCATATTTTTGTCATCGTCTTTATGATCAAACTGAATTATTTAATGTTTCATGTTTCCGACTGGATAAAGACAACCTAATCGCTGGCTCTTCTTGGTTCTAGGACAAATCTGAGAGCTCGGGCTCTTAATGCATCCACGCAGTACATCAGAGCTTTGAAGCAACTAAAGGACTTCATTCTACGAGTGAGTTGCATTAATAGTTTCAACATATAATATTCTATTGTTTATATCCACTGGTCGGATTTTGTATGGTTTGCTTGTTTGTTGTTTAACGCCGCAATATTCCAGCGAAACTGTCGGGTAAAGAAAGTATACACCCATATTTGATGGTGGCTAAAGTGAAATAAACAAGAAATGGTTATTAGATGGTGATATATTTGATACGGGTATCATAGTTGTGGTTTGAATCTAGTACCGTTTTCATAAAGTTTGTAATTATTTGGTTAAATCCAATTTTCAAGTGTATACTTTCTTTTTCTCGTCAGTTTATATGACGGCGGTCTGTAACAATCGAGTGTAGAACAGACAATCCAGTGATTATCATCACGAGTATCTACGTAGTTGGGATACGATGACATGTGGTGAGGTGAAATGGGGTTTATTGCACTTATATAGCGACGTGCATGTACGTGTGTGTGTGGCTGCTTGTACTAGTCCGGACCGATGCCGATTTATAGTGCTAGCTCACTGAGATACCAAGCCGCAGTTTAACATGGATACCCCACTCAGACACAGTATACTAACTCCGAGCCGACCAGTCCTTGATTTTAGCCCCTTAATGCCGAGCGCCAGACAGGGTAACAACAAGTACCATTTTTTGACGTCTTTTGGTATGACGCAGCCGAGGATCGAACCCCGGGCCTTCCGCTTTCCGCCGGACGCTCTACCACTAGACCACGGAGGCGGTCACGATGACATGTAATCAACAAAGTCATCGATCCGGACCATCCGATCCATTTAATCGCCTTATACGACCAGCATAGGTTGTCGGGGGCCTCTTCTAGCCCGGAATCCCCATTCAAAACTGTGAAGTAATGAAACCGGAAGGACGATTCTTTTGACACATCATTCACATACAAAGGGTACCAGATTGTAAACATGCGTCATTGGATGACCTCTTGGTTGACCTTGTGTGGTTAACCTTGACGGGGTTGTCCAATGGCCGCAGCGAGAAGCGTTAATTCTAGTTTTACAGTACCATAAAAACCTTTCCACACTATTCTGTAACCCCGGAGGGAACGTGTTTTTTAGGAGTACATCCCCCATGCCCGAGCATCCTACGGTGTTGGTGGACTCAACCAAGGGGCAAACTACTATGCTCAGGTGTTGAAGTGGCACCTCACAGTTGACACCCCTCCTGGGCGGGTTCATCAGATAGGCTTCGATGAAGTTGCACGGATCAGCAAGAACATGAGGCAGGTATGTCATCACCCGTGCTCCCTCGCCTCCCGCATCTTTCCGTCACTTACAAGAAGGCTTGTCCGGGAGTGATCCAGATTCTCACGAATAGTCTAATGGGTTACTGTGAAGCGAGGACGGTGGATGGATGTATTCGTCTCAACCGGGGACAAGTCGGTTTTTTGTAAGTTACGGAGAAGTTCGAATGGTTACGAATGGAATTTTATATGACTCTACTCTCTAATAGAAATATTGTAGCTCTGGTTTCAATATCTAAACACCATGTCTTAATGCATCTTCCCGAGGCAAGAGAGTTAACTGACTTTAAAAGTCCAGTTTCCACCCTTGCCTCGGGAAGATGGTCTTAATGTGGCAGTTTGCATTTAACCTGCGTATTTACACTCGTCATCGGGGCACCTGTGATCAAGTGGTAAATGCACCGCCATTCGCTGAGCGTCCAGTCCAGAATCTACCGTATGGGATCCACTCTTAGATTCGTCGCGATGATCATCCTTGGGTTGTAAAATGGCATTATCGTGCCCATGGTTTCACGAGAACAATAGGTGTACCTCAACATTCAGCTTTCATTTTGGTTTATAACTAAAATAGTGTTCAAGATGGCGTTTAACCCCCTCACTCACTTGTGTTCTTCTCCTCTCCTACTCACTCAAATACTCTACGATATGTATATTTCACAAGCGCCACGATTCGTTTGAATATGTCTTTTCGTTTTCCAGATAATGCAGAAGCAGAATTTTAATGGTACCATCGAAGAATATTTCACCATGCTGAGTAAAGAGCCTCGATTTCATTTCAAAACAGCGGTACGGTTGCGAATCACTTATCATAGACCTCCCCTCCGCTTGCGATATTGCTTTACCGACATCAAAACTACATCAGGTTAAAGCTTAAGTTGTTATCTTCGGGAACATCCCCACAACAACAACACCACTGTAGATAGCGCTCACACTATCAATCACTGGTTTAACTAGTGAACACGGTCTAACGCTCAAACTGTTGTTCACTTGCTTAACTACTGCTCCGGGTCTAACGTACACCAATCAACAGCTGATTTCTCTCACACCTATATTTGAGTACAAACTACAGCTATGTAGTTTCCTATTGTACAACGCTAAGCTGATTATGACATTTCCTTACAGGACGAGATTATTGCCAGATACCAGGACCTAATCTACAACAGATTCTACCCCGCTTTACCAAAGATGTTCAAGAACATACCAACACACAAAGTCAAGTACGTGCCAAGTAGTTCACATGGTAGGATACAAGTTCCTATAGTCCAGTAAACCCTTTCAGTGTGAGACGTTGCTGCGAAGTCTAAAGAGTGAATGTTGTTTTACCACAAACTCAGTAGTATCCTAGGTATATACTTGTATGTCACCTGTGAGTAATTGGAGACCAAGCAAACCGGTGACTGACAGCATGAGGAACGACCCAAGCCAAATAGGTACGATGATACTCGGTCAAAGAGCCTGAACACCCGATCTTAAAAGGAATCTGAAAAATAAAAAGCGTTATCGAAGAGAGATTCCTTTTTCATAACTGTCTTTCAATTGAAAAAGTAGGACACCTAGTCTGTATCATGATGTGTAACACATTTCGTGTTGTCCCAGAGTAACGAAGATGGCTACAGATGGTCCGCCGGCCCAGTACATGCCCGGGTCCTCTGACGGGTCCAGAGAAGGCGAGTTCCAGGCCAATGTCTTCAGGCCCAATGAAACGTGAGTGTTCCGAGGTTAATACTTCTTGACCATTGCACAAGTCCACATGATCGTGTTTTGTAAGGGTCACTTAATTGAGTGAGTGAGTGAGTTGGGTTTTACGCCGTTTTTAACATTATTCCAGTTATATCGCGGCGTGTCAGCTTAATGTGGGGGGAAAGCCCGAAGTGATGCAGATTGCAGACGTTTACCACTTCGGTGAAACCCACGAGCACGGGTATGGTGCTGACCACCTAGAAACCAAATCGGGGCGAACCGGGATTCGAACCCACAATTACAGGTTTCTGGCGTGCCCAAGGGACGCAACTCTGCACAGCGAATCGCGGCGCCTTACACGACTGAGCCAACCGTGCCCCCTAAGGGTCCCTTAAACAAATGATCATTAAAAAATAATACAAACAGTACGGGTATATTATAGAGCAAACATATTACCTGATTACCTGATGACTGATTAAAGATTTGGAGGATTGGTATTAAAGTATGTCTCTGTTACGATCAACAAGAAAAACTTAGCAGTGCAATCAAAAGTCACTGGAGAAAGGAACGAAATCACTTTAGAAGCGGAAAATGAATTGAAGCGCATTCTACGACCATCGTTGTCATGAAATGAAGTGCACGATCGTTTCATAGTATGGCTCTTCCTGAGTCAATTGTATCATTTATAGCTGCTGTTTCGATGTTTCAGTGACAGCTTCACAATGGTGGGATACGCCCTTCACGAAGCAGTACCTGGCCACCATCTCCAGGTAGTCTCTCACCATTCATTGTATGGGGAGATAAATGCATCTGGGGGTTTCATTTTGTTCGTTTGTTATTTAACGTCGCAATAAGCATTATTCCGACTATACGATGGCGGCCTGTAAAAGATCGACTAAAAGCAATGATTGGTTTTATAAGCAACGCTCCGCGCCATCGGGGTTCAATGACTCGCTATCAACCCAGTCGCCGAACCTGCCTACTCCATCTATTAAGTACGACAGGTGTACTAGGTAGCCGGTGACCTGAAACCCCCATGGGGTGGGGATATATAGACTACCATAAATTGCAGGCTTTCGTTGTCATAATTTTATCAAACATGTCTACATGACGTATGTTACAGATAGCCAGACAACAGACCTCAGACTTGCCCGACTTCAGGAAGGAAGATACCGGCGGTGTCAGATATAGTGCGCCTTTCTCCTTCCCCGCATACACAGCCTACATCGAGGTATTACACTTCATTGATTAAAATGTAAAAACACAACATGTGTGACTGTTAAATCATATATGTTGCGTCTTTTACTAACCATACACGTAAACTGGCCATTATTTTCATCGTTTATTGATTCATCTCAATGTTCCAGGGTTGGGCGTTATATGCTGAGTCGGTCGGAGAAGACCTTGGTCTGTATGTCGACGATTATGAACTGTGGGTATTATGGTTATTATTATTGCTCAAAGCATACAGCTCATAATTCATATTATGAGATAAGGAATAACATCATCACGACATTAACACCTTTAGAGGTATTTGAGAAGAGATACGAATAAAATACTGCCTTCTCAACGAATTTGAAACTGCGAAGATGACGACGACGGTGATGATGATGATGATGATGATGATGACGATGATGATGGCGATGAGTGAGTGACTGAGTATGGTTTCACGCCGCTTTTAGCAATATTCCAGCAATATCACGGCGGGGGACTCCAGAAAAGGGCTGGTGGTGATGATGATGATGATGATGATGATGATGCTGATGTTAGTAACTTTCTCATTTTAGAATGGGTCGATATAGTAACGAAATGTTAAGGGCATGCAGACTGGTGGTTGATACTGGAATACACTTTATGGGGTAAGGCATTGCTAAGCGGAACACTCAAATAAACCGATTAATACATCACACTACAAGGGTAATAAGAAATATTTAATCTATGCTTATTTGATATTTTATTTGAAACCAATTCTGCAATATTATTAATGAGCGATAAGATATATAACGGTTACATATGCGATTAAAATATAACTGGATAGTGTCCATATTTATTTCGTACATAAAAAGGACAAGAAATGCCCATCTCTGTTCCGAGAATAGTGTATTTGATCTGTTCCAGGTGGACTAGGGATCGTGCCATTAGCTTCTTTAAACAGTACACGGCATTGAGTGGAGGAAATCTCGTGAACGAGATCGACCGCTACATCACGTGGCCAGGACAGGCATGCGCATACAAGATAGGAGAACTGAAGATCCATTCTCTAAGAGAAACAGCAAAGAATGCCTTAGGTGAGGATTGTAATAACTACATGTATTTCAATTTTGAAATGTTCAAGCTATATGTAAGTTTATATGAAAGCTTAAGCTGACATTGTGTTCGTGACTATCCATGTTCCCATATCCTTGAGCTACACGATGACTACTCGTAAATAGTCATTTTTACTATTGCTCAATCAGCTTGTTTGTTTTAGAGAAAAGTTAGTGTTTTTAAAAATTTCAATCGACCAATCGAAGTATTGAAGGCTTTGTTGATTTAGTTTTGAAGTGATCAAGGTGTTTCAAAACATTGAACATTTTGTTTCAACTAAAACATGAACATGTGCATTCAATTTCACTGAAAATATTAAAAAATATTCATTTTGATCCTTATGTTTCCTAGCTACGACGCAGACGGGTTGATTCAAGCAAAAACCTGCAGTAAACAATGTTTGTTGGGAGCGATAAGCCTGAAACAGGGTTCGGGATAGTTATTCTTGACTGGAAGTGGGGGATTGTGTCATGGTTACAAGGCGGCATAGGTCATTTTATTCGATACAGCGGTGGCTGCCATGTTTGCTACTTCGATGTAAACACAAGTTCCCCTCTCTCTCACTTTCCTCCTTCACGTGTCAAGGCTCCAAGTTTGACATCCGGGACTTCCACGAGGTAATCCTGTCAGCTGGGCCGGTTCCTCTGTCACTGCTGGAAACAATCGTCATCGACTGGATCTCAGACTCTCTTAAAGCGAAACCCAGTCAAATGTCAACATCCGGGCACCGACCTGCTTCTACTTCCGGGCCGAACCAGAACTTACCAGAAACAACACTGCGACATTCTTCCAACGGCCCTGTCCATACGTTCACTGGACAACTGCCCATTCTGCCTAATATTGGATGAAAGCAGAGGTTTGATGTACCCATATGCTTACCCGAATTCACAGCTGGACGGGTGTAACAATAAAACTGTATCAATAAAACTCTGTTGTTTATATCACTATGGTTTGTTGACAAACATGCATTATTCGTATGCATGAAATATATAAAGACCGTTATGAAGTGTACAACGAAATCCCGTTGATACGGACGGTGGCACTCCCACAAAAGTTGTCCAGCTTGACCACTTTCCGGATCAACGAATCATGGATACCATCTTCCCGAGACAAGCGAGTTAATTGACTTTCAAAGTCCAGTTTCCACCCTTGCCGAACTAGGCTGGAATTATGGAGTTATATAATATATTAGCTGGACCAACGAGTCCAATCAAAATCGCGTAACGAAATCAACATCCGTTTCGTAAACTGCCGTGCAGATTTCGGTTAAAGCATGTGCAGCACCAACGTGGCATCAACAGATATTTTCCAAATCTTTTCATGTTTTAATCAAGGTGAATTCACGTGATTTGATGCACTTTGCGAAGTAAGACCCGTTTTATTACAATGTAGATCTTGATCATCGATCAGATCGTCTTGACTGGGCATGTCCATTTGTTTGAAGCAAATGGAAGTGATATGAGAGATGGAATCTGATTGGTCAATAGGAGGGACATAGAAGGGACAAAAAGAGCCACTGATGGCGTATCGATCGAGCACAGAAATTCCAGCCTAGTTCGGCAAGGGTGGAAAATGGACTTTAACAGTCAGTTATCTCCCTGGTAACAGAACAATATAAGGAAGAGAATTTATGGATATCAACTTCTTTATCATGAAGAACATGACATTTCGCAGTATATACTAACTCCTTCATCGGGTGAATAGATGCTATGAAGCAGAGAACATATATGTGTATGCACCTGTAAGAACAACCAAAGTAATAGAGAAGAGACGCCAACAGCTAAATGGCGCTGATAGGTGAATAGCATTGGACAAAAGGAAGCCAACAGTTTGTTATCTTATTTCTGTTGTACTTGCAGGTACATGTATGTTCTCTGCTCTGTTTAAACGTCATCTTCCAGTATGTGAGGTTTCCAGATCAACGAGGCTCGGACTATTGAAGGTTCCATTGTTTATCAAAGTAGACCATGCATACTAAATGAGGATAATAATTTAGATATATTAAGACAAAACATCTGTATCATCCTCATTCAGACACTGATGAAGTGATATTCGTTTTCAATGGCGCCTGGTATTCACAGTCCCACGTACATTCACTTCGCCGACACTTTTCATATAACACCAGCTGATTTATCTGTGTGAATTTCTCGGGCATAGTAAATGAAAATAAAACGCTCACCGCCGCGAATACTTCCCGGGATCCTATCAGGATAATGTAAGCAGACAGCCACGAAATATGATATTGCATTACAAAAGATATACATTTCGCAATCTGGGCTGTGTCTGTTCGGGAACTGGTATGTAAATAAAAGCGACAAAGACATTTCCAAAATCATAATAAGTCTCCACTAAAAGCAGAGTCCATTGTAATATTCGACTATATCATAAGCATGTGTTTATGAATCACAATCAAATAGAGTTGACAGCAGGTGTTGATGTTCAGGAGCGTAGAAAAATAAAATCGAATTCTGATGTCTGATCGAAACACTATGTAGTTATACTAAATGCACATAAATATATTAATATTCTTAATCCACTCAGACATGCCCATTATCCCGTTCAGTGGATCAGTGTGCACTCAAATACATTCTCAGCTCCCTGGGGAGTATACAGCCCAAGCTGCCTTTTAGGCGATGGAAGTGTTTGCTTCACATTGTCTTCTTATCCAGTCGGTTGCCCATGAGGTGGTGAATGGGCAGAGGCTTATTTCGAACAGTTGTGGAATCCTGTCCGCCTTCAGAGAGACAACACGTTTGGTAACCTGTGATTCCGGAGGGAGAAGCCCTATAAAATCGCAAGCATCTTCTAGGCGTGATCACCCATTCACCAACGCGTTGCTTATTTTATACACAGGACCACTTGCCACCAACGCGTTTTTTAATCAGGTGTACATAAAAGCGTATATTTTTCCATTATCATAAAAATTTCTACAATATTGTACGATTCCAATTATACGCATGTGTTTATGAATCACTACCAAATAGTGATCATACCCGGTGTTCGCGAAAAGGTGAGCATATCCTGCCTCACCACTGGCACCTGTCACAAACACATGCAAAGGCAAGTCAATTTTTCACCCAAAACACGGGAACATAATTCAATTTTTTAAACATTTGTGTTTCTGCATTTAAAAATACATAAATTATAAATGTTACATAATGTTCAGATAGGCAGAATTAAATGGTTGCGAACAAAGCCCGTTTGATGACCACTTTCAGCAATATTCCAATGATATTACAGTAGCCTGTATATCTGGACCAGATAAGAATCCACTAATGACAGGCAGTCAACCAGGTCAGCGATCCTGACCACCCGATCCCTAATTTTAGTCGACCATCACGGCATGGAGATTTATTCAGAACCGTTATTCCAACAGTTGAGTGCTCCAGGAGACTGTCCTGAACGTGTAAAGAAATAATGCCGAAATATGTGTCAGCATGGTATGGTGCTGACAAACCTAGACACATAAAAGGGGAGCATAAAATTCTGGCACGGCAAATTGCGACGCCATAGATGAATCACCCAACCCCGACCCCAGCTATTAATTAAGTGATACGAAAGGTCATGAGTGGTGATATACTTTCTTGGTAAATACTAAACAGTAAACAACAAAGCTCCCATTTGTAAGGGATTATGATAAGGTTCGTAATAACAGAATTTCTTGTATCCATAGCAGGATGTATTGTCCAAACATCCTGCTCACTACAAACAGGACCTTAGCGAGATTAGATAAGTCAAGTTTTCGAACTTGTCACACCTGGTATTGTGGGAAATGCACACGTGTTGTGCCGCTTATCAACAGGAATTTGTGGCGGCTGTGTACACAACACTGGAGTGACCACTGCAGTACAGGTATGGCATTTGTAATTAAAAGCCTTTGCATGTGTTTGTGACGAGTGCCACCTGGTTGAGCAGGATACGCTCTCCTTTTCGCGAACACCTGGTATCATCACTAATTGATAGTGAATCATAAGCTTCTGGCAGAGATTCCGTATGAATATGGAAAAGGTTTTGTCGCTTTTATCTTCTACTATCATGAATTTAAGTCAGCTCGTTATATCTGACATGAGCCATTCTCACGAACAGTAAAGCCATACACTGACTTAGTTACTCCTGATTTATATCATAGAACCGGAGATCACCCTCCGGGACAGACCATTTGCTTTTCTGGGGTGGTGTTTGTGTGGGATTTTGTATCGGAATGTAATGTGTACGTTTTTAAGCAGATACTTTCTTTTTTTCAACACTCTGAAGCATAATGATATTTTTCTCGAATTTTCGGGGACAATATATTGTTTGGGATAAAATCTCAGGCCCTCACCAAGATATAAAAAAGTCGGTCTCGAACGTCTGCTATGAAATTTTGTGATTACCTTTTTTTAAAATCCTGGATTCCTTGGAATAAAGTATTTACCAGGGACATAATCGTTGTCTTTATTTCCTTTTTGGCTGAGATGTGTGTTCTTGCAGGAGTCATCGTCCATAAGCTAGAGTTTACCTTCAGGTCCGAGCAACGAGGGTACATCTGCGATGTTGTGTACATGTGTTATCGCTGGTATCTTGTTCATCAGTCAAACTACAGGTAAGTCATATGGTGATTGTTAGAACTGCTAGTCTTGTCAGAATTCATAAACTGGTGAGTCACAAACAGAAAATGACAGGTGAAGAAGAAAGATGTAAAAGAGCGAACATATGTAAGCACACGTTTATAACCTTTTAAATACAAACTCTCTTCAAACGTAACGTGAACACAAATGTCTCTCAAATTTAAGTTCTTTAATTAGATAATGGTCCAGTCGTGGTGAGCATGTTGTACCTATCATTTGTATTGAGATTCTCGTGAGTTATTTCTTTCTGTCTATGTGAACAAATCGGGGATATTGCATTCAGCTGAGCATCATCATTCGTCAACAGTGAAGTTTGTACACGGACGCTTTCATGTTCTGACAGAGGGTTGGGGGTTGGGGGTTGGGGGTAGGGGGTTGGGTTGGGTTTGGCGGGGGGATGAAGTGGGGTTGGGTTGGTGGTTGTTGTTGCTGAGATGGCATGCATTCATCGTTATAAAATTGTTTTCGTCATTAATTACACTTTAATAATACTCTTTTTTATTGATTAATCAAACCACTTTTACATGTCATGTATTCATTGTTAACTGAAAGAAATTATTATCCTTTTCTACTTGTATAAGATAGAACCTTCATCCTTTTTCAAAGAATTAATATGGTCATCAAAATGGGTGCTTGGCACACGGACGCCTAAATTTCTTTCTAAAATTGATTACACGTTTAACTGTCTCCGTAACACCACTAGCCCTCCAATTACTTGACATGGTAGACTGAAATCCTCTGAAAGTACTACTTTGTTTTCGACTCAGTAAATGATATGCTATCATAGGTTCCCAGCCTTGTCGATCAAATACGCGTTGTAAGCAATGCACAAACACATCTCAACATTTGACTCTGACGTGTTGAATGTGTATGCACGCTCTTTCAATGTACTCAGTAAAGCTTATTCCCTATATTTTATATTGTTCCCTGATTTGCTTCAATCAGTATATTACACTTCTTGTCGACTTTCACGTAGGCGATGAGGTCAGCGCCTTGAGGTCAGTGTTTGACCAGTATTACCAGTGGCGACTGAAGGACTCCCCGGAGATGTCCACCTACCTCAACGTGCACGACTACGACGGTAAAGTGGACAGTGTGGGTCTAGCAGAGTTCGATTTCACAAAGGTATCTACTGCTATTTACAATGACGCAAATATCTCTCAAATCTAAGTTCTTTAATAAGATAATGGTCCTAATTAGAAACCCATGGTTGTGGGTTCGAATCTCGGTTCGCACCGATTATGTATCTAGGTTCGTCAGCACCAAACCGGTGCTCGTGGGTTTCACTAAAGTGGTAAATGTCTGAGACGTCCATCACTTCGGACTTTCCTCCCACATTAAACTGAAACGCCGTGATATATCTGTAATACCGTTTCTCACTCACTCACTCACTCTGCCTAACCACCCGATCCATTTCAGTTTCATCCTACGACCAGTTTAGGTTAATGTCGAGCTATTCTACAATCTCATTAAAAATCAGATCTTATAGTTCTTGCTACCGCTAAACAAAATAGGATGACATCCTCACGTCAGAACGACCTTTCATCCGACCAATCAGAGCGTCGCTTACCCGATCGGGAAAGTGACAAACAGAATGTGTTTTCTTTTCGTGCAACCTCGCAATACTTTGCACGGGGTATTCCGAACGACAAGTACGGGCTGTACGTCACTTTGTCGCCTCAATGGGATACAGATTTGAAACGGAAGAGACTTTCCATTGCCCGTGGGAAGTACTGCTATACAGTATCAACAATCTATTTGACATTCCAGAGTTGTTTTGTTCAGTTTTCAAATTTAGAATCAATATTTTTCAAAGCGCTGTCCGGAATGGAAGTAGCAAAATTGAAACAAACGCCGTAAAACTCGAAAAAGGTCGTTCTCACATGACCCGTAATGGGATGTCCTCAAATCTTTGTTTAGTGGTAGCGGGAACTAAGATCTGATTATGATGAAATTGGCTATTCTGATTCTCCTTCCTAGCCATTGAGGTGACTGTAAATCTTGTTTTAACTCCTCAAGGCGAAGGTAGATGAGTTTCTGGTGAGTCTAGGTAAGATCGACTACAACTCTCTGCCCAGACAACAACGGTACAACTACGCCGTCCTGAACGACACACTCACCACCGTGTCGCGGGGATATCAATGGAGACTGTGAGCTATGTCTATTTTACTCTCAAATCAAACAAATCAAAATGTTTAATTAAATTCACGTTGATGCATTGAAATTACACTAATCCTTACAACGGCCATGATAGGTTTTCAATGTTAGCAGAATGAAATAGAAATTAAATTCCTTCACCAAACAACCTTTGTCGGGAAATAAGAAGAAATATTATTTTACAGTAACTATTTAACAGTAATTATTACCAGTGTTAAAAAGACTCCGTACTTAAGCTGACATGTAGGAATCAAAATCACTTTAAAAGCCGACAATCCCACAATGCTATCAATGACGTATCTCAGTATGTATTCGTAGTGTTTTTGCATTCGCATCTTCTGCCAAACCTTTAAAAGACACAACCTCGACAAACAAGTGAAAATGTGAATCAATATGTATTTTTAAAGAAATTTTTCAGTAATTATTGACAAGGTCCAGATTAACAAGGGCATTGTGTGTGCGGGTTTTGTGTTAGACAAAGTGACACAACATGTGTGTTACGTAACTACAAGAGCACGACTGTCCGAAAGGCCTTAGTGCAGCAGTTTCGACCTTGAGTCGGGTTCTGGGTTAGACCTACAACAACGTCACTCCCTCCTTTCCTCATCTTCCCGAGGCAAGGGAGTTAACTTCTATAAAAGTCCAGTTTCCACCCTTGCCGAATTAGGCTGGAAATTCTGGCCTCGATCGTAACTCCACTAGTGGCTATTACTAATGATGTCCCTTCTCTGTCCCTCCTATTGACCAATCAGATTCCATCTCTCATATCACTTGCATTTGCCCTGTCAAGACCACGTGAGGTGCATCAAATCACTTGAGCACCTTGATTCAACACATGAAGAAATTTGCAAAATATCTGTCGACGCCCAGTTGACGGTACACATGCTTGTAAATCCCGCAGTCGATCGTCATATGTACGTTGAAATCCATGTTGTTGACGAACCGGATGTCTAGTTTGTTATGGGATTTTTTATTGGACTATGCATGGACTCGTTGGTCAAGCCTAAATATAACTCCGGACTTCCAGCCTAGTTCGGCAAGGGCGGAAACTGGACTTTTATAGTCAGTTAACCCCCGTGCCTCGGGAAGATGGTCTTTCCTTCCACACTGAGGAGACTCATCACGTTATAATGAAGTAAAGGCCGAAGCCGTGACACATGAATGCACGACTGACAATGTAGGACTTCCAACATTAGCAACGTTCAACGGGGGAAGTGTTGACAAAAATTGCCTCTCTTTACCAGATACGGTGCACTTAACCCTATCAACTTTCTTGAGGGCAATCAAGTAGACCCTGAATCTCTCCTGAAGATTACAAGATTTGAGACCAAATTGGACTTTTTGAACTTCATCAGCAGAATCGACGGCTATCCCCAACAGGTGGGTTTTGATCATCATGTATCAAAGGGATGGGACTAATTAACTACCGGGGCGGTGGGATAGCCTAGTTGTTAAAGCGTTCGCTAGTCACACTGAAGGACCGGGTTCAGATCCCTACATGGGTACGCCCTAATATTGCTGGAATATTGCTAAAAACGGCACAAAACCATCACCAAGATATTAATCTACCGTTATCAACATTATGAACACTTGAAAAATTAAAGTTGATCGTATCATTAATTTAACTTTTGGGGACACGGGTGGCCCAGTGGTCTAAGGATCCATGTTGCGCGATGCAAACTTACGTCACTTTGATGATACAGGATCCGCCAATTTTGTGTTCGAAAATTGAGTCACTTTAAGCTGACAGACCCAACATACTTGAAATTTTACATTGCCTTAATTCTAGCTGTAGGTAAACGGTTAAAGAGTCTGTGTGTCTCCGTTCATCAACGTGATGTTTGGTTTTATTGTTGTTTAACGCCTGAGTCAGCAATAAATCAACTTTATCACAGCGTTCTGTAAATAACGAGTCTCCGCCAGACAAACCAGTGACTGATATCATGAGCAACATCCCACGTCGTCGGCGAAACGCAATCTAGCATGTCACCACCTTACAACCCTATCTACATAATCGCCTCTTAAGACAAGTATATGTTACTGCAAGTCATCAAAATGTAACACATCAGTTCCTAGATACTCAGTTAAAGGTTATATGCTACACATGGTAGGATATGTTCTCTAACTGTTTCATTCCTTCAGATAAGAGACGAGATTACCTTGATGACGGAATCAGCACGACTGGGAAGAACAAACAACATCTATTCAATGGTAAATCATCATACAGTCCTGTGATCAGAGGTTGGGGGGTTGGGGCTGGGACGTTAAGGCGCGGGTGGCCCAGTCTTCTGAGGCGTCGCAATTAGCTGTCCAGAGTTGCGTCCCTTGGGAACGCCAAAAACTTATGATTGTTGGTTCGGATCCCGGTTCGCTACGATTATGTTTCTAGGTATGTCAGCACCATATTCGTGCTCGTGGGTTTCACTAAAGTTGCTAATGTCTGAGACGTGCATCACTTCGAGCTTCCTCCCACATTAAAGTGACACACCGTGATATAACTCACTCACTCACTTACATAGTAAGTACTTTATTTGCTTCATAGTGTAACTGCATAAACTATAATACACAATATCGATGTCACCGTGAAATGACGACAACATAACATCATGCTTTGTTTCTAATAAGACGAAGGTTCCTGGTCAGATCGACGACCTCCTTAAAGAGGACCCCACTGCTTTTGTCTACTACAAACCCTTCCTATCCGATCTGGACAAACTGAGTATTCCTGAATCCGAAAAGTAAGCATGGTTTTCTTTAAACTTCAGTAACGATCATCTGAAATTTCGCAGATAATGTAAGGACAAGGTACCTGTGTGATAATGTAATGACAAGGTACCTGTGTGATAATGTAATGACAAGGTACCTGTGTGATAATGTAATGACAAGGTACCTGTGTGATAATGTAATGACAAGGTACCTGTGTGATAATGTAATGACAAGGTACCTGTGTGATAATGTAATGACAAGGTACCTGTGTGAAAATGTAATGACAAGTTGAAGGTACCTGTGTGATAATGTAATGACAAGGTACCTGTGTGATAATGTAATGACAAGGTACCTGTGTGATAATGTAATGACAAGTTGAAGGTACCTGTGTGATAATGTAATGACAAGGTATCCTGTGTGATAATGTAATGACAAGGTACCTGTGTGATAATGCAATGACAAGGTACCTGTGTGATAATGTAAGGACAAGGTACCTGTGTGATAATGTAATGACAAGGTACCTGTGTGATAATGTAATGACAAGGTACCTGTGTGATAATGTAATGACAAGTTGAAGGTACCTGTGTGATAATGTAATGACAAGGTACCTGTGTGATAATGTAATGACAACGTACCTGTGTGATAATGTAACGAAAAGGTACCTGTGTGAAAATGTAATGACAAGTTGAAGGACCCTGTGTGATAATGTAATGACAAGGTACCTGTGTGATAATGTAATGACAAGGTACCTGTGTGATAATGTAATGACAAGGTACCTGTGTGATAATGTAATGAGAAGTTGAAGGTACCTGTGTGATAATGTAATGACAAGGTACCTGTGTGATAATGTAATGAGAAGTTGAAGGTACCTGTGTGATAATGTAACGACAAGGTACCTGTGTAATGAGATACATGTACCTGAATGTGTAACTAAATCTTTTCCAGGTTAGAAATGAGAGAGAAAGCCAAGAATGCATCCAAAAACCTCATAGATGCCTTCAGAGCGCTAAAACAATTTATCATCAATGTAAGTGCAAATAAATATTTCATTCTTTAGAATTGATTATACGTTCAAAGCAAACCCCTTGTTCCCTATTGTCCTTCCGAATTATCATTCAAGTTCACAGTAAGATGTAGGTGTAGGCATATTGTATGTCCTGTGTAATCTATTATATAATCCAGTGTAGGCATATTGTATGCTTCTGTGTAGTCTATTATATAATCCAGTGTAGGCATATTGTATGCTCCTGTGTAGTCTATTGTATAATCCAGTGTAGGCATATTGTATGCTCCTGTGTAGTCTATTGTATAATCCAGTGTAGGCATATTGTATGCTCCTGTGAAGTCTATTGTATAATCCAATGTATGCACATTGTATGCTCCTATGTAATCTATTGTATAATCCAGTGTATGCACATTGTATGCTCCTGTGTAATCTATTCTATAATCCAGTGTATGCACATTGTATGCTCCTATGTAATCTATTGTATAATCCAGTGTATGCACATTGTATGCTCCTGTGTAATCTATTCTATAATCCAGTGTATGCACATTGTATGCTCCCATGTAATCTATTGTATAATCCAGTGTATGCACATTGTATGCTCCTGTGTAATCTATTGTATAATCCAGTGTATGCACATTGTATGCTCCTGTGTAATCTATTCTATAATCCAGTGTATGCACATTGTATGCTCCCATGTAATCTATTGTATAATCCAGTGTATGCACATTGTATGCTCCTGTGTAATCTATTGTATAATCCAGTGTATGCACATTGTATGCTCCTGTGTAATCTATTCTATAATCCAGTGTATGCACATTGTATGCTCCCATGTAATCTATTGTATAATCCAGTGTATGCACATTGTATGCTCCTGTGTAATCTATTCTATAATCCAGTGTATGCACATTGTATGCTCCCATGTAATCTATTGTATAATCCAGTGTATGCACATTGTATGCTCCTGTGTAATCTATTCTATAATCCAGTGTATGCACATTGTATGCTCCTATGTAATCTATTGTATAATCCAGTGTATGCACATTGTATGCTCCTATGTAATCTATTGTATAATCCAGTGTATGCACATTGTATGCTCCTGTGTAATCTATTCTATAATCCAGTGTATGCACATTGTATGCTCCTATGTAATCTATTGTATAATCCAGTGTATGCACATTGTATGCTCCTATGTAATCTATTGTATAATCCAGTGTATGCACATTGTATGCTCCTGTGTAATCTATTCTATAATCCAGTGTATGCACATTGTATGCTCCTATGTAATCTATTGTATAATCCAGTGTATGCACATTGTATGCTCCTGTGTAATCTATTCTATAATCCAGTGTATGCACATTGTATGCTCCTGTGTAATCTATTGTATAATCCAGTGTATGCACATTGTATGCTCCTATGTAATCTATTGTATAATCCAGTGTATGCACATTGTATGCTCCTGTGTAATCTATTCTATAATCCAGCGTATGCACATTGTATGCTCCTATGTAATCTATTGTATAATCCAGTGTATGCACATTGTATGCTCCTGTGTAATCTATTCTATAATCCAGTGTATGCACATTGTATGCTCCCATGTAATCTATTGTATAATCCAGTGTATGCACATTGTATGCTCCTGTGTAATCAATTCTATAATCCAGTGTATGCACAGTGTATGCTCCAATATAATCTATTGTAAACTCCAGTGTATACATAGTGTATCATCCAATTGTATGATCCAATGTATACACATTATATAGCCCAGTGTATGCATATTAATACAATCCAAATTCATACATATACGGATATAATCCAATGTATACATACCAATATAACCCGGTACATACACATTGATACACTCTAGTGTATGCATATTGTATAATCCCATGTGTATACCTCAGTGTATACATTAGGATACAATCACGTGTATACATATTGTATGATTCAATGTATGCATACCGATACAATGTTCGACAGTCAGTATTTCCGCGGTGCCCAAGTGAGTCTGCTATGTGTTGCAGGGGTACGTCCCTCACGCTCGTGGGTCCTATGGCGTGGGGGGACTCAACCAGGGGGGCAACTACTACACCAACTGTCTCAGATGGCATCTGACAGTTGACAGTTCACCGGGACAAGTGCACCAACTTGGCCTAACGGAAGTTGCCAGGATTAGTAGGAAAATGAAAGACGTAAGAAACTAGTCAAGTTGAATATTTCAAACAATGAAATTGCCTGTTGGGATTCGGGGCAGATTAGATCCCGGGGATTCCATGTTTGTCGTCAAAGTCGACTAATATGGTTTTGGTGGTTTCAAGTTGTGACCGGACTTATTATGTGGCATCGTGCTCAGATCGCATTGTTGTTGTTCATACTGTCGACCACTCGGCTGCATGGTCCAGACCCGATTATCTATAGATCGACACAATATATAGTATGACTCTATATTAGCGGTAAATCTCGTAATTCACAGCCCCTGTCGATCGTTTACTTTTGCAAACCTAAGCACGATATTTCATTGCTTGATAAAACACAGGACTCATTGCGGTATGTCACGGGTGCTCGTAAGGACAAACATTAACCTTTTTATGATAGTTTCTGGAATATTTTTAAAATGAAATTATCCCTACCTTCATTCCAAATTGATTAGAAAAGAACCCCTTGTTTGGACAAAATCCCTTGACCAAACCCACGTCGTATGCATACCGATTATGCATAATCCAAAACAGGAAGCGATGTACAGCACATAATCTACACGTTTCATACTATAATATAGAGACGCCCGCCTTTGAGTCGTTAATGACAGGTACTTTATTTACCGAACTCGTTGGAGAAAATCAGCATCGATCAATCCTAATTGATGTGTCATAAAATGTTGAACAAAGAACAAGAAACATGTTGCGAATGACATATTTAGTTAGTAAGCGTGCGCCATTACGATCCATTATAAATTAACTACCGCGAAAATATAGCGTACCATGCTATACCAATGATTTCACTCACTCAACTCATTCATTTTGCCCAAAATATGTCGGGGATACAGTATATTGTATAAAGTATATGATGTACACATGTATAGTATATAGTATGTACGTGTATATCAAACATCAATGATTGGCATAAACACCAAGGGTAAGTTTCTTGTTAGCAACAATGTTTGTTCTTTTTCTTCAGATTATGATGAAGCAGAACTTTAAAGGAACAATATCTGAATATTTCACCATGTTGAGACGAGATCCGAGGTTTCACTTTAAGACTGCCGTAAGTTCTAAAGCACAATCCAGAGGCCAATACTTCCCCGAAGCATGGTGTCAGATTTGTGATTCATTATTTAAGGACCATGAGCAGTAAGTCAGAAACAGTGTGCCGTGAAAGTGTGCCGGAAAATGTTCACAGTTTAGCAAACGGATATTTTCACTTTCTCATCGAGGGTTTAAACCCTTGATACATATGACACCCAATACTTCCAATAACATCCTCACGTCGGACGTACCTCCCAAGTCTGGTTCAAGTCCTATAAACACTACTTTGGATGTCTGCTGTTTATTATGTATATCGGTCTCGCAGTTAACGACTACCTCAAATACTCGGAAATAATGTCTCGGTTTCAGACATGTCGTTATCATAATGTCTAACCATAGACAGTCAATGGGATCTAAGGCATAAATCGTCTCACCATTTTAGACAAACCCCCTTTCACTCTATACTTAACTAATCAACATTCACTTATTCAGGATGAGATCATTGCCAAGTACAAGGATATCCTCTACAACAGGTTGTACCCTGCTCTGCCCAAAGTCTTCAAGAACATTCCTCAGCATAAAGTCAAGTAGGACATCTTGCCTGTGTTACACGTTGGCTCACACGTTTATGTATTGATAAGAAAGAAGCAATTCAAGTGTTATTGCTGAACATGCATCATATGACATCGGCAGCAAAGCGAGATCGAGAGAGATCGTGTGTATGCCTGTGTGTGAGATGGTTTGTGGGATGGTGTATGTATGTGAGAGGGATTGTGTGCGATCATGTTGTTGGTTGTGCTTGTGTGTGGGGTTGTGTGTATGCACATGTGTGATGTGTTTGATTGTATGTGCAGGTGTGTGAAATTGTGTGTATGAGAGAGAGATAGAGAGAGAGAGAGAAAGAGAGAGAGAGAGAGAGAGAAGAGAGAGAGAGAGAGAGAGAGAGAGAGAGAGAGAGAGAGAGAGAGAGAGAGAGAGAGAGATGCGTGTGTGGTCGTGTGTATGTATGATGGTTCTCGTGTGCATGTCTGTGTAGAATGTTCTAAACAATTATCATCCGGTTTAATGGGGAGTGGCTGTATTGTTATGTTTCTAAAATACAAAGAATATCACAATTCCGCTTCAAACATGACAATTAATTTTTAGAATTTGTAACAGTCAGCGCAAATCAAATGCATACGTCTTAAATAGAGGTCATTTTAAACCTATGTACAGCCACTTTGACCTGGTCAAGCAGTCCCTGTACATCTATATTACTAGGCTGTGTTACTCCGGCTACACATTCTTCATACGGGATTTGCTTTCTCCCCCAGAGTGACAGCGATGGGTAATGACGGACCGCCGGCCCAGTACATGCCCGGGTCCTCTGACGGGTCCCGACAGGCCGAGTTCCAGGCCAATGTCTTCAGGCCCAATGAAACGTAAGGATAGTTTTGTAGTAGTTAGTTAGAGAAAAATATATTTTTCAAACTGTTATCGTAGTAGGAACTTAATACTTCATCAGGTGCGAGTATAAAATAGGGTATTAAATATGTAGATACTAATATATTAACTGCTTTTACGTTGAATCATATGTTTTGATTATGTTCCCGTTTGATGCAACTTTTCTAATACTGACGATACTGAACATTTACATTATGCACAGTATGAATCCGGTACGAATATAAGACCGTATGTAAACAGTTTTGGCATATACGGTATCCTATCTTAAGAAGTCAAGCATTGCTGTGTCGTTTTGCAAGTCGACTGTATTGCTGTCTATGAATTAAACATACCCATTGGACATGTTTTTCATATTTGACATGTCAGTTTAGAAATATAGTCGGTGCCGAGACGTCAAGATGTTAAGCGCCTGAAAGGCTAATGTATTCCTCTCCTCATCAGTGACAGCTTCATCATGGTGGGAGATGCTCTGCATGAAGGAGTCCCTGGACACCACCTGCAGGTACAGATTGTTTATCACTTTAGTTTTCAAACCACTGATCAATGATGATAATTGGGGTAAATCTGGATTTACGACTTGTCGGTCCTTGCAGCAACATTGATGTTGTAACGCCAACATGTTAAAACGTGACAAAGATTCTGCGATAGTGACTCGAAGGTGGCGCAAAGGTGCCGCGAAAGTGACGCGATCTTGTAAAATATTATCACAGAAATTGCGCAATAGTTTCGCGTCAATGCCCCCAAAGTGTCGCGATAATACCGCGTTAGTGCCGCATTAGTGTCGGGAACATTTTGCCAAACTAGGGAAGTTACATATAAAATGTAGTGTGTACCCAGTGAATTGTGGCGACCTGGTCAAGAACGAGCAAGCTACTTGGTAAAATCAGAGAAATATCAGTGTGCTCCTCCTAGGATATTGTATAGTTTGTTTTGTGTTGTTTTGCGAGTCGACTAAAAATGCCACGAGTGAAACGTTGTTTGTGTTGTCTGTACAGTTCATATACCAGCAGACATCAAATCTTCCGGACTTCCGAAAAGAGGACCTGTCCGGTGCCTTCTACCCCATACCGTTCTCCTACCCAGGATATTCCTCGTATGTAGAGGTAAAAACACAGGACTGAATGAGTGAATATTTATATCTGTTACTTTGTGGTGCAGATGTAAACATTTTCTTCCAAATTCCTAGCGGACAAAACCCGTGTGTGTCATCATGTAACAAGCCTCTTTATCAGACGTTGTGTGTCATCATGTAACAAGCCTCTTTATCAGACGTTGTGTGTCATCATGTAACAAGCCTCTTTATCAGACGTTGTGTGTCATCATGTAACAAGCCTCTTTATCAGACGTTGTGTGTCATCATGTAACAAGCCTCTTTATCAGACGTTGTGGTTCATCATGTGACAAGCCTCTTTATCAGACGTTGTGTGTCATCATGTAACAAGCCTCTTTATCAGACGTTATGTGTCATCATGTGACAAGCCTCTTTATCAGACGTTATGTGTCATCATGTAACAAGCCTCTTTATCAGACGTTGTGTGTCATCATGTAACAAGCCTCTTTATCAGACGTTGTGTGTCATCATGTGACAAGCCTCTTTATCAGACGTTGTGTGTCATCATGTAACAAGCCTCTTTATCAGACGTTGTGTGTCATCATGTAACAAGCCTCTTTATCAGACGTTGTGTGTCATCATGTGACAAGCCTCTTTATCAGACGTTGTGTGTCATCATGTGACAAGCCTCTTTATCAGACGTTGTGTGTCATCATGTAACAAGCCTCTTTATCAGACGTTGTGTGTCATCATGTAACAAGCCTCTTTATCAGACGTTGTGTGTCATCATGTGACAAGCCTCTTTATCAGACGTTGTGTGTCATCATGTAACAAGCCTCTTTATCAGACGTTGTGTGTCATCATGTGACAAGCCTCTTTATCAGACGTTGTGTGTCATCATGTGACAAGCCTCTTTATCAGACGTTGTGTGTCATCATGTGACAAGCCTCTTTATCAGACGTTGTGTGTCATCATGTAACAAGCCTCTTTATCAGACGTTGTGTGTCATCATGTAACAAGCCTCTTTATCAGACGTTGTGTGTCATCATGTAACAAGCCTCTTTATCAGACGTTGTGTGTCATCATGTAACAAGCCTCTTTATCAGATGTTGTGTGTCATCATGTAACAAGCCTCTTTATCAGACGTTGTGTGTCATCATGTAACAAGCCTCTTTATCAGACGTTGTGTGTCATCATGTAACAAGCCTCTTTATCAGATGTTGTGTGTCATCATGTGACAAGCCTCTTTATCAGACGTTGTGTGTCATCATGTAACAAGCCTCTTTATCAGACGTTGTGTGTCAGTGTGTCATCATGTAACAAGCCTCTTTATCAGACGTTGTGTGTCATCATGTAACAAGCCTCTTTATCAGACGTTGTGTGTCATCATGTAACAAGCCTCTTTATCAGACGTTGTGTGTCATCATGTGACAAGCCTCTTTATCAGACGTTGTGTGTCATCATGTAACTAGCCTCTTTATCAGACGTTGTGTGTCATCGTGTAACAAGCCTCTTTATCAGACGTATTGTGTCTCATAATGTAACAAGCCTCTTTATCAGACGTTATGTGTCATCATGTAACAAGCCTCTTTATCAGACACTGTGTGTTATCATGTAACAAGTCTCTTTAGCAGACGTTACGTGTCATCATATGACAAGCCTCTTTATCAGACGTTATGTGTCATCATGTAACAAGCCTCTTTATCAGACGTTATGTGTCCTCATGTGACAAGACTCTTTATCAGACGTTGTGTGTCATCATACAAAATGCCTGAAAAGTCTCCATGTGGGCTATTATACTCCATCCAATATTATAATCCGGAAGCACTAGGGTTATATTTAAACTGTATATGTCATCTGATAGCATCAACATTTTTAAGGGCCCTGAAAATAACCTTCCACCTTTTTAAATGACCTACACGATGACGACAGATTTTTGTAAAACCTTTCGTTGACCAAATGTTCAGACAGAGTTGTTCATGTAGATAGTTTCTGTTTATGAAGGGATGGGCTCTCTATGCTGAATCTCTGGGGGAGGAGCTGGGACTCTATGAAGATGACTATGAACTGTGAGAATCTACGATCTTGTAACCATAAAAAAAGCATTGCTTGTACTTATCACATGTTCATATACACTGGAATACCAATATAAAGAGAGCACGCCGCGTTCAAGATTGTTGCACTTAAATTATGTATCGACGTGCATGCACGTGTGTGTGTGTGGCTGCGTGTACTAGTCCGGACTGATGCCGATTTTATAGCCCACTGAGATACCATGCCGCAGTGAATACCCCACTCAGACACAGTATACTGACTCCGAGCCGACCAGTCCTTGTTTTAGCCACTTCATGCCGAGGCAGGCCACCGACAAGTACCATCTTTTAACGTCTTATGATATGACACGACCGGGGATCGAACCCTGACCTTCCGCTCTTTGGGCAGACACTCTACCACTACACCACGGAGACGGTCCTATTCATGATATTACAGATTGCGCTTTTGTTTATGTTTCAGTATGGGTCGATACAGTAACGAAATCTTCAGAGCCTGTCGGCTTGTTGTGGACACCGGACTTCACTTCATGGGGTACATATACTTCTACCACAGGACAATAGCAACGCGTACCACATGGATATACCACGAGCCATGCTGACATGGAATTACATGTGGCTATACACTCAAGTGTTAGAGTGACCTACCCCCACAAAGACAAGGGAAATAACACGAGTGGTAGCTGGGAACACAATATTTAGTTGACCTTGTAATACGTTTTAAATGAATATAATCATTAACCAGAATGTTGAAAGTAGAACCGGACCGTGTTTTCAACCTGTGGAGAAACACGATGCGACTGATTGAGCGAAGACTGTTTAACGTCGCACTCAGATATATTCGAGACTGTAAATACTCGAGACGGACCAGACATTAAAGTGACTGACCCGTGAAGGTCCGGTTTAGAATTGGTCTTCAGCAACCCATGCTTGTTGTAAGAGGTGACTAACGGGATCGGGTGGTCAGGCTCGCTGGTTTGGTTGATGCATGTCATCGTATCCAAAATGCGTAGATATCGATGCTCATTGTCTGTTGCAGATTCGATTATTTACAGATCGCCGACATATAGCTGGAATACTGCTGGGTGGTGCGTTAAATAAAAAACAAACAAACAAATAAACAAATAAAGTGACTAGAATCATGAGCATAGTTCCACACAATCGGCACACAATGACCTGACCACCCGATCCTCAGTCGCTGTACCCGTAGCAATAATAAATACCAACGATTGTTAGCATTCATACGCAATCGACTCTTCTTATTCAAATGCAGATGGACACGCACCAGGGCTATCAGCTACATGCAGGAATACAATGCTCTGAGTGGAGGGAATCTGGAGAACGAGATTGACCGCTATATCACGTGGCCTGGTCAGGCATGCGCATACAAAATAGGAGAGCTTAAGATCCGGGCTCTGAGAGAGAAAGCTGCATCTGCGCTGGGTATGCATGATATCCTATTTTGCAATAAAACTAAAACATTTGCAATGGATACAAATGCATCAAATGTGTGTAATAACAGCAAGACCAAACATCATATTTGTCTGATTTCATATTTGTGTATTTGTAAATTTCACCAGGTGAAGAAAATGACGTGTATGTATCAGAGATATTACATATCTGCAATAGTATATAATTCGGCCATAAGGCCATAACCCATTAATTATTAGAACTTCAACTCCGTCCAGCTCATTACTAAACACTCATTCTCACCTTCTTTGGACGTCAAATTCCAACTTTTGAAATCATAATTTTTGTTCCCTTCTTTCTCACCTGAAGAGAGGTGGTGGGATAGGCTAGTGGTTAGAGCGTTGTCACGCCGAAGCCCCGGTTCGATTCCTCACATTGATACAATGTGTGAAGCCAATTTCTGTGTCCCCGGCCGTGATATTTGTGTCCGCCGCCGTGATTTTTTGCTGGAATATTGCTAAAAAACGGCGTAAAACCATACTCACTCACTCACTCACCTGAAGACATGCTTCATATGAATCACATTCGTCGGCAGTTGATGTACACAGATGTCTCGAACGGTTTGTTTGTTTATATATTGTGGCCTACCAGACGATACAATTGTGGTATGAAAATATTAAACATGGTTATTTAATAGAATATACAATATACGTGCTTTATCACGACCAGTAGTGCCAGGTGATCTTTTAAAAGACTTCCAAATGCAGAGAAAAAAGATGCCACACAAATAGCACTCCCCGATTAACCTGGCTCAATGATGAATGTAGCATGAGGTCTTACATTGCAAGCTGTAATTATTTCACTTCTCAGCCTCGAAGTTCGACATCCGTGATTTCCATGGCGTTGTCCTCAGTGCCGGGGCTGTGCCACTGAGGCTGTTGGAAACCATGATCAACGACTGGATCGCAGATGTTCTTGCATCAGGAACAAGCCAGACGTCAAATGCTGCGTCTGGGCATTCTTTAACTTCCACACCACCTGGTGACAAAACTCTTACTCCCGGTGTTCACACAAAGTCTGATTCGCCTGCGACAACAAAGACACCAACCCCTACGCCCACCAGAAAGACCGTGTACACCTTTACTGGGCAACTGCCTGTGCTTCCGAACATTGGATGAGCTGTAATACACGAATTTACGTTAACCTGGTCAACTGAGTGATTTTAATTCACGAGGAAAGGAAATATATAATAGGGATGTCACGTGTGTAACTGTCATCTTTTTTCACCAATGTATTTTTCAATACCACAAACGAATTAAAGGATATTTCCGAATTATACGGTGTTGGGATTTTTGGTAGCGACAGGACATCCCTCAGGTCCAGCGAACAATATGTTGTAAAGCCTGGGGTAAATTTAATTTTCCAGTTTTGCCCAAGCACCACCCAGAATATCTCAACGTCATTGTCTTGGATGTTTGGTGATGGAAACTTAAACATGATCAGAAAATGTTTAACCGTCCTTTTGTGTTTTAATAATATAGTATAATTTAATGGTGTTGTCCAGACAGCACGGTTTTATGAGGTTTTGTTTTCATTAATTTGTTGTCCTTGTGAGGGATTCAATGCTCACCTGGTTTGGATTCAGGGTCAGATATAAAGGGCCCCGGTCCTTGTAAAATCCAGGTCAAACGGGTAGTAACTGGTATAGTCTGTGTTAATGTTGTGCTCTCAGCTCTTTGGGAACATGCCTGGGGTGCCCAATTGCCCTATTACAGTCTCCGGGTGGGGATCACAGGTAGAACAGGTGCCCAATTGCCCTGTGACTGTCTCAGTGTGTGGATTAAGGGGTCGAACGGGTGCCCAATTGCCCTGTGACAGTCTCAGTGTGGGTTCACAGGTAGAACAGGTGCCCACTTGCCCTGTGACAGTCTCATTGTGTGGATTAAGGGGTCGAACGGGTGCCCAATTGCCCTGTGCCAGTCTCCGTGTGGGGATCACAGGAAGAACAGGTGGCAACTTGACCTGTGCCAGTCTCCGTGTAGGGATCACAGGTAGAAAAGGTGCCCAATTGCCCTGTGCCAGTCTCCATGTAGGGATCACAGGTAGAAAAGGTGCCCAATTGCCCTGTGCCAGTCTCCATGTAGGGATCACAGGTAGAACAGTTGCTCAATTTGCCTGTGATAGTCTCATTGTGTGGATTACGGGGTCGAACGGGTGCCCGATTGCCCTGTCACAGTCTCACTGTGTGGATTCAGGGGTAGAATAGGTGCCCAATTGCCCTATTACAGTCTCCGTGTGGGGATCACAGGAAGACCAGGTGCCCACTTGACCTGTGACCGTCTCCGTGTGGGAATCACAGGAAGACCAGGTGCCCACTTGACCTGTGACTGTCTCCGTGTGGGGATCACAGGAAGAACAGGTGCCCAATTGACCTGTGACTGTCTCCGTGTGGGGATCACAGGAAGAACAGGTGCCCAATTGACCTGTGACTGTCTCCGTGTGGGGATCACAGGAAGAACAGGTGCCCAATTGACCTGTGACTGTCTCCGTGTTGGGATCACAGGAAGAACAGGTGCCCAATTGACCTGTGACTGTCTCCGTGTGGGAATCACAGGAAGAACAGGTGCCCACTTGACCTGTGACTGTCTGTGTGTGGGGATCACAAGTAGAACACGTGCCCACTTGCCCTGTGACTGTGTGGGGATCAGGTGCTTCGTACCGTCATTGTTTCCATGTTGGTATTCAGGTGTAGAACGCGTGCCAATCTGTCTCTTTGTGTGGATTCAGGGGATGTGTGGGTGAGTGAGTGAGTTGTGTTTAACACCGCTTTAAACAGTGTTCCAGTTATATCGCGGCGTGTCAGCTTAATGTGGGAGGAAAGCCCGAAGTGAAGCACGTCTCAGACGTTTACCACTTAAGTGAAATCCACGAGCACGGGTATGGGGCTGACAAACCTAGAAACATAATCGGGGCGAACCGTGATTCGAACCCACAATCATAGGTTTCTGGCGTGCCCAAGGGACGCAACTCTGCACAGCACAGCGCCTTAGACGACTGGGCCACCCGTGCCCCCCAGGGGATATGTGGGCTCAAAGGGAACTTTAAACCATACCTAGAATTTACATAGCTAGCGCTTTCCAAAAGGAAATGGGAAACTCTACAGGGTTGTTTGGTTTACAATCTGAACAGTCAGAGAAACATATTTATTGCCAATTGACTTATATGCAGTGAGTCCACAATGCATTAAAGACAAGCAATGAAAGGACGGTGTTCCCTTCGAACAAGAATGAGGGCATTTAGAGTTCTGAAAGCTGAAAGCTTCAAGTGTTGCAATAAGCTTAGATAAGGCAGGTAAGCAGTCATGACGTCACAATATCGAAGTCCGGTGTTCACATTGCACGTGTTACACAACCTCTTCCCATATTTGTGAAGGCATTAGTACAGATGTCAGTAAAACGACAATAACTCTCTGTAATAAAATCTTGAGCAAGAACTTTTTGTTCATCTTCTTATTTACCACGCTGTTTAAGTCCTAGATGCATTGATCAACAAGGAGTTGTTTTAGTCAATTATATCAATTCCTAGGAGGTCATGTCTTGCATGTTTGGAAGCGCTCTGCTTTTAAGCATTGCGGAGTTATGTATCATGCCTTGCGCGTGTGAACCTCTACCGTGTTTTGACGTCATACTGTGAAATCGACTTTCGCATTTATTGCCAGTTACTTTCTGTATCGATTGTGCAACTTTATACATGCCCATATAAACGCATTTATGCATCCTTATGTCGTTCAAATCTTTCAGATGAATGTAAACAGAAAAATTGATTCAAGTACATTAATCAGCCGCCATTGAACTCGAGTTATTTGGCGGGTTTTTCTATGCAAAGCAAAATTTTGGACGCTTATTTCCCTTATATGTGCCATTAATTGTACGTACAGTAAACTACGGTTATAACGAACACGCTTATAATGAAGTGACGGATATAACGAACTTATTTTTTTGGTCCCGACTATTTGCTGTAGTTATGCTGTATCTATGCTTATAACGAACTACGGTTATAACAGACTAAAATTAGTAGTCCCTTTGAGTTCGTTATAACCTTACTTTACTGTAGTTGTGTAATTGTATAATGGAAGGAATTCTCTGACAGAGTTTCTATTGCGGGACTTAAAAACATGTGGAAATCAGCCACCAGTGAGTTGAGACATTTAACCTACTTAAGTACTCAATGTAATCGAAATTAAACTTATGACATGTACATCAGGCCAGGTTTTTCCATCTTTAAAGCGGACTCAGTAGCCCTTGTGTGCTTCAAACCATGGCAGATGCCTGGATATCTGAAGGTCACGGGCAATGTCCTCCAACGACCGGTCTGCGCTAGTTCCCTCAGACACCTGGGTGCAATTTAGCTGGAGTCCACACTGTAACTGTTCAGTAGAGTGGCCGTATGACGCGGTTGAACAGCTGGACTGTGTTTTTGTTTGAGGCGAATCGATCCCCGACTGGGTAACAAGTGTTCCAAGGTGCCTACATTGGAGTTGATGGAGATATAAATGGAAAAAGATAAACATTATTATTATTCAGTGAACGGATAGATGAGTAAAATATTAATTGAAGAATGTAAGGCTAATGATTGATTGATTGATTGAATGAATGAATGAATGGCGAGGTGAGGTGAGGTGAACTGGGATTTAACGTCACTTCCAAGTTTATTGCACTTATATAGTGACGTGCATGCATGTGTGTGTGTGGCTGCTTGAACTAGTCCGGACTAATACAGATTATAAAGTACAAGCCCACTGAGATACCATGCCGCAGTTTAACATGAATACGCCACTCAGACACAGTATACTGACTCCGAGCCGACCAGTCCTTGTTTTAGCCCCTTAATGCAGAGCGCCAGGAAGGGTAACAACAAGTACCATCTTTTAACATATTTTGGTATGACGCGGCCGGGCATCGAACCCTGGACCTTCCGCTCTCCGAGTAAATGATTGAGTAAGCGATTAAACTATGGACTGTAAATCGTGAAATTAATGCGTCTCAAAAAGAATGCGACCGCTGGCCCCATTCAATAATGCGACTCAATATGAATGCGACACCCCCCTCCTCTCAAGCATCAGTGGATTTATATCTAAAGAAAATGTCCTCTGTCAGGTTTACACCTCACCCTCATCCAACCTTACATTAATCCAATCACACACCAAATAGCACCGCTCATCAGCACTGATTAGAGTACTTCCGCTAAAACAATACATGCGCACGGCCTTTGACGCAATCGCAAACAAAGTATATGATTAAACACATGAGTTCGTGAGAGAAAGAGTAAGTAAACGACAACATAGTAAATAAATTGGGTTGAATGGATGAATGAAAGGAATGAAAGAATGAGTGTTTTGACGTTGAATCAATAAATGAATGGATGGATTGACTTAGGATGAATACATATTAATAAATAATATTCTCTTCTCTACCTGTCGGGAAACAGCTGTTCTATCCTAACCAGCCAATCGCCAATGAAGAGATGCCAGGATAAGGCCCCTAACCCCGATAGCACTAAATAACATCTGGTCTCAGTCACCTGGGACCCGCACAACCTGTCAAGTGCGGAATACCCCACCATATGGACACGGAATGAGGTACGTTGTCCCCATTTCTTGTTGAAAACACCCCGTGAGTCGTGACCACCAGGGTTGAGAATCCGCCCGCGAATTAGGACGACAGTCTATAATGAGGTTCTCTAGTTTTGTTTGTTTGTTTGTTTGTTGTTGTTGTTTAGAAGCAACGTTCCAGGCTGTCGGGGTACTATGACACTCAGTCACCTTAGCTACCGATTCTTTTCGTCGCCTCGAAAAAGGATAGGTTGATGGGGACCACTTCTAACCCGGACTAGCCAAGGTGGAGGACTAGTTAATCCCTTGAGGATTGGGGGTAGAATATGTCCAAACATCCCGACTGTTTGGATCGTTGCGCATACTCCCACCATTAACAGGCCGCAATGCATAGCTGAATTGCGGCGTAAAACAACAACCACGCACCCTTCATGCAACTCTGTAAACGCCTACCTACTTCAATATGTGTAGCTGGCATACCTTATTTAGTGAGTATGCTAGAAAAGGTAGCATAAGTGTGGTAGATAGGCTTATCGATATATGTCGATATTTAATACCAGGTTTTTGAAGCATGAAGTGCAACAGATGGCCTGTAGTAGACATTCACCCACACCATAATGATACAGCATCAACTGTTCTCCGACATGTTTCAATGATATGTTTAGGGAGAAGTGTGTTTTAGACTTTGTTTTTGTGACTTTGTCATTATCGTGTTGATTTCTTTATGTATGTGCTTTATGTGTGAGCATTACCGTTAATAATCATAACGAAAACGTCCAGTGACATTTTAATCACGAAAAATGTGTGCACGTGCGAAGAATTGACAAAACGCCGGTCGAGTCTACCTACGTATAGAGATCAAAGAGCCGATGTATTTATTTTTGATCGGAATTTTACAAATATTCAAAATTTATTTTGACATATAGGGTCTGCGGTTTCAAAAATAGATAAAGCACGACTCGGATATGCTTGGGACTGTAACCCTCGATCGGGAGTGAAAGATGATATTGCTACAACATTCACACTGACACTCTCGAACAGTGCATGAAGCTCGTGCTAACAAGCAGGTTGACCTGACAGTTGACCCCTGTGAATATGCATGAGTGGCGTAGTCCATTACTTCCTTGGGGATGGTGGGTTTGGTTTTGGTTTATTGTTTTACGCCGCACTCAGCAATATTCCAGCTATATGACGGCGGTCTGTAAATAATCGAGTCTGGACCAGACAATCCACTGGTTGATATCATGAGCATCGATCCACGCAATTGGGATCGATGACATGCATCAACCAAGTCTGCGAGCCTGACCACCCGATGCCGTAAGTCACCTCTTACGACAAGCATAGTCGCCTTTTACGGGAAGCATGGGGTGGTGAAGATCTATTCTACCCCGGATCTTCAGAGGTCCGGGGGGTTATGGGAATAGATAAGCACTAGGCACATGCTTGCTTTACGTATAAACGTAACTTGACGTGCTCTAGTATCCAGCACCCAACATGCAAGGCATTGAATAAGGTCGGTGTTCATTTGAAATATTATGACATGTTGTTGAGATTATCGTCTGACACATTCATGTGCAGAATCAGATCGAGGCTGTACGTGGTTATCGTGATGTCTGTGCATTTTCTAACCAACTAACAGTTAAATTCTTAATTCTCCCAATCACGAGCTGACACAGCTGTGATAAGCGCATTGATGACATCTAGGTGAGACATGTTTCCTGGATCGGTGTTAAATCCCTTTGTAAACGTGTATTAGATTACTGGACGAGACGCCAGTGATACACCTATATATTAACATTCATTGACATTGACAAGCGTGGCACACGCCTTTTACACCCTGGGTAATGTACTGTATACACTGCACGCCGTTATTATATTTCAAGGGACTTATCATCCTTGATGGCAGATAGAGGGAGTAGGGATTTCGGAGTGTGGGGCCAACTGCATTCGGCAGATCACTGCAGCCATGTCGGCGTCCAGATTAAAAGTTTCTGCCAAATGTCTATTTGCTTGCTTCATTTCCAGCCTGGTGCTTGTTGCTGTTATTGTGCTGGCCACACAGCTGGCTCCGTCAGCTGGTGAGTGTTCATTTCATATGTCATTCTGACAGCTTATGTACATTTCACATATATTGACAGTTCATGTACGTTTCATGCTCGCATTGATTGTTTCACACACCGGTAGGTATTGACCGATGAAAACTCAATGCTGGTTTGTTTGTTTCATGTTTGACGCCGCACTCAGCAATATTCCAGCGGTCTGTAAATAATCGAGTCTGGACCAGACAATTCAGTGGTTGACATCATGAGTATGGGATACGATGACATGCATCAACCTCGTCTGCGAACCTGACCAACCGATCCTGTTAGTCGCCTCTTACGACAAGCATGGGTTGGTGAAGACCAATTCCAACCCGGATCTTCACGGGTGCGTCGTGTCATACTTCACTGTGTGCACTTCTCGTAGAAATTGTGTCGATATCCATCATGTCGTATAAACCATGGCTCCTTTGTCTTTGACCGTGGTCTAACTGACTGAATTGTTAGTTAAACACCACCATGGCCATGACGGAACTTCTTTTGCCCCCTATCATTTGTCTTGATGATTGAACAATGTCCTGAAAAACGTTTGTCGCCAGCGGGATTCAAACCCGCGAAGTCCGCACTGAAGGCTGTCGAATGTAGTCTTCTGCCACGGCGACATGGGAGAAAGGGTGTGAAATTAACAACTAAATATTTACTAACATCAATACCAATTGCTTATCCCTTTATGAACTGTGAATTATGTTTTATGCATTTATACATTTATACAGTATGTTACTTTATGCATTCTAGTAATTGTACAGTACTTGTGAATTTGTAGCTTTTCGTTCAACGAAACGAACAGAGAGAAAAGAAATAATTACTATTATCTTGATCAGGGCTATATTTGCTCATAATAGGCCCATCAACATGGGCAAGTAATATTTAGTTGATTGATAAATGTGCTCGAGTTGGTCCAAAATGAATGGTATACTTGCCCCGGGACATGCATTTCATAACCCAAATCGGCAAAGTGCGAGGTGCACGTGCGAAAGGCTCGGGGAACACATTTCACGTCCTTCATGCAGGGCCGACTCACACAGTGTTCTCACGGTTGAGCATAGAGTTCCTGAATATCTTTCAAATTACCTTTCACAAAACAATGTTTTTAAAGCATTTTAGGTGCCATAAATATTGGACATGGTTTAAGTATGTTAGATCACTCGGACCCCAGTGTCTAATCGTTGAAATGGTTGATTAAACCGTTTAATTAACCATTTCAACGATTAGGCACTGATATACATGCATATATTTAAGCTCTCAGCTCCGGAAATTGGGGAACCAAGCTGAACTTCACATGTTAAATATATTACATTGTACATTATAATCTTTCAAGTAAATTCGGCTGAAATCATATATAGAATAACTCTTATTCAAGAGATATTATATTGGTTCGATGCACAAACGAACATACTGTTTTGTAACGGACATACGATTATGTGCGTAAACCGCCGCCCGTATACGCATCACATGTGACGTCATAGATCCATGACTCCAGATGCGCCATTCGTCTTGTGCAGGATTGACGTGAAAAGTGAAATCACGTTCATCATATTGTGACGAGAATAAAGACACTGTGGTTACACTTGTTAGATTTGTCATTAAGTGGTACACATAGGAAACATCTCTTCCTAACGTACATACTTCTCTATATGTTTCTGTGGTTCGCGTTACTTTTGGCGGTGTGTATGCTATTGTCCAAGAGCGTAAGTTTCGGCCCTCGGATGGTAGCTCAGGGTGATGACGGATGACAAAACTCTGGGGGGAAGTTTAAGACGACAGCAGCCATGTTTATTGTTGCAGGTCGAAATGGTACAGGTTGATAATAATGTGACAGAACGCACACCGGGAGTGGGTCCAATGTTCCCATGGTGGGGAGACCCGCCCTGTCACTTTTACAAATCGATCAGTGCCGCGTCTCCCTGACTGACAATGTCACGTCAGAGGTATCACATAACGAGTGGCAAGGTCATTGTGCCACGTGTATTTATATACGTAAGATCCGGCGACGTGAGGAGGTGTTAACTGACATTTATAGAAAGCGCTGGAGATTAAGGGTCCTTCCCGGAGGGGCTTATGATAAGAAGGGATACGCCTAATGTTTCCTGATTATATTAAACAGACAAAAGGCACAGAATTTTGGTGCACTTTGAAATATGTTGCACCAATTAGGTATTTAAGATAAATGAAATGTTAAATAAAAGTATTGAAATGGTTTGCACTATAACATTATGTATGCATTGTCAATTTACGGTTTTGCATCCCACATTCAGAATCTGATCCCATTATTTTGAAAACAGTTCATTGATGTATAATTTGGAAATAATCTTTTGAAATCTATTGTAATTTTAATGTACATTTTCACACGATACACAAGAACATGTTTGTAAACAGAATTGACTCACGTAAACAACTACAACATGTGCTATTTCATTGGCATTTACACATCAGACACCCCGGCCGTGTGAGGTGTAGCTGTTTGTCACCAGCTTGATGAGACCCGTGAAGATTCCGGGGTAGAATAGGTCTTCAGCAACCTATGCTTGCCGTAAAAGGTGACTATGCTTGTCGTAAAAGGCGACTAACGGGATCGGGTGGTCAGGCTCGCTGACTTGGTTGATGCATGTCATCGATCCCAATTGCGTGGATCGATGCTCATGATATCAATCACTGGTTTGTCTGGTCCAGACTCGATTATTTACAGACTGCCGTCATATAGCTGGAATATTGCAGAGTGCGGCGTTAAACAACAAACAAACAAAAACAAAAACCAGCTTGATGCATTCCACTAAACACAACCAGAGGGCACTTTGTCATTGTAAACCGCGAATGACATTGGCTTGAACGACGAGCTTTTACACACGTGTCACCATAGGTCAAATATTGCAATGTGACCTTGTACTACAAATAGGCTTTACATAGTGTACTCTTGCAGATAAGTCTTCAGGACTCTTTAGTCACCAAGCTTTCACGTCACATTTTCAGTGAAACGTTCTTAGTATACACAGCGTAAATAACTGAATACGTTAAGACTATTGTTGATTGGAATATGTCAGGTGGATCAGCTGGCGATGACCTGCGGTCACTGGAGGCCGAGTTTTACCGATGGCGTGAAATGGACTCCCCGGAGTTTACCACGGAGACTGGCGTCCACACGTACGACAACACAGTAGAAGATTTTAGCATGGTGTCTTTGGAGACGAGAAAGGTGAGTGTTACGGGAATGGCTTCAAGTATGGCTTACCTGGAGACGAGAAGGTGATGCTTGGCCTAATGACCTTCAGGAGGTTGAGTGTGACTAGATGGTCTCACCTTGAATGTCGTAGCTCTTTACGACGAAGGTGAGTGTGGCCAGATGATCGCAAACCTAAAGCATGGCATATTTTGAGATGTGGAAGGCGAGTGTGGCAAAATGACACGTTAGTTTGATGTACCTGGAGGAGAGGTAGCTGAGTTGACGAGATAGTATCCCCATGTATGGCGCTCCAACGCTTTCAGTGACGAGAAAGTTGCTGCGTGGTCGCCCCAGGTTTGGCGTATATTGAGACGAGACAGCTTCGTGTGCCCGGAATGTTCTCAAGTATGGCGTACCTAGAGTCGAGGAAGGTGAGTGTGGCCAGATGGTTCCTTAGTATTGCCTATCCGGAGATGAGAAAGTTAAGTGTGACAAGATCGACGAGGGAGGTGGATATTGCTAGTGGTCTTCCAGTATGGCATACCTAGAGACGAGGGAGGTGAATATTGCTAGTGGTCTTCCAGTATGGCATACCTAGAGACGAGGGCGGTGAATATTGCTAGTGGTCTTCCAGTATGTCATACCTAGAGACGAGGGAAGTGAATATTGCTAGTAGTCTTCCAGCATGGCATACCTAGAGACGAGGGAAGTGAATATTGCTAGTGGTCTTCCAGTATGGCATACCTAGAGACGAGGGAGGTGAATATTGTTAGTAGTCTTCCAGCATGGCATATCTAGAGACGAGGGAAGTGAATATTGCTAGTGGTCTTCCAGTATGGCATATCTAGAGACGAGGGAGGTGAATATTGCTAGTGGTCTTCCAGTATGGCATATCTAGAGACGAGGGAGGTGAATATTGCTAGTGGTCTTACAGTATGTCATAACTGGAGACGAGGACGAAACGTTGACTAGATGATCCCTGGCACATTAAATTGTACGATGGACAACGCGGCTAAAATTCCATTGTATATTACATGATACACCTAGAGCACCTATTCCAGTGGAATAATGGTCATGTGGACAAGAAGATCAACAACGTTGTCCTGCGAAGATGGAAGGCCAGTTATGATATTATCTAAGTGACGACAAGTATTCATAAACACGACAGACATGATTTGGATAACAACGACATGCGTGACATGTTATTTGTGAACTGTGTCTGTGCGCAAGACGTCTCATAAGGAAACGTCCAGGGACATCCCCTGGAGAGGAGCATGTATAGCTTAAATGATCAGAAGACGCCATGTGGATCAAGATTACAAAACCTCATGGATTGACGGAAATACAGCAAGATGTCAAACGGGCTCAGTACTGAGCACTGCATGATGTCTGATGGTGGTTTTCTGTGGAAATATATTAAACACGTTCTCAACGTTTTTTCGACTGGAAATAAATGGTCTTTGTTCCAAAATGAGATAGTGTTTATGCTTTTGACAGATATATCTCCTAACAAATAGTATTAAGCCGACATATTTACACAATTGCATAACCTTAATATACAGTGCTTCTGTAGTTCTATTATAACAGACTAGGGGGCACGGGTGGCCCAGTCGTCTGAGGCGCCGCGATTCGCTGTGCAGAGTTGCGTCCCTTGGGCACGACAGAAACCTATGATTGCGGGTTCGAATCCCGGTCCCCCCCGATTATGTTTCTAGGTTTGTCAGCACCATACCCGTGCTCGTGGGTTTCACCGAAGTGGTAAACGTCTGAGACCTGCATCACTTCGGGCTTTCCTCCCACATTAAGCAGACAAGCCGCGATATAACTGGAATACTGTTAAAAGCGGCGTTAAACCCAACTCATCCACTCACTCACTCACTCACTCACTTGCCTCACTAAAGAAATATGATAAGTATGTGATATACGAACTGAACGTTCTTGTTGTTTATTTATAGGCCAAAGTAGATGACTTTATCAGCCGACTCTCCACCATCAGCATCGACGCATTGACGACATCGGAGAAATACAGTCATGAAGTGTTTAACGACACTCTGTCCACGGTTTCGTTTAACCACCAATGGCGCTTGTACGTATGTTCCTAATGTGATGCCAAATTGAGATGTTAAAATACGAGGAGTAACAGTATATTTGATAATTACGTTTGGCGATCTGTTGAATTTATTCATTGTGGAACTTTGCCATTAAAGGCCAACAATGACATTATAAGCAAGCATGACATTCACTGTGTTTGGTGGATTGCATCTTCCTTTGACGGATCAGCGAGGTTCAGTTGTCATTCTGGTTTCGGGGCTTTAAATAGTCATTATTAACTTCGTACTACTGGCTCTGGTTATAAAGTGTCCACGAGCTGCGAACAGGTAGAATGAGGATGGACTAGTCAGTGTAAGTGTGACAGCCGGTGTAATTTCTTGTTTCAGCTATGGTCCCCTGAATCCCCTCAACTTCTTAGAAGGCGACCAGATCGATCCTGCATACACTGTACGCATCCTTAAATATGAAACAAAACAGGATTACGAGAAATACCTCTCCCGGTTACAACTGTGGCCGACTAAGGTAAGCTTGAGTTTATTGGGTGTTAATCTAATCGTTGTTAAATGTTGTTCAAAGCTACCCAAAAGACTGTGTGACGCGAGGGGTGACTTCATCTTTCCAATAGACAACTTTCCCTTCATGTCGAGCAGCATTCCATCAGTAACAAAAATGATGACCGATGGCATTTCCTTGGCATTTGACTTGAGCCATATGTTCCCGTGTTTTTTCAGGTGAACAAATGATATCATAATACCTTTGTATGTGTTTTTAACGGGTGCCACCAATGGGGCAGGATACGCTCACCTTTTACGAACACCTGGTATCATCACTGTTTAATACTGATTCATAGCAAGACAGATGCTTATCATATAGTACGAATCGTACAGTGGTCACTTCTTACGGACATTTCTTATGATTAAGGAAAGTGCTTTATTTATATCCAATGTTACGGCTCACTACCCGGAATGGCCGGAATGGCATCTGCCTTTTTATATGTCCAGCTACTAAATTTTCTGACTGCAAGGCCAAGCATATGATTTAGCGACAAAGTAAGCCTCTGCTACACGATTGAATTTGGAAATCATTTAAAATATGTAAGCTTGGAATTTTTTAAGAAAAACGCCTTGCAACAATGATATATTTCTGACAGGCAGCTGTTACATACGATCAATGCCTGACTTACCCGTGAAGATCCGGGTTAGAATAGTTCTCCAGCTTGCATGTCATCGTATCCCATTTGCGTTGATTGATGCTCACGATGCCAATCACTGGATTGTGTGGTTCAGATTCCATTATTTACAAACCACCGTCATATAGCTGGAATATTGCTGAGTGCGCCGTTAACAACAAACAAACTTGTCGTGAGTCTCTGATCTGGTGCCATTGTACATATTGTATTTAACATCGTATAATATTTAAAGTCCGTCTTCGTGTCTCCCTTCAAATTGTCTCATGGTCTTAAGTAAATGCAATAACGACATCATTATTTCAATTCAAGAAAACGCTTTAACATTCTATGAACGGTTACTTCAAACATGCTAAAATCCCTGTAAATATACTTTGTGTAGAATGTTAACATTGATAATGATAAATTACCATATATTCATTTATTGTATTGTATTGTAACTTTTAGTGGTTTCTTGAGTTATCTTTTGCCATATCAGCATCGGTCGAGTCAAAGTTAACACAAGGATATACACAACATGTTCTAGTTTACGCAGTACATCACACGGTTCAAGGAAGCGGCCAAGAACGGACATACGTACCATCGAGTCTCAGTGGTAAGAACACATACAAGACAACCGTCAAGGCAAAACAAATCGTTGTATCGTAGTTTAAAGAATTTGATTGGTACCACATATGTATCTAGGCTAGAACCAGACGCCTTTTCCCAGTGCTACTGCAAATAGTATATCCGGATCCTCAACTTGATATTAAAAGCATGCAACAGACAGTATTATTTTTTATGTCACGTTATGAAATATGTTATCCGTGTTAAGCAAGCGACTTGCTCTTGAACTCTAAAGATTATTATTGGCTATTCATCGGTTACTTTTAAATTGCATTCGATTAATAAGTAAAGATTGTATACGTGAAGTTTGTGTTTATTTTGAGGAATAATTTTGTTATTTGAAAAGAACTTTCGACAAAGATACAGAAAATGATTAAAACGGTCATTGTGACTTCAATGAGCTGTCTTGGATCTGATGCGACGTGTATAACCTGACTTCCAGGACAAACTCCCAGGACAGATTGAACCGCTGCTGGTGGCAAACCCTGAGACCTCAGTCTTCTACAAGCCATTCACCACTGACGTCGACAAGCTGCCCATCTCCACAAATGACAAGTAAGTGAAAGGATACAGCTGAACACTAAACACATGACCATGACATGATGACCATTCAGCGGTATCTCAACCTGTGGGTCACGGGTAGGCCAGACGGCAAGATAACTTTCCACAGTTCAATGATAGTGCGTTCGAATCCCACATGTGCACTTGTTATTATTCTTGGTTTGTCAGTACCATACCCGTGCTCATGGGTTTCACGAAACTATCTACGACCTGCGTCACTTGGTCTTTACTCCACATTCAGGTGACACATGATGACATAATCTCTAACCCTATCACTAACTCTCACTTTCGGGGACACGGGTGGCCCAGTCGTCTAAGGCGACGCAATTCGTTGTGCGGAGTTGCGTCCCTTGAGTACGCCAGAAGGCTATAACCGTGGGTTCGACTTCCGGTTGGCCCTGATTATGTTTCTCGGTTTGACTTCACAGTACCTGTGCTCGTGGGTTTCACAAAAGTAGTAAACGTCTAATACCCGTATCACTTTGGCTTTCCGCCCACACTTAGCTATTACAACTGGAATATTGTTCAGAACGGTGAGCTACGGACGACAATAGTAAAGGATATGACACGTATATTTATAAGACGTATGACATCTAAAATAATGCAACTTCCATGTAGCCTAAACAGGTACTTTGCGAGAGACACTTTCTTGTCGCAAAAATAAAGAAACTACCAACATTTTGACGAGGGTAATGAGGCTGACTACAGCGTGATACACTGCCCTCTTCCTATTCCGGTTACAGCGGAACCTAGTTTTGTAGTTTGGCATAGCTATCTTCATACATGTAGTTTCTCTCTTTGACTTCTAGAAACGATTTGCGCACTCGTGGTCGACACGCTGTTGTGAATCTGCTGCAAGCATTCAAGGGAATCAAGGAATACCTAGAACAGGTAGACGCAAAGACTTGTACAATTGAAACTAATTTGAACTTCTAAAATCACTTAGGTAGCTAAAATATTTCAATTTGGCGCTTACCAAGCTGAGATTCGTCATGTTAAAAGAATGGGCCTGAATATGCATTGCGATAATCTGACGGAAGATATAGACAATGCTATATATATTTGTCCACAACACAACGACTTTGTCCACTCTCAACATAAGTGTGTAATGTAATATCTTGTGATCAATTTGTGTACCGCCAAAATGTTTGCGTATGCAAATACATGTACATGTGTATACCTTTGGATGTTTTCCAGTGGTGTCTTTTTAAACAACTTGATAGCTTGTTGAGACATCAGATCTTCAAAAAGTTGAAAGTTTTGGGTTGTATTACCTGCTGTCAAATGGTGTTGGGCGGGCTGTAAGGGTGGATGTGGATTACAATGATGTCGCAGAGACCTGACGCTAACCCCATTTCACCTCAACCCACTTCACTTTCACTCATTCACACCTACTGACGTCACTCATTCACAGCTACTGACGTCACCCATTCACAGCTACTGACGTCACTCATTCACAGCTACTGACGTCACTCTTTCACAACCACTGACGTCACTCTTTCACACCCACTGACGTCACTCTTTCACACCCACTGACGTCACTCTTTCACACACACTGACGTCACTCCTTCACACCCACCGACGTCACTCTTTCACACCTACTGACGTCAATCATTCACACCAACTGACATCACTCATTCCCGCGGACTGACAGCTGCCCCAAGTACTGCTACTGCAAGTCACGGGCCATGTTCTGTTGCAGGACTACATCTTCCAGACACGCACCACGTACGGTGTGTTGGGGCTGCCTAAAGGTACAGACTTGTACAGGGCCTGCCTCAAGTGGCACATCTCGGTGGACCTCACCCCAGAGGAAGTGCATCAGAAGGGCAAGGAGGAGGTTGCGCGGATCAGCTCAGAGATACAGAGAGTAGGATAATTTAAAAAAAGAAGATATAATGACGTTAAATTTTATTTTTTAAACAAAGACAAAATGTAATAAATACGAGTTTTAAGTACCTTGGTTTGTAAAAGTCATTTGATATGATTGTTCTCACAAGAAAGTTCGGAAATTACTAAATGCCATGGAAACTTGACACAAGGAAATTCAGACATGTTGAACGTTATGACTAATCTCATGGTACATATGGTCTACGTGCAAAAAGTGAAAAGACAAACTGCCTCTAATATATGCACATCCCCAATCCGAGTATAAAACTACCTGTATGAATGACTTACTTTTAGATAATGCGGAAACGAAATTACACTGGAACAGTGGCGGAATTCTACAAACAGTTGAAAGAACAACCCCAGTTTCACCTGAACAGTGCCGTAAGTGTAGGCGATTTATGAACAGCGTACATCGACTCTTTATAACCCCAGGTTGTATCAAGGATTTAACGAAGATGTGTAGCCTCATTAGGGGCTATGGTGTTCAATAATCGCTATCTCTGGAAAAATAGATAAAACAACCTAGATATATGATATTTTAATAATTTAGTTGTTTTCTAATATTTAGCTTAAAACATACCCTAGGTTGCACGCATAAAAAAGTAAGCTACGCTCTCTTCTATCAGCGACTAGTTTAGGAGTTCGAGTGTGTATTAGAGGTCCTGGTTCGAATTCCACAAAGGCTGATGAAAGGTTCCTCGGAAGCCATCAAGGTCAATATCCTTCTCACTCACTTCATGAGCTCATATGTTGAGGGGCGGTCGGGTAGCCTAGTGGTTAAAGCGTTGGCTCGTTACGCCGAAGACCCGGGTTCGATTCCCGACATGGGTACAATGTGTGATGCCCATTTCTGGTGTCCCCCGCCGTGATATTGCTGAAATATTGCTAAAGGCGGCGTAAAAACATACTCACTCACTCACTCATATGTTGAACTCAGTTTTAATGAAGACATTTAAATTGAAATAATAATGTGGCATTTCCCTTTTTAGGATGAACTCTTGAAGGAATACCGATATATGATATATGACAGAATATACCCACAGTTGTCGAAGGCCTTCAAGAATATACCAAACCTCAATGTCACGTAAGGAATTTATACTATGGATCACACTGATGCACAATGATATGTCGCTGAACTTGTGAGGCAGCATTGCGTCCCACAGATGGAACTGGCTCCCCATTAATATCTGTCATTCTAACTCTGGATCTGTCATTACATCATTTCGGTCTTAACCATACATAACTGTCGTAATTGTCGTACACAAGGCCAGAATGTGACACGTCAAGTCGGTGATCATTGTATCTCACTTACCAATCAATTCATAAATCGAAACGACCCGTGAAGATCCGGTTAGAATGGGTCTTCAGCAACCCATGCTTGCCGTAAAAGGCGACTAAGCTTGTCGTAAACGGCGACTAACGGGATCGGGTGGTCAGGCTCGAAGACTTGGTTGATGTATGTCATCGTATCCCAATTGCGTGGATCGATGCTCATGCTATCATTCACTGGATTGTCTGGTCCAGACTTGATTATTTACAGACCGCCGTCATATAGCTGGAATATTGCGGAGTGCGGCGTATAACAACAAACCAACCAACCAACCAACTATAAATCGAAACTAGATGAAGATATAGGCGTTTTTTGGCGATTTGTGTAAATGTTAGAAGAAGTGGTCGCTGTTGCGGCAGTTGTAGATGACATAGTTAGTGTGATGTAAAGTGAAATTTGAGTCTTTGATTGTTATTCTTCAGTTAAAACGTCAGCTGTTTAAGATAATTTCCCGACAATCGAATGTCTGAAGAATGTCTCTTCAGCTAAAACGTCAGCTGTTTAAGATAATTTCCTGACAATCGAATGTCTCGCGCCATAAGTGCGATTATTGAGACGTTTGTTTGTGTTCAATTGTGCAAACTATCTCAACAGAAGTTACAATATTAAATTTATAATATTTGTTCCCTCACTAGTGTGGAGGCTATGCCTAACGACGGACCAGGGGGGATGTACGTATCGGGGACAGCGGACGGATCACGTCAGGGAGTATTCCAAGTTAACCTTAAAAGGCCAAACGAAACGTAAGTCCACAAAAATAAAAGTGATTAACAGAGTCCAGAGTCCAGTATCCGGTTCCGACTATATCATAAGCCATGTGTTTGTGAAATTGTGATGATACCAGGCTAGCGTATCCTGTCCCATCACAGGCACCTATCACAAACACATGCAAAGGCAAGGGTAAGCAAACCCTACCCTAGCGTAGCACCCTCCACTCACAATATGCATAAAACGTACGTGTTGGTTCCTGATGGAGCACTGCAGTACGCCTGCCGTACTCCTGCTATATTCTGAAACGCCTACCTTTAAGAACAGTGCGTGTACATCACAATTGACACTTGTAAGGAAAGCTATAGCATTAGATGGAGATCTGTATGCCCAAGAGTATTATATTCATGCGAGTGGAACTGACTTCACTGAAAAAAATAATCCTGGGTTTGTTTGTCGAGATCTTAGCCTCCTGTCTTGGAGTTATTTTCTGGTAACGTAATAACCTAATATACAGATAAGTGCTGGCTCAAAATAAACTCGTTGCTGCATCAGATTCAATCTAAAAATTGAACCTAAAATCGTATATGAAATAACATCTAATAATTGGTACTTTACGAATCATAGTGATGTCTTCATGACAGATGAAGTGTGTTCTGGTGCTCAGTTCTGTCGATGTATCTTCTTTCAGAAACACGTTCAGTATGATGGCATTGACTCTACATGAAACAGTTCCTGGTCATCATCTACAGGTGCGTCATTGACATGATCACAAAGTGTAAACACGTTCTCAGAGATGGTATACCCAGCTACATGTTGTAACATAATTGCTGCCACCTAATCAGTGAATACCTTCTACTCCTCATCGTTTCAGTCCGTGTACGCACTCACTGCCAGCCTGCCAGACTTCCAGAGAAATATTGAATATGAGAAATATTTTGCCGTTCCTTATCACTTTCCGTTTTACACGGCGTACACTGAGGTGAGTAGCTGGGTGTGGTCTACATCCAAGCAAGTATGATCAAACTTAATATTACACTGTGTTGTACTGCAAACTCCGAGTTTATTATGTATATCAGTCTAACAGTTCATGACTACGAAGCGTACATCCCAAATATCCCTCTCTCTCTCTCTCACACTCACTCACACACACTCACTCTCTCTCTCTCTCTCACGCACACACACACACACACACACACACACACACACACACACACACACACACACACACACACAAAAAACAACAACAACAAAACACACAGAGCATATCGTGATAAGAACATAGACACTCTGTGGTAACACACGACTGTTTGTTAGTTTTGTCATTAAGTGGTCCACATTGGAAACATCTCTTCTTAACGCGTTCCTTTTGGTTTCCTTCTGGGGTCAATATTGAGAGGTTGTTCATCAGTCAGGTGTTGATATTTGGCCGTGAGGTTTGCAATGTATCGCCACTCAGTCAAAACTGTCCAGACCGTTCTCCCTGCAGATCAATGTCTCGTTCCAGACTGACTCCTTCATGGAACTTATATTTTGATGTGTTTCTTTTTCAGGGATGGGGTCTGTACGCAGAATCTCTCGGAGAATATTTAGGTATCTATAAAGACGATAACGAACTGTGAGTATAAAAAAAGTCACACCTTATATGGCAAATAAACATGACCAACAACAATGGCAATTGTATCTATCTCAGTTTGGTAACGCATGCAACCATTGCTGAGCATGAGGATTTGGAGATTAAATAAATAAATAAATAAATAAATAAATGCAGCAAAGGTTTGGGTGATCCTGGCACAGTCATCAGTTCAGGGCCCTAGCCCTCTCTACATGCAGACCAGACAGTCGAATCAGAACCTTTCGGAGAATGTGAAAACTCCCCAACACTGCAACCTTCTGCATTACCCAGAATGTCAGAAGGGCTGTATTCCTGGAAGCAAACCCGGGTACTCTCCCAATGTCAGTCAACAGAGTGAGAGGTACTAAACCTGAGGCACCGAGAACAATGGGGGTTCGGACAACTTGGTACATAGGATGCAAGCGTGACATTTCGAGGTCTGCATATTTGCCATGTTTTTCCTGAATATTGTCAATCACATTAGTGTAAAAAGGGAGATAAAATACAATAATAGAAATCTTTTCATTTGATTTACAAAAAGGACACGATCAGGTTTGTGGTCCTGGATAGGTCTGAGGCTGTATACGGGCCTATTCCAAAGAATTTTGTAGTTATCATTTCCCATGACGCCCTCTACATATTCCGGGTCGTACCATGGATGGACCTCTGTATCAAAACCACAAGCATGGCGAGGACGGTAATAAAAGATCATGTCGCTTAAGATACTGTGCTTTTGCCAAAGCTGGGCAATAATTATTATTATTGGGGCGGTTGGGTAGCCTAGAGGATAAAGCGTCCACTCGTCACGCCGAAACTCCGAGCCCGATTCACCACATTCGTGCAAAGTGGTGTCCCCCGCCGTCATATTGCCATCATACTCACTTGCTCACTATTCTTCTTCCTATTATCATTGCTTGACGAGGAGGACGGGCAATCTTTAATTCCCGCCTTCCTGTACGACCTTCAACAATACAGTGACGTTGTCCTAATAATTTCGTTTCCAATTCTCAGACTTGGTCGATATGGGGAGGAGATATTCCGTGCGTGCAGACTGGTCGTTGACACGGGAATACATTACTTTGGGTGAGTTCCAATCAACAATGTCTTCCATGTGCCCAGCAGACATGAAGTGTTATCGTAATGTACCTGCATACCACAGATGGACGACCAACGTCGGAAGCGGCGGGAAACATATATTTCACAAGGGACAGTAAACTGTCTCTTTAATCGTTAAAGATTATACACTCTCACTGAGCATGAATGTGATGATTTAGGCGTCTGTCATGGAAGAAGGATTGAGACATGTCGGACGAGGGCATGAGACCTGAAAAGAAAACAATGTCTGTCATTAGATCTTCACCAACCACTGGTTTGCTGTTTTTGCTAGGATTATTGAAGCAGAACAACCTCTCAGTAAACGCGCTATTGCATCACTGGATTGTCTGGCCCACTATCACTTGATTGTCTGGTAAAGACACCATTATTTACGGCAGGAACACCCCTGTGAGGCGTCAGGCAACAAACAAACAAAGACATGTTTACCCTCTTCGTGAACACCTGGTGTCATCACTAATTTTCAGTGATCTATCTATATAATTATCACCAATATTTTTGCATTTCACGCCCGTCAGGAATCTGAAGTGCCCCATACTATATGTGGTAAACAGTGTAGTCGTCGGGAAGTAGGACGTAGCAGGATGGAGAGTTTTGTTCATGTGGACGGTACATGTATCAGAGAAAGGTGGGGGGGGGGGGGGGGGGGGGGGGGGGGGGGGGTGTGTGTTAACGTCGCGTCGAAGTTTATTGCACTTATATGGCGACGTCCTTAAACCTTTGATTATGGGTTCGAATCCCGGTTCGCTCCAATTATGTTTTTAGGTTTGTCAGCACCATACCCGTGCTCGTGGGTTTCACTGAAGTGGTAAACGTCTGAGAATCACTTCGGACTTTCCTTGAATACTGTTTAAAGCGTTGTTAAACCCAACTCACTCACTCACTCAATAATACAAGGGTTATGTAGATGTACATGTACTATGGACGCATGTCCCATTCTGCATTAGGGCGGTCAGCGGGTAGATGGTCAATAACTGTGTATATTAGGATGTCTTCATGTTTGTTTTCTATTATGACCCAGATGGACACGACAGCATGCGATCACGTACATGGCTGACCACACCCCGATGGGCCAGAATGAGATTGAGATAGAAATAGACCGCTACATCACGTGGCCCGGACAGGCATGCGCATACAAGATTGGAGAACTTAAAATAAAGGAACTGCGACAAACTGCTATTGACAAACTTGGTTCGTTCTAGATGTTATCGTTGCTTTGCATTTAATTAATTGACATTTTATCATCGGGAATTCCCTTTCATAAAAGGAAGACTACAGACCCTTGAAGGTTCAACAACCCATGCTTGTCGTAAGAGGCGACTAACGGGATCGGGTGGTCAGGCTCACTGACTTGGTTGATGCATGTCATCGCATCCCAATTGCGTGGATCGATGCTCATGGTGTCAATCACTGGATTGTCTGGTCCAGACACGATTATTTACAGATTGCCGTCATATATCTTGAATATTGCTGAGTGCGGCGTTGAACAACCAACAAATAAACACACAAATGTCCTCATTAATTCTTTATCAACATGGAAAGAAAGGTGTACTCTTGCCCTTGCGGGTGACCAGTACTTAAAAGCAGAACTGTCGGCATTCAGAGAATTCAGAAATACATTCATTATATTCAAACGATCTGTAATTGTATGGTGGATCGTACAAATACATTATAAGAATGTCCTGTTTATAATTTCAGGTTCCAAATTCGACATTGGAGACTTCCATAGTCAGATTCTGGAGAATGGTCCAGTACCGCTAAGTCTCTTAGAGAAGATCGTCAATAACTGGATAAACGGTGGTGATGCCACGGGACAGAACTCTCCCAACCTGCCTCTGCTTCCTAATATTGTGGGATAACTGCTGACTGAAATGCAGAAGGGATATTAAGTGCCATGTGTTATACCCAACACTCGCACTCAACTAAATACTGACATATATTTATGTTAATCTATACAATAAAGGTACCACCTACCTTTTAATGTCTCAGGGCATCCATTGAATAATTATTTATTGTGTGTACCATCTGAGGTTCGATTTTGTTCCACTATATATTTTTACCAAATTGTTGAAAAGAAATTAAGTGCACCAATTCGTGAAATTTTGGTTGACTTTTTTCACTGGCATTTGGAACTATAACCCTGAATCTGTCGTGTTGCCTTCTGTTGACGTTCGCTAGGACACGGTCACGCCTATCCAGAAAGCCCAGATTGAATCTGGACTCATCTGAAAACATTACACGATGCCATCCGCGATTCACCCTGTTTCTACGCTCTACACACAATTGGCGTTCAAGTGGAATGTGTTGATTTGTTAACGGTGGTGCAACATGCGGACGATTTCTAATTGTCTGGTTCCTAACGTACACTATGTTTGCCGAAAAAGGCGGCAATGCTTGTCGTAAGAGGCGACTAAGAGGATCGGGTGGTAGGCTCGCTGCCTTGGTCGATGCATGTCATCGTATCCCAAACGCGTAGATCGATGCTCATGGTGTAAGTCACTGGATTGTCTGATCCAGACTCGATTATTTACATACCGCCGTCATATAGCTGGAATATTGCTGAGTCCAGGGTTAAAAACCAAACAAACCTAACTTCACTTACACTTCGGTGACCTGGCTGACCTGATTGGCTCTTCTTATCAATCGATGTCCGGACTTGTGTTGTATACTCAGGGCGGCCTGATCATTAGAGCCGATTATTGGCGTTTCGTTCTGCAGAAACATGTTACAAAGTATGCAAATCACAGTCTGAGACACACTGAGCATATCGACAACCACTCATTGAGTTCTTCCAGTTTGAAACGTGTCCATCGTATCCCAATTGCTTGGGTCGATGCTCATGGTGTCAGTCACTGGAGTGTCTGGTCCAGACTCGATTATTTACAGACCGCCGTCATATAGCTGGAATATTGCTGAGTGTGGCGTTAAACAATAAACCAACAACCAGTTGAAACGTGCCAATAGTTTTTAGGCGTTCGTCAGGTTCTACAACGCATTCCCAATCTGATCACAAGTTTTGTATTGAAGCAAGAGCGTACATGTTACTGTGGGTAAGAAAATCAACAATACCAATGGTTCAGAGCGGTTTCACTAAAGTGAATCAAGTGAATCAAGAATGACCAACTTGCGGGGAGGAACCCTGGTCCACGTGCAATGTTTCGAGTGTGCTTGTACGTTAACGTTGTGGTCCCGAAACCGTTCTATCCCACGTGCAATGTTTCGAGTGTGCTTGTACGTTAACGTTGTGGTCCCGAAACCGTTCTATCCCACGTGCAATGTTTCGAGTGTGCTTGTACGTTAACGTTGTGGTCCCGAAACCGTTCTATCCCACGTGCAATGTTTCGAGTGTGCTTGTACGTTAACGTTGCGGTTCCGAAACCGTTCTATCCCACGTGCAATGTTTCGAGTGTGCTTGTACGTTAACGTTGTGGTCCCGAAACCGTTCTATCACACGTGCAATGTTTCGAGTGTGCTTGTACGTTAACGTTGTGGTCCCGAAACCGTTCTATCCCTGGCATTTTTCAAAGCTGATCGACCTTCTTTCGACCGATCATGAAATATAGATTTCATGATTTCCTGCTATTTTTCGAGAGTGTAAATTAATTCTATGTAACAATTTCACAAACATCATTGACGTAAAACAGTTACCATATCGTTAACCTTTTGTATCATATCCAAAACAAATTTACAAACCCCAAGTGACATCATAACTTTGTTTTTCGACCTTGTTTTATCTCACAAAAAGTCCTTCCATTAAATCCAGCTCAAGTACTTATTTTTTGGTCGATATTTGGCATATATTCGTATTATATTTTGACAAATTTCATCGGCAGTATCTGAGACGATAAACCAGTTCCCTAGAAGAGGGCACTGAGAGTAAAGGAAGATTGAAATATCGCCCTCGTCTTTCTCATGAAGCTTATCAATCGTGCCAGCACTTATATTTACATTTATATTATATACTCATCGTCAAAAGAAACGCGAACCATAGAAACATAGAGAAGTAGAGATGTTTCCAATGTGTATTAATTGATGATAAAACTGACAATCTATCAAGTGTTACCACAGAGTGTCTTTGTTCTTGTCACGATATGCTGCACGTGATTTCCAAACCTTACACCCTAATCCTGCACGAGACAAGTGGTGCATCTCGAGTCATGAATCTATGACGTCACATCATGCGTTCATGAACGTCGGTTCACACAACATACCAGCATGCTTGTTTGTGCATCAACCCAATCTCGTATCTCATAATGAGTTATTCTTCATATATTAACCCACATATGGTATTCGCGTTTCTTATGTCGGTGAGTATATATAGATTTATATATATTTACATTTATATCGACCGTGTTTCTTTTCCGAAATGGTGTGCATAGATATTAATCATGTAGTAGCACAAGACGGTTTTTGAGTCAGATAAAAAGTCAAACTTCGGTTTTATTCCTTGGATTTATTTCACTCGTGGGTTTTATATCTCATAACATCCCTCGGTGTGATCATAGATATAGGTACATCTGTCTTCAAAGTTCAAGCACATTTTTTTCAACTATAAATGCAAATCTAAGTTTACTAAGAAAGCAATATGTGAAATTTGAGGATAAGACATTTAGGCAAGAAGTAGCATCCCAATGTGTACAATTGTACCGCTTTCCTTGCTGATCTGTTTCTTAATGCATTTCAATAAAGCTGTTTAAAGAACAAAACAAGGGGATTTGGCCAGAAGTTTAACTTATGCTTCAGGTATTACGAAAATTTGATACCTTTCAACGATGGTCAAAATGCTAAATTCCTTCCACTCATCTGAGCAGAAATACAATAGACCAATGAAACTGTTTCATACTAGTATTTCAGAGAGATCAAAACAAGACTACGTCAGGGAGGAAGACTTCATCTTTCCTATAGTCAACTTTCCTGTTTCCCAGAATCCCAGCAGCTCCAGCCATTAGTGTGTACATTTCACAACGTTTGAGGTACAATCGAGCATGCTCTTTCCACGAAGTTTTCAAAGAGCGTCACACGACTCTATATCTTTCTAAAAAATTACAACATTCAAGTTCTTGGTGTTTTTTGTCAGGAGAATAATTGACTTGCCTTCGCGTGTGCTTGTAACGAATGCCATAGGTGGGACAGGATACGCTCACCCTTTCACAAACACCTGGTATCATCACTGTATTGTGTGTTCATCGGAATCGGAATCGTACGGAATCGGAATCTTGTGATTATGGAAAGAGTTGTGTTACGTATATTTTTGTAGACTTACGTTTCGTTTGGCCTTTTAAGGTTAACTTGGAATACTCCCTGACGTGATCCGTCCGCTGTCCCCGATACGTACATCCCTCCTGGTCCGTCGTTAGGCATAGCCTCCACACTAGTGAGGGAACATGTTATAAATTGAATATAACTACTGTAAAGATACAGTTTTAACAACTGAACACAAACAAACGTCTCAATAATCGCGACAGTGACGTATAAAAATCATGTCACTTCGTATGATTACTGAAAGAGTCGCTTACTTGAGTCCTTCACCAAAAGATTCCGTGGACGTAATATTTGCTGCATGCAATGCCAGGCATCTATGATCTGTTTATCCAAAATACACAAAACATTTCGACCCTCAACTAATTTTCACCAGTTGTTCACACAGCATATCAACTTTCTGTATCAACGTTTATATATTACTTACCAATATTTCGATTTTGGCACTGACATTGGCGTTACACATTGTACCCGTGTCTTCAGCGTCCGAGCGAACTCTTTAAACTACAAGGTTACATAATTGTTATTATCATCAGTGTGTGTGTGCGCGTGCGTGCGCGTGCCTGGGCGTGCGTGTGTTAAAAGATTAAGCGAAACCGGGTTTAGATTTGAATGAAATGAACTATGCCGTAGCATTTACAGATGCGGATCGATCTGACGCAGGTCTTATAAATGGCTAATGAGGCAATAGGCCTAGCATTAAAGGGATCTGGTGGCAGCAAGCCTCCATGATATATAGTTAATACTGCAATGTGGTTCAATAGGAGAGACGCATCGGAGGGAATACTTTTAAACAAGACGATATCGCGATCTGAAACAGCCGTGATAAGCGGATTGATGACATCTAGGTGAGACATGTTTCATGTGAGAGACCTGCACCTCCTAGATCTGTGTTAAATCCCTTTGTAAAGCGGTATTAGATTACAGTTGCGGGCACCAGGGATGGACATGAACTCACTTTCATTGAATTGAGAAGCCCGGGGTGACACATTGCCACCAGTTGACGTCCCAGGGGTGTGAGAGGCCTTTTACACCTTAGGTAATGCACTGTATACCCTGCACGCCGTTATTATATTTCAGAACATGAATAAATAATAAAGAGACTTATTATCCTTGATGGCAGATAGAGGGAGTAGGGATTTCGGAGTGTGGGGCCAACTGCATTCGGCAGATCACTGCAGCCATGTCGGCGTCCAGATTCAAAGTTTCTGCCAAATGTCTATTTGCTTGCTTCATTTCCAGCCTGGTGCTTGTTGCTGTTATTGTGCTGGCCACACAGCTGGCTCCGTCAGCTGGTGAGTGTTCATTTCATATGTCATTCTGACAGCCTTTGTACATTTCACATATCATAATAACAGTTTCATGCAAGCATTGATAATGTGTGTCAGGCGCGTTGGTAGTTGTATCATTTTATATGTGTGCATGTATTCCCTGTTAACTATACGTACACCTTGTAATGTCGATCTCCATATTATGTTTTTATACAGTACACATATGTGAAATGCGTACATTTGATTGTTAATAATTCTCGGCACTGTACATTAGGTAACCAAGCTTTATTCTACACATACATTTGTTACATAGTTGAATACTTTCCTTCAGATATTCACATTAATACTCGTATCATATATATGTACATCTGTACACTGTTGTATAATTAATAAAACATTATCAATATACATTTATGCAAACAAGGTTTATGCTATTCAGAGTCATAATCCGGTTATTTAAAAATGTTTAAAGATAATCCTTTTAAAACTACCGTTATAGTAATGTGCATCTTCATACAATACACAAGAACTTGTTTGTAAACAGAATTGACTCACGTAAATAACTACTACATGTGCTATTATTCACACATTCACATGCGCATTTACACATCAGACACCCAGGCCGTGTGAGGTGTAGCTGTTTGTCACCAGCTTGATGCATTCCACTCCACACTACCACGGGCACTTTGTCATTCTAAACCGCTAATGACATTGGCTTGAACAACGGGCTTTTACACTGGTGTCACCATAGGTCAAATCTTGACCTGTGACCTTTCACTATGTGGAACGAAAATGTCGGTGTACCGACTTTTATACTCCCAGGACCATAGCTTGTAGCGTATGTAACGTAATATGACCGAGTCTCTGATTTGATAACTATAGATAAGGGTTTTTGCATGTTTTGCCTTCACCATTTCGTAGGAAGGTAAAAATTAGTGGGTGCGTTCGTTCGTTCGTTCGTTCGTTCGTTCGTGTACTATATATTGGCTTCACGTGTTCCTTTGTTGGGAATTTAACCCGATATGTCGACTCTTTAATCACTAGGCCACCATTTTTTTCGGTATTTGATAATGTAGACAGTGTAATTTATTGAGTACTTAAAAGCTTATTGAAATATACACGTGACTGGTTTGACCGCAATGTAATTTTACCGGTTGGTATAGGTGGATCAGCTGGCGATGACCTGCGGTCACTGGAGGCCGAGTTTTACCGATGGCGTGAAATGGACTCCCCGGAGTTTACCACGGAGACTGGCGTCCACACGTACGACAACACAGTAGAAGATTTCAGCATGGTGTCTTTGGAGACGAGAAAGGTGAGTTTGGTTTAATGTCCCGAGAGACGAAGAGGTTCAGTGTTGCTAGGTCTCTGTTTGGCTACTTGGAGACGAAAAACCGACTGAGAATGTCCTCAAGTATGGTGCACTTAGATGCGAGAGAGTGTGTCTGGATTGTCTCCCCGTGTATGGTGTGATTAGATGCGAGAGAGTGTGTCTGGATTGTCTCCCCGTGTATGGTGTGATTAGATGCGAGAGAGTGTGTCTGGATTGTCTCCCCGTGTATGGTGCACTTAGATGCGAGAGAGTATGTCTGGATTGTCTCCCCGTGTATGGTGTGATTAGATGCGAGAGAGTGTGTCTGGATTGTCTCCCCGTGTATGGTGTGATTAGATGCGAGAGAGTGTGTCTGGATTGTCTCCCCGTGTATGGTGCACTTAGATGCGAGAGAGTGTGTCTGGATTGTCTCCCCGTGTATGGTGTGATTAGATGCGAGAGAGTGTGTCTGGATTGTCTCCCCGTGTATGGTGTGATTAGATGCGAGAGAGTGTGTCTGGATTGTCTCCCCGTGTATGGTGTGATTAGATGCGAGAGAGTGTGTCTGGATTGTCTCCCCGTGTATGGTGTGATTAGATGCGAGAGAGTGTGTCTGGATTGTCTCCCCGTGTATGGTGTGATAAGATGCGAGAGAGTGTGTCTGGATTGTCTCCCCGTGTATGGTGTGATTAGATGCGAGAGAGTGTGTCTGGATTGTCTCCCCGTGTATGGTGTGATTAGATGCGAGAGAGTGTGTCTGGATTGTCTCCCCGTGTATGGTGTGATAAGATGCGAGAGAGTGTGTCTGGATTGTCTCCCCGTGTATGGTGTGATTAGATGCGAGAGAGTGTGTCTGGATTGTCTCCCCGTGTATGGTGTGATTAGATGCGAGAGAGTGTGTCTGGATTGTCTCCCCGTGTATGGTGTGATTAGATGCGAGAGAGTGTGTCTGGATTGTCTCCCCGTGTATGGTGTGATTAGATGCGAGAGAGTGTGTCTGGATTGTCTCCCCGTGTATGGTGTGATGAGATGCGAGAGAGTGTGTCTGGATTGTCTCCCCGTGTATGGTGTGATGAGATGCGAGAGAGTGTGTCTGGATTGTCTCCCCGTGTATGGTGTGATTAGATGCGAGAGAGTGTGTCTGGATTGTCTCCCCGTGTATGGTGCACTTAGATGCGAGAGAGTGTGTCTGGATTGTCTCCCGTGTATGGTGTGATTAGATGCAAGAGAGTGTGTCGGGATTGTCTCCCCGTGTATGGTGTGATTAGATGCGAGAGAGTGTGTCTGGATTGTCTCCCCGTGTATGGTGTGATTAGAGACGACAAATTGAAGGTGAGTGTGGCTAGACACCTCACCCAAGTACGACATATCCAGATACTAGAAAGATGCGTGTACCTCTCTAGGGTCTTCCTCTCCAGCATGTTGGTTTTGTACAGACTGTCAGGGTAATGGGTCGTCCTCTCCAGGATGTTGTTTATAACAGACAGAAAGTCAGGTAATAGGCTCTTCCTCTTCAGCATGTTGTTTATGTACAGACTGTCAGGGTAATGGGTCTTCCTCTCCAGAATATTGTTTATGTACAGAAAGTCAGGAAAAAGGGTCTTCCTCTCCAGCGTGTTGTTTATGTACAGACAGTCAGGTAATAGGGTCTTCCTCTCCAGTATTTTGTTTATGTACAGACAGACTGTCAGGTAATACGGTCTTCCTCTCCAGTCTGTTGTTCATGTAAGACTGTCAGGGTAATGGGTCTTCCTCTCCAGTATGTTGTTTATGTAAGACTGTCAGGTAATACGGTCTTACTCTCCAGAATGTTGTTTATGTACAGACTGTGAGGTAATAGGGTCTTCCTCTCCAGAATGTTGTTTATGTACAGACAGTCAGGGAAATGGGTCTTCCTATCCAGTATGTTGTTTATAGAAGACTGTCAGGTAATACGGTCTTACTCTCCAGAATGTTGTTTATGTACAGACTGTCAGGTAATAGGGTCTTCCTCTCCAGAATGTTGTTTATGTACAGACAGTCAGGGAAATTGGTCTTCCTATCCAGTATGTTGTTTATGTAAGACTGTCAGGTAATACGGTCTTACTCTCCAGAATGTTGTTTATGTACAGACAGTCAGGGAAATGGGTCTTCCTCTCCAGAATGTTGTTTATGTAAGACTTTGAGGTAATAGGGTCTTACTCTCCAGAATGATGTTTATGTACAGACTGTGAGGTAATAGGGTCTTCCTCTCCAGAATGTTGTTTATGTACAGACTGTGGGGTAATAGGGTCTTCCTCTCCAGAATGTTGTTTATGTACAGACAGTCAGGGAAATGGGTCTTCCTATCCAGTATGTTGTTTATGTAAGACTGTCAGGTAATACGGTCTTACTCTCCAGAATGTTGTTTATGTACAGACTGTGAGGTAATAGGGTCTTCCTCTCCAGAATGTTGTTTATGTACAGACAGTCAGGGAAATGGGTCTTCCTATCCAGTATGTTGTTTATGTAAGACTGTCAGGTAATACGGTCTTACTCTCCAGAATGTTGTTTATGTACAGACTGTGAGGTAATACGGTCTTCCTCTCCAGAATGTTGTTTATGTACAGACAGTCAGGGAAATGGGTCTTCCTATCCAGTATGTTGTTTATGTAAGACTGTCAGGTAATACGGTCTTACTCTCCAGAATGTTGTTTATGTACAGACTGTGAGGTAATAGAGTCTTCCTCTCCAGAATGTTGTTTATGTACAGACAGTCAGGGAAATGGGTCTTCCTATCCAGTATGTTGTTTATAGAAGACTGTCAGGTAATACGGTCTTACTCTCCAGAATGTTGTTTATGTACAGACTGTCAGGTAATAGGGTCTTCCTCTCCAGAATGTTGTTTATGTACAGACAGTCAGGGAAATTGGTCTTCCTATCCAGTATGTTGTTTATGTAAGACTGTCAGGTAATACGGTCTTACTCTCCAGAATGTTGTTTATGTACAGACTGTGAGGTAATACGGTCTTCCTCTCCAGAATGTTGTTTATGTCCAGACAGACTGTCAGGTAATACGGTCTTCCTCTCCAGAATGTTGTTTATGTAAGACTGTCAGGGTAATGGGTCTTCCTCTCCAGAATGTTGTTTATGTACAGACAGTCAGGGAAATGGGTCTTCCTATCCAGAATGTTGTTTATGTAAGACTGTCAGGTAATAGGGTCTTCCTCTCCAGAATGTTGTTTATGTACAGACTGTGAGGTAATAGGGTCTTCCTCTCCAGAATGTTGTTTATGTACAGACAGTCAGGGAAATGGGTCTTCCTCTCCAGAATGTTGTTTATGTAAGACTGTCAGGTAATAGGGTCTTACTCTCCAGAATGTTGTTTATGTACAGACAGTCAGGGAAATGGGTCTTCCTCTCCAGAATGTTGTTTATGTAAGACTGTGAGGTAATAGGGTCTTACTCTCCAGAATGATGTTTATGTACAGACTTTGAGGTAATAGGGTCTTCCTCTCCAGAATGTTGTTTATGTACAGACTGTGAGGTAATAGGGTCTTCCTCTCCAGAATGTTGTTTATGTACAGACAGTCAGGGAAATGGGTCTTCCTATCCAGTATGTTGTTTATGTAAGACTGTCAGGTAATACGGTCTTACTCTCCAGAATGTTGTTTATGTACAGACTGTGAGGTAATAGGGTCTTCCTCTCCAGAATGTTGTTTATGTACAGACAGTCAGGGAAATGGGTCTTCCTATCCAGTATGTTGTTTATGTAAGACTGTCAGGTAATAGGGTCTTACTCTCCAGAATGTTGTTTATGTACAGACTGTGAGATAATAGGGTCTTCCTCTCCAGAATGTTGTTTATGTACAGACAGTCAGGGAAATGGGTCTTCCTATCCAGTATGTTGTTTATGTAAGACTGTCAGGTAATACGGTCTTACTCTCCAGAATGTTGTTTATGTACAGACTGTGAGGTAATAGAGTCTTCCTCTCCAGAATGTTGTTTATGTACAGACAGTCAGGGAAATGGGTCTTCCTATCCAGTATGTTGTTTATAGAAGACTGTCAGGTAATACGGTCTTACTCTCCAGAATGTTGTTTATGTACAGACTGTCAGGTAATAGGGTCTTCCTCTCCAGAATGTTGTTTATGTACAGACAGTCAGGGAAATTGGTCTTCCTATCCAGTATGTTGTTTATGTAAGACTGTCAGGTAATACGGTCTTACTCTCCAGAATGTTGTTTATGTACAGACTGTCAGGTAATAGGGTCTTCCTCTCCAGAATGTTGTTTATGTACAGACAGACTGTCAGGTAATACGGTCTTCCTCTCTAGTATGTTGTTTATGTAAGACTGTCAGGGTAATGGGTCTTCCTCTCCAGAATGTTGTTTATGTACAGACAGTCAGGGAAATGGGTCTTCCTATCCAGTATGTTGTTTATGTAAGACTGTCAGGTAATAGGGTCTTCCTCTCCAGAATGTTGTTTATGTACAGACTGTGAGGTAATAGGGTCTTCCTCTCCAGAATGTTGTTTATGTAAGACAGTCAGGTAATAGGGTCTTCCTCTCCAGTATGTTGTTTATGTAAGACTGTGAGGTAATAGGGTCTTCCTCTCCAGAATGTTGTTTATGTACAGACTGTGAGGTAATAGGGTCTTCCACTCCAGAATGTTGTTTATGTAAGACAGTCAGGTAATAGGGTCTTCCTCTCCAGTATGTTGTTTATGTAAGACTGTCAGGAAAAAGGGTCTTCCTCTCCAGAATGTTGTTTATGTACAGACTGTGAGGTAATAGGGTCTTCCTATCCAGAATGTTGTTTATGTACAGACAGTCAGGGAAATGGGTCTTCCTCTCCAGTATGTTGTTTATGTAAGACTGTCAGGTAATAGGGTATTACTCTCCAGTATGTTGTTTATGTACAGACTGTGAGGTCATAGGGTCTTCCTATCCAGAATGTTGTTTGTGTACAGACATTCAGGGAAATGGGTCTTCCTCTCCAGAATGTTGTTCATGTACAGACAGTCAGGGTAATGGGTCTTCCTCTCCAGAATGTTGTTTATGTACAGACAGTCAGGTAATAGGGTCTTCCTCTCCAGTTTGTTGTTTATGTAAGACTGTCAGGTCATGGGGTCTTCCTCTCCAGAATGTTGTTTATGTACAGACAGTCAGGGAAATTGGTCTTCCTATCCTGTATGCTGTTTATGTAAGACTGTGAGGTAATACGGTCCTACTCTCCAGAATGTTGTTTATGTAAAGACTGTGAGGTAATAGGGTCTTCCTCTCGAGAATGTTGTTTATGTACAGACTGTGAGGTAATAGGGTCTTCCTCTCCAGAATGTTGTTTATGTACAGACAGTCAGGGAAATGGGTCTTCCTATCCAGTATGTTGTTTATGTAAGACTGTCAGGTAATAGGGTATTACTCTCCAGTATGTTGTTTATGTACAGACTGTGAGGTCATAGGGTCTTCCTATCCAGAATGTTGTTTGTGTACAGACAGTCAGGGAAATGGGTCTTCCTCTCCAGAATGTTGTTCATGTACAGACAGTCAGGGTAATGGGTCTTCCTCTCCAGAATGTTGTTTATATACAGACAGTCAGGTAATAGGGTCTTCCTCTCCAGTATGTTGTTTATGTAAGACTGTCAGGTCATGGGGTCTTCCTCTCCAGAATGTTGTTTATGTACAGACAGTCAGGGAAATTGGTCTTCCTATCCAGTATGTTGTTTATGTAAGACTGTGAGGTAATACGGTCCTACTATCCAGAATGTTGTTTATGTACAGACTGTGAGGTAATAGGCTCTTCCTCTCCAGAATGTTGTTTATGTACAGACAGTCAGGGAAATGGGTCCTTTCTATCCAGTATGTTGTTTATGTAAGACTGTCAGGTAATACGGTCTTCCGATCCAGAATGTTGTTTATGTACAGACTGTCAGGTAAAAGGGTCTTCCTCCTCAGAATGTTGTTTATGTACAAACTGTGAGGTAATAGGGTCTTCCTCTCCAGAATGGTGTTTATGTACAGACAGTGAGGGAAATGGGTCTTCCTTTCCAGTATGTTGTTTATGTAAGACTGTCAGGTAATACGGTCTTACTCTCCAGAATGTTGTTTATGTACAGACTGTCAGGTAATAGGGTCTTCCTCTCCAGAATGTTGTTTATGTACAGACAGTCAGGGAAATGGGTCTTCCTATCCAGTATGTTGTTAATGTAAGACTGTCAGGTAATACGCTCTTACTCTCCAGAATGTTGTTTATGTACAGACTGTCAGGTAATAGGGTCTTCCTCCTCAGAATGTTGTTGATGTACAAACTGTGAGGGAATAGGGTCTTCCTCTCCAGAATGTTGTTTATGTACAGACAGTCAGGGAAATGGGT